CTCGGTCCCGCTCCTTGCGCCATCTCCGGCCCCGCACTCGGGCACGTCGATTGCCGACGCTCGGACCTCTCCCGCGGCAGCTGGGCTAGATGACAGCTCGAACGACTTGACACATGACGTGCCGGATCCGTTGCTGCCTCCCGTCGACAGGAACGACCCCAACAACTCTTTGGACGCCGGGACCACCCGACGTTCGCGTGAATTAGCGGATGCCATGCCCGAGGCAAGCAACCAAGATGAAGTGGATGGACCGCGCGGCGTCATGTCCAAGTCGGACCTGATGGCGTTCCTGCGAGACCCGACTGTGACCGCTTCGTCCATTCGAACCCACGTCGCGACCGGGCGCATCGACGCAATCGCAGTGCTGGCCATATCCCACCGCGAGCTGGTCGACGCCAAGGTGCCACCCCTGGCCGTGCGCATGCTGTTCATTTCCGCGATGGCCGCAACGCAGCCCACGCAACACACTCCATCCAAAGCCCCGCCGTCGATCCTTCCTCCCCCAGGGTTCTCGGCGCTGTCCATCGCGACCACCGACACCCATCCGTTGAAGCATGACAGCCACGTCCGCGCCACGTCGCCCCAACGATCCCCCGTCATCCCGTCCAAGCCCGGTGCCGCCACCGCCTTGTTCCCTCGAGCTGGCCACCACCGCCCAGACCAACACGTGCCGGACAACCAGTACGAGCGCGAGATGGAGCGCATTTCGAACCAAATGACGAGGAATGTGCTCGACTAGCGCGGCCGCCACCCGTTGCCACATTTTAACTCGATGTAATAATCGTACAATCTCGGGAGAGGTGCAGGAGATGCGCTATGTTTCACCACGATGCAAGGCGCACGCATGCAATGTTGGAAGTGTTAACTAGTTGCCGCCCGAGTGGGTGTCGGTAGGTCGTCGAGACGACGGTCGGCAGCAGCGTGGTTACTTGACTGGTGCCGCCGCCGCCGTGGCACCAGGCGCATCTACCCCATGCAGTCGTTCAAGTCGGGGCCACGATGGTGCCGCATACCTGGTGGCACATGCTGCTGCGTGCTCTGCCGGCGCACCTCCTTCTTTTTCTTGATGATTTCACGATAGAGGCGGTCGCGGTAGTCGGCGGCCGAAAACTTGGTGTTGTCATCGACTACGATTTGGCACGGCGCGGTCGCGACGGGTTCGTCCTTGTCGACATGAAACTGCGTCACGAACGGATGCTTGATCGCGTCGTCCGCCGAGATGCGCTTGGTCGGGTCAAACTGCATAGCACACGATGAGCGCGACGTAGGAATCGCCGACGACGTACGTGAAGGCACTGTCGAATCATGTCAATGGCGTCGGGCGTCGCCTTGGGCAGGAGCTCCTCGAGGGTTTGCGTCTTGGGCGGCGGCAAGCTCTCGAGCATGGTCGCGGCGAACGGCGACTTGATCGACTCGATGTCGGCCGTCGTCGGCGCGCCCGTGACTTCGAGGATCCGCTCGAGTTGGTTCATCGTGGACGTGCCGGGAAACGTCGGCCGACCAGACACCATCTCGGCCACGATGCACCCGACGGCCCACATGTCGACCGCTTTCGTATACCGCGTCGACCCGAGGAGGATCTCGGGCGCGCGGTACCACCTCGTCGCGACGTAGTCGGTCAGGACCGGGTTCGGCCCGCTCACCTCGGACACGGACCGGCACAGCCCAAAGTCGCACAACTTGGTGTGGCAGTCCGCGTTGAGGAGCAAGTTGCTCGGTTTGATGTCGCGGTGGAGCAGGTCCGCCGAGTGCATGAACTTGAGCGCTTTGATGAGCTGGTACGTCACGTACTTTTTGTGGATTTCTTCCAAAATGTTGGCGCGGATGACGGCATGGAGGTCCGTCTCTACGCCACGTCATGCCGCCGCTGTGGCATCGCCGTCGGCCACGTACCCATAAAGTCAAAGACGAGGTAGATGTCGCGATCGTTGTCGGCCTTGATCACGTTCAAGAGGCGCACAATGTTGGCATGTCCGTGGAGCTCCTGGAGGTACATGATTTCGCGGAACGTCCGCTGCGCGTCCGTCGCGTTGCGGAACGCATCAAAGCACTTTTTGAGCGCGACGGGCTGCCGCGACGACTTGTCGAGCGCTTTCCACACGATGCCGTACGCACCCTTGCCGAGTTTCTGCAGCAAGTCGTACTTGCGCAGGATGTGCTTCTCGACCTCTTCGCCCATCGCGGATGCCGCCGACTGACCGACGATTCGTGCTGCCCGTCTCTAAATTTAGTTTAGTGTACCAACGCACCAACAACTCCATCTTGACGACTTTATTTTTACACTGGCATCTCGCGCCGCTGCTGGCGCGCCGCCGCGTCGGCCTCGACCAGATCGAGGAGCGCGGCGGCGTCGTCGCTCTCGGTGGATCGGGCGCTGCTGCCGCGGGGCTTTGCCGCCCGTGGTGGACGCAGACACAACCACGAGAGCACCGCCGACAGCACGGCGCTCGTCGCGGCGACCACGGCCATGTGCGCCGTCGACGTCGTCGTGCTGAACGACAGGGGACGAGTGGATGGCCCGCCGCATCGGTCGTCGTCGGTCGTGGCGTGTCCCCCGGCAATGGGCGTTGCCGCCTGGACAATGTCTTGGAACGACCGGTCGTGAATGAACCGGCGAACCATGTCGAGCGCGGCCTCGGGGGCGTTGAACGGGACCATATGCCCGGCATCCCGGACGACGATGGTCGTGAGATTGCCGCCAGTCTGGACAAAGCCGGCGGGCGGCCCGCCTTCGTCCAACGCGTGCCGCTGGAGGCGCCATGTAAACCGCCGCGCCGCTGTAAACGCGGCCTGCCCGGGCCATTCGAGTTGCTGGACGACGTGCTCCGTGTTGAGCGCGTTGCATATCAAGTCCCACTGCCCATTGTACAGCAGCACGCGGACGCCACCCGCCAGCATGGCTTGGATGTCGCTGACGGTACTCACGGCGTCTTCGCCCGCGAGGTTCCTGTTCACGTGGGCATTGCATTCTTCAAACGTATGGGTAAATCGGACGTCGGTCGATGCTTTGTCGGACCAGTTCATCGCGCGGCGGACGTCGGCGCGGTTGAGGAATGCCGCCAAGAGCGGCTTCTGCAGCGGATAATGCGCGACGCTGCCGTACAGCCGCACGTCGTACACGTTGAGTCCAGAAGATGGCGCGCCGCTGGTCGACCCTTGGACGCTCGTGAGGATCGTGTCGAGGTTGCGGAAGCACGCGGGAGTGTTCATGTCGCCTGCGTCGATCGCGGCCTGGCACTGAATGTACTACACTCGACGATGTAAGCATGACAGCCATGCGCTCATGAAGCGGGGTACCTCGAGCTCCAGCGCGCGCCGCTGCGCGCGCGAGATCAACCCTAATCCATGCGCAAACGCGCTGTAGTCGTACTGAATGCGTGGATGAATCCATCCGTTTCCGATGCCGACACCGTCGATGCGGATCTACCGTCGGCGTTAGAATCCAGTCGTGGACACATACGATGGATACGTGAACGGACGGCGGCGCGTGCTGTGCGTTCTGCGCTGCGATATACGAGTAGAATTGAGGAATCCACCGGCCAGCATGGGACTCGCCAAAGAGATAGATCGGTCGCGTCGACGTGCCGGTGACGTACTGAGGATGGCGCTGCAGAAAACCCACGAGAAAGAGGTAGAACTGCGCCGCAACTTGCGCACCAGACGACGGATATGCATCAGGGTTGACCGTCGACATCCCAGTCCCAACGGGCTGATCGACAAACACAACGTTGGCGGCCTTGTGCCACCCGTGGGGATTCGCTGTCATCGATCCATCTTCATGGAGTCGGAACGGCCCGCATTCGACGAAGAGACCGATGAGGCTGGAACAACCGGGACCACCTTGCAACCAGATCACGAGAGGTAGCGTTGCCGCCGACTCGGACGCGTCGTCGGGGTCGGCGGCAAAGTGCCAGTAGAAAACGTTGCCGCCGTTCGCGATGTCCACGTTGATGTGTCCTGCGTGTTGGGGCGACTGGAGCCCGTCGAACCCGACGAACGAAGTGTTCCACGACGAGTCGAGCCGGCGCTGGTGTGCGAGAATACGATCCTCTGCTTCGCGCGGTATCCATCGGCTCGCATACGTCCCGACCATCGCAACCGACAGGATGCATTGCCACAGCAGAGCTACCGGCATCCTACCCGCATGCATTCGACCACGTTGTTGCCGCGCCGCCTCTCGTCGCGCGAGTGACGTTCAATCTTGGAACGTTGGTCGTCCAGACGGACGTTTCCGAAGGGTCCAGTTGATTCAAGTGTATATTTTATTCCAATTAAAAGCAGACAAGTTGAATATATTGTGTCGTGCGCAACTTTACCGAAAGGGGGGGATCGCTCGCCATCATTTTGCGATTTCGGGACGAGGAACGGTCAATGAAGCTCACGGTGAAGACGCTGCAGGGCGTATCGTACCCGATCGAAGCCGAACTGGAAGACACGGTGAGCGCATCCTCGGACGATTGTGTGTGTGGTAGATTCACGGAGGGTGTAGGTGCTGAGCGTGAAAGGCAAGGTTGAGGCGGTGAACGGTGCCGCTGTCGACAACCAAAAGCTCATCCATGCAGGCAAAGTGCTCAAGGACGACAGCAAGTTGTCCGAGTACAACGTGAAGGAGAACGATTTCTTGGTTGTTATGGTGACCAAGCCAAAGGTTGTGCGAAAAACTGCCGCTGATCCTGCACCACCGTCGACTCCTGCCGCGGCTCCGGTCGCTGCACCTGCTGCCGTGGCCCAACCACCTGTCCAAACCCCGGCACCGTCTACAGCCTCTTCTACAACCGCCACAACGTCCACGCCCGCGGCTGGTGCTCCCGGTATCGTCGTCGGTGAAGCTCTCAGCGAAACAGTCCGTCAGCTTGTTGACATGGGGTTTCCAGAAGACCAGGTGCGTCATGCCGATGGAGGAACGTGTATTCCATGTGCATATAGGTCCGTGCTGCGCTGCAAGCTGCGTTCCACAATCCCGAACGTGCTGTCGAGTACCTGATGAACGGAATCCCCGAACAACCCGCCGCGCCGCCTGCATCGACCACTGCACCTGCATCTGGCGGTCTCGGCGCGCCAACATCTCTTGAAGCACTCCGCCACCATCCTCAGTTTGATGCGCTTCGACGCATGATCCAGGCAAACCCGTCGGCTCTACCCACGGTGCTCCAGCAAATTGGCGCGCAGGTTCGTGCTCCATCTGTCCTCGGGGGCTGCATGTGGACACGATTTTACGTTGTGGTGCATAGAACCCTCAGTTGCTACAATTGATTCACCAGAATCAAGAGCAATTTGTTGCCATGTTGAACGAACCGATTGCGGAAGCAGCAACGCCATCAGCAACGCCGTCGGTGCCGGCGTCGCCGTTTGGTGACAGCGGGGCGGACGGGATGCCGACGCCGCAGCAACTCCAGCAACTCATGGCGTCGTTGTCGCCCCAGCAGCAAGCTGCGATGGCGGCGCAGATGGGCATGACGTACGAACAGTTGCAGCAGTTCACGCAGATGCTCAACACGATGCCGCCCGAAGCGATGGCTCAACTGATGCAACAAATGGCTGGCGGTGAAGGTGGACACGGCGCGCCGACGCGAATCCACTTGACGGAAGAAGAAGCGGCGGCGGTCGGGCGTCTCGTTGACATGGGGTTTGACCGAAATGAAGTGATCCAGGCCTACTTGGCGTGCGACAAGAACGAAGCACTGGCGGCCAACTTTCTCATGGACTCGATGTCGGGCGACTACGCCGATGCGAGTGGCGGCGACTCGAACGACGACATTTATGGGTAGAGAGATAATGATTCTTGTGGCTCTCCTCCATATACGTCGGGAAGTTCTTGTGGCCACCGCCGCCTCCTGCTTCCGCGCACGACGTGAGTTCCCTTCAAAATTTCTCACCGATTTCCTCCGCTCAAAATGTCGAGCAATTTGTCATCGGACTGGAATGGTAACATGTTTTGAGCGGAAGAAGCAATTTAAATTTCAAAGTGAATGAAATGCTACCTTGACTATTTTAAAACGTTGTCGTGTACTACATGTAGATGAATTTGAATTTGCAGCATTCCTAAATTTATATCTGGTGTACTAGTTCGTATTCCGAACAATTGTTAATGAAGACATGCCGTGAAACACTGCCATGTGGACGACAAAGGAGCATTGATTTTCTCACAGTTGCCGTCATGTTGTAAAGAATTGAAAGATATTATGTGGCACAAACCCTGCCCAAGGTCACGAAATGTGTAAACTGTTTTAAAGTCGCTCATTTGAATGATTCAAATGTTCAATGGTATTTGTAACAACTCCGACCGTAACACCAGACGTTAGTGAGAATATTGTTTTTCCCATTTGAAGATGATGGTTCGGTGGGTACGAAAATCCGGTAAATATCCGGATGCCCCAGCTGTGGAAGGCAGCACCATTTATTTTGCATTTCTTGACGCCGTACATCATGGCGGATTCGAACGATACACCTGCGCAAGCGACGGTGCCCGGCGATGGCGAACCAAAGCAGCTAAGCAAGAAGATGCAGAAGAAGGCAGAGAAGGGCAAGCTGAAGGAAGTGAAGGAAAAGGACCCGAACCGGTGGGCGCCCAAGGAGAAGAAGGCGGAAAAGCCCAAGCCGGTCAAGGAAGTGGCGGTGGAGGAGGTGTATGTGAATATCACCCCTGAAGGACAAAAGAAGGACTTGACGGCTCCTATGGCGGCGGGATACCAGCCTGTTGCCGTGGAGTCCGCGTGGCAAGCATGGTGGGAGAAGGAAGGGTTCTTCAAATGCGACGACGACAAGATCAAAACCGCGTCCAAGGACAAGCGCTTCGTCATGGTCATTCCTCCCCCAAACGTCACTGGTTCGCTCCATCTTGGTCATGCGTTGACCGTGGCCGTGCAAGACACGTTGACTCGATGGCATCGTATGTTGGGGCATGCCACATTGTGGGTGCCTGGTACCGATCATGCCGGGATCGCCACCCAGGTACGTTGCATCAATCGCTAGTCTCGTCGTCAAAAGTTGTCATTTGCGTAGTCGGTGGTGGAAAAGCGTCTGATGAAAGACGAAGGCAAGTCGCGTCACGACCTCGGCCGAGGCCCGTTCTTGGACCGCGTGTGGGAATGGAAGAACGACTACGAAACCCGTATCCACCACCAGTTCCGCAAGGTCGGGTGCAGTGTCGACTGGGACCGCGCGTACTTTTCCATGGACGACAAGTGCACAAGGGCCACGATGAAGGCGTTCAACCAACTCTTTGACGAAGGCTTGATCTACCGCGCCACGCGCATGATCAACTGGAGCTGCAAGCTCAAGACGGCGATTTCCGACATCGAAGTCGACTACATTGAGCTGGAAAAGCGCACGAAGCTCGCCGTGCCGGGCCACAACCCCGCCTTCAAATACGAATTTGGAGTGCTGACATCGTTTGGCTACGTTGTCGAAGACTCGACGGAGCAGTTGATCGTCGCTACCACTCGGTACGTGATGCCATTCATGTCGTCGCCCCCGCTGTCGTCGTCGGGGTGACTGGCAGCCCGTCGACCGCGATCGCCGCGGGCGTTCCAGGCCTCATGCTGGCCTGTCTGCATCGTGTGATGGTCAATTCGCGGCAAATTCGAGTCGAGCGGGCATAGAACTGACTGGGTTGTTGCCCGTAGATTGGAGACGATGCTCGGCGACTCTGCCGTCGCGATTCACCCCAACGACCCTCGGTACACACACTTGCATGGCAAATTTGTCGTCCATCCGTTCAACGGGCGTCGCATTCCCATCATTTTGGACGCCGAGTTGGTCGACATGGCGTTTGGGACGGGTGCCGTCAAGATTACGCCTGCCCACGACCCGAACGACTACGAGTGCGGCAAGCGCCACGGCCTCGAGTTCATCACAGTCATCGACGACGATGGCAAGATCAACCCGAACGGCGGCGAGTTTGCCGGCATGATGCGTTATGATGCACGTGTCGCGGTCGAGAAGGCGCTCACGGCCAAGGGCTTGTTCCATGGCAAGGTCGACAACAAGATGCGCTTGGGGATCTGCTCGCGATCGGGCGATATTGTCGAGCCGTTGGTCAAACCGCAATGGTTTGTTAACTGCGAGCAGATGGCGCAAGACGCGATGGCCGCTGTGCGGTCGAAGGAGCTCACGATTCTGCCGGAACACCACGAAAAAACGTGGTTCCGGTGGCTTGAAAACATTCGCGACTGGTGCATTTCACGCCAGTTGTGGTGGGGTCACCGCATCCCGGCGTACTTTGCCACGATCGAAGGCGAGCCGTTCGTGGACCCGAACGCTGAAACGAACAACCACCGGTGGTTCGCTGGCTTGACGGAAGAAGATGCGCGCGAGAAGGCCGCCGCCAAGTTGCAGGTCGACCCGTCCAAAGTTCTCCTCAAGCAGGACGAAGACGTGCTTGACACGTGGGTGAGCGCCGGCCTCTTTCCGTTCGCAGTCTTTGGCTGGCCCGACTCGGACGGCGAGTTCAAGGACTTTTACCCGACCGACTTGCTCGAAACGGGGTACGACATTTTGTTCTTTTGGGTCGTGCGCATGGTGTTCATGGGCCAAAAGCTCACGGGGAAGCTTCCGTTCCACACGGTGTACTTGCACTCGATCGTGCGCGACAAGTACGGCCGCAAGATGTCCAAGTCGCTCGGCAACGTCGTCGACCCTCTCGAAGTTATTCGCGGGTGCTCGCTCGAGACGCTCTTGGAAAAGCTCGACAGCGGAAACCTCCCCGAGAAGGAAGTGGAAAAGGCCAAGAAGGGCCAGACCGCCGACTTCCCCAACGGCATTCCCGAGTGCGGCGCCGACGCCCTCCGTTTTGGCCTTCTCGCGTACCAACAGCAAGTGGGCGACATCAACTTGGATATCCAACGCCTCGTCGGGTACCGCAACTTTTGCAACAAGCTCTGGAACGCCACGCGCTTCGCCATGTCCCATCTCGAGTCGGACGACGCGGCGAGCCGTTTCCACGACGGCATTGCGGCCACCGTGCTGTCGAACCCCGTTGTGAATGCGCGTGATCGGTTCATCTTGAGCCGTCTCCATGCGACGATTGCGACCGCCAACGCCGCCCTCGCCAGCTACTCGTTTGGTGAACTCACCACGGCACTGTACAACTTTTGGCTGTACGACGTGTGCGACGTCTACTTGGAATTGGTCAAGCCCGTCATGTCGGGGTCGGACGTCGAGGCCAAGAAGACGGCACAGCAAACGCTCTACTTGTGTCTCGAAATGGGGTTGCGCCTGCTGCATCCCATCATGCCCTTTGTCACAGAAGAGTTGTGGCAGCGCCTCCCTGGCTCCCGCGCCCACAGGAGTATTGTGATTGCTGCATACCCCGAAGCGCACCACCACGCGGCGTGGGCCAACGCAGAAGCCGAAGCCAGCATGGAGCAAATCAAAGAAATCATCCACGCCGGTCGCTCGCTGCGTGCCGAGTACGGTCTTGCCAACAGTGCCCGTCCTACGTGCTTCCTTACAACGGACGACGCGGCGCTCCAACGTGTGGTGGAAGGCCAAGTCGAGGACTTTTGCACGTTGAGCAAGGCCGGGGAAACCAAGGTGCTGCTCAACGCGGCGCCGCCTGCTGGGTGCGCTATCCACGTGCTCAACGACAAGCTGCAGCTGCACATTTTGCTGAGTGGGCTCGTCGACTTTGCCAACGAAATCTCGAAATTGGACAAGAAGCTGCAGAAGCTCCTGCCGTCGTTGACCGCGCTCGAGAAGAAGCGCGCCAAGGACGACTACACGACAAAGGTGCCGGAAGCCGTGCGCGAAGCCGACGACGCCAAGTGGGACGCGCTGACCAAGGAGAAGAACGCCATCACGTCCGCCATCGCTGCCTTCACCAAGTGCCAAGAAGCCGACATGAAAGCGTAATCCCCGTTGAATTTCAAGGGTTAATCCACAATGGCATTTGAATGTGTGACCCGCATCGTCTTGTACGTTTACACCGCGTTTGCCCATCGCGTCCAGTACACTACCACGACTGCCGCTCGAACGATAACTGACTAGTACGCCAGAGTCTGCCGTCGTCGACTCGGCGGTGCTTCGACGACGGATAGCTTCGACGACGGATGCGTCTCTGCGTTCGTGGAGCGGCCAACATGCCAGCCTCCATCTTTGTGGCATGATAGCATTCTACCATCGTGGATGCAACGACAAGCGAGGGCAATTTGTGTGGTAAACGGCAGAAATGGTCCCGTGTTTTGAAGTCAACTTGGCCGCTGCGACAACTCGTACGAGCTCATGGCTCATGGCGGCGCAGTGTTCCTCGAGGACGGAGTACGCCATGCCAAAAGTCGAGGGAGAGCCAAGGTGCCCATGGGAATAACAACGATGCTTGATTTCGCTTATCCTCGGAGATGGGCGCAGTCATCGCGACCAGTGGCCATGATGGCTGACGCAACCTGAGCCAGCGTCGTCGTCGGGGTGCGTGTCTGGTTTCTATAATTACTGTCCGTCCATGGCGGCTTGCTGTGCTTCGGCAAAGCGCACACCTACTCGTTGGGTGTGCTTGAGGAACTTTTCCGCGCACAGGTTCATGCAGTTTTCCTCCTTGTCTTCGAGCTTCTTGGATCGAAAGGATTGCACACATTCGTTGAAACATGTCGCGACGACTCGGTTGTACAACATCAGCGACTCCTCCAGCTGCTTCTGTTCAAAGTGCTTCATCAGCTCTTGCTGCTGATGCGGCGGAAGCGAGGCGGCGGCGTTCATGGCGGTGGTCGGACGTCAATGGGCACCACACACATTGGGTTGGCCGAGTCGGCCAATCAGAACTCGCTTCTTTCCACCAATCCCCAATCGAATAGAGACTATTTTCGACCAATCCCGTTAAAATTCGGACCAGCCAATCGCACACCCCGAAACGAGTGGAAGCTACATGGCGCTTCAACTTGGGGCAATTCAAAATGGGGAAGCTGGCGGAACTCAAGGCGGCGCCGGGCCCTCCCAGCAAGAAGCGCTTCCGGTTCCAGAAAGGCAAGGAGCGCATTGCTGGGCTCCAGTCGGACCTCCAGCTGTATGCGAAGACCCAGTCGTACTCAAACTTTCTCCTGGCCAACACAGCGACTGAACCGTTCCATGACGAACTCACGCTCCTCGGCGAGCTCTATACGAACGACCGCTTCCAGCAACTGTTTCGCAAGCTTCGACGCATCACCAACTCGACGCCGCAGCTTCTGCACCATTTGACCCAAGTCGTGCAAATCCTGGAGACGACCGTGCGCGACTTTACCCGAGACCCGGACGTCATGATCCCGGTCCTCAAGCTCTACGTCGCACTCGCCAAGTCGGGTCCTCTTCCCATGCATTTCCACGTACTCATTCCACCATGTGTAGGGATCTCCAGAAGGAATTCTACCCGCATTTTGCTGCGTCCCTTCCGCACATCGTGTCCATCATCGACAAAACCAACGTACGTGTGTTGTCATGTTGGTTGTCGTTGCTCAGCAACTGCCTTGCTCTATATGTTGTAGCCAGAGTTGACGGCCGACGTGTTCAAGTCCCTCTCGATGCTCTTCAAGCATCTGCAGACGCCGATCCTGGCCGACATGAGTGTCCTCCACAAATTCTACGGCGTGCTCGTCGGCCACCCCCAGGAATATGTCCGGGACTTTGCTGCGAATGTGTTTGCAGTCCTCTTGCGCAAGGTCAAGTCTGGCAGTGCGTTTCAGTCGTACGTGCTGAACTATCTTTCGGCGCTCGTTCGTGGAATCACGTCGAGCGACGCTGTTGTCGGTGCGACGCTTGTCGACAGACACAGCAACGTGCTGGACGGGACGGCGAAGCTCTTCTTTGCCGTGATGAAGAACGTCCAAGCGCAATTTCATTCGCGCACGAAGGAGCTCCTGCCGCTGCTCCTCCACTCGTACAAACCAAAACGGGATGCCGAGCGGCATCTCGGCGCCACCGTTTTGTACGACATTTCGAAACGCGTCGTCGTCATGCTTCGAAAGTACACCACCGACGAGCATGCACATGTGGTGTGGACGAATCTTCTGGACGCCGCCACCCACGCCATCGACGGCCTTGCGCCGCCCACCCCCCCCAGTTGTACGTACATTGCGCGCCAATGCAATCTTGTCGCGTTGTTCGTGTCGTACAAGCAAGGGGCGTTGGTGGGAAGCGCGATCCGTGCGCCGTTGCTCGCACTCGTCGAAACGTTGCTCGGCACATGTGTGGCCCACACGCCCGACCTCCGCGACGCCGTGCTGAATTTGCTAAGTCAGTGCGCCATTTCACTCCAAGGCGAATTCTACTCTTGCCTCGGGTCTATCTACACAACGACATCGTTGCCGACGGATGCTGACGTGGATGCGTTTACCGAAAAGCTCGTCTCGTTGCTTCCCGTCGGTGCGGTGGCCCAGCACGTGCTGCCGAAAGCCGCTCTGTATGCAGTCGAGCAATGTCGCTATGGCCATGCCGCGCTGCTCCGGTCAATGTCGGTCCTGATCGACTGGGTCGACCGCCACCAGGACGAGATCGACGCTGGATTCGTTCTCACGCGTCAAGCTGATCGCATCGTTGTCGACCTTGCCAAGGTCAGCAAGGACGCAGTCGGACAGTTCCAGAACACACTCGACGCTGTGTCGAATGCGCTCTCTTCCACCCACGACTTGGAAACCCTTGCGAACGTCCGGCAAGTGTTGCGGTGCCTTGCCTTTATCAAGGCCGCGCCGGCCCCGGATGTCGTCGCGATCGCAGTCAAGTCGTTGCTGGCCACGTTGCTGGAGCAATCTACCACGCACCAAGACATTACGTCGAAAGCGGCGCGGATCACGTTGCGTGCGCAGTGCGTCAGTGTCCTTGGCCGCATGGCAACGTTGCAACGGGAAACCAAGTCCGAGGCCGAGTTGCTCGCGTTGGTCGCGCCTCACCCGACGTCCCCGCACCTGGTGTCCGCCATCCAATCGTACATGGTGCCGTCCATCATCGACCCTGCGTCGCTGTCCTTCGAATCGTGGTACGCGCTATTGCATCGAAACGTACGCAGCGCGAATCACGCGCTTCGCCGCCATACGCTCCGGCTCCTGTCGCTGGCACCGCCCCTGGACTTTCTCGCGCCTGCCGACGCCACCCTCGACGGCCCGTGTGACGTCGTTGAGACGTGCCTCCAGCTCGAGGACACGGCCGCGACGCCTTCCGTCGACACGGAGCGCGAATTGATCCGGCTGCTCGATCGCGTCAAGGTGCTCGCTCGATCCGCGCAGGTTCCCGCGCTGTACATCGAGCTCATCGTGTCGCACATGCTGGGCCTCTTCCACGTCAAGTTGTCCACATTGTGGCCACACGTGTCGGCAGTCGTTGAGGCCGCGGTGTCGGTGCACTTTGAATCGATCTGGCACATCTTGATCGACGAGCTCGAGTTTGTGTCGATGCGGTCGGTGGCGGTCGTGCCTGCCCCGTTGCAGGCGCATGCCAGGACACTTGAATCGACCAACAACGCTGACGACACGACCGTACCAACAGCGTCGTCGCGCCTGGTGACGGCGCTGGCGCGCGACTGCATGGTCGAGCTCGGGAGCTCCGCCGCGCACGATGCCACCGACATTGAGACACACCATGGCGTCGTGTACAAGATGCTAGAGTCGTTTGCCCACGTGGTCGAGCACAAGTCGAAAGCGGTCGTCCCAGTCTTTTGCGAATTCTTACGAGATCAATACTACGTCGTGTACCCGGACGAAGTGGATCGAGTGGCGTCGGACGCGTTGACCGGCATCGTCGCGGGTGCCGCCAAGTCGAGACAGGCGAATCCCAAGTACGCTGTCCGCCACGTTGCCGCCTCGCCACTCGAGAGCCGCGCGCCGCTCGTGCCGACGGCAAAATCCGTCCAGGCCAAGCTCGTGTCGTTTTTGAACGTGTTCAAGCGCTTTACCAACTACAAGGGCGTGTACGGCCACGAGTTGCTCTGGTCGTTTTTCTATTCGTTGCTGCTCAAGGCAGACGACCGGCTGTCGCGCGGCGCGCTCGACTGCTTGTTCGCGTACAAACCCGTCTACTTGATGCCGTACCGCCAGCAACTGCTCGATCTGTGCGACCCGCACAAGTTTCGGGACACGTTGACCACGTTTAAAGTCGACCGGGCGTCGGGCATGCTGCACGAAGCGCACCGGAGTGCGTTTTTCCCCGTGCTGCTTCGCATGTTGTACGCCAAGTTTATCTCACGCAAGGGCACCCGCAGCGCCAAGCACTCGCTCGCGCACCGCCGCACGACTGTCCTCGCGTTCATCGTGGCGCTCGACGCGGACGAGCTTGTCCACTTTATCGACCTCATCTGCCGCCCGTTCCACCTGGGCTCGATCGGCGTCTACGACTACGCGACGCAACTCGCGCTCGCCGACGCCGCGATTGCGTCAGTGTCGCCGTCCAAGCAGGTCGGGTTCCTGAACGTGCTCGAGGAAGTCGTGGGCCAGCTCGGGATGAAGGTCCGACAGTACCTGCCCGACTTGCTCGCGATTTTGACGGCGATTCTCGGCCACGACGGCGTCGGACAAGTCCACCACGGCATCGATCTGGACGACGGCGAACGACTCGATGCAGCGGCACCAGTCGCGACGGACGCCGTTGCCATCAACGTTGCGGACGAACTCGAAGACGAGATCGACGAAGAAAACGAACCACTCGTGGACGAAGCAGAACAGGTTGGTCCTGCCAAAGATGACGACGTCGACATGCTGGACAAGGACGACAGCGACAACGAAGTCGACGCCGCGGCGGCCGGCGTCGCGCTTCGCAAACAAACGCGCATGCTCACGTTCCGCCGGCTGACGCAGATCGTGGACCAGGTACGATGTGGCACCAGTCTGCGTGTGCTGATGCCGTGTGTGGGCTAGTTTGATGGCCAGTATGACTTTGGCGAGTGCTTTGCCAAGCTGTTTGCGCTGTGCGACACGTCGATTGCCCACCTGCCGAACGCGATGCGCGGCGCCAAGAAACCATCCGCGTTGCTCGAGTGGCTGCGAGCGATTGCAGTGTCGGGATCGATTGTGACACAACTCACGCCAGACATCATCCAGAGTGTGCTATCGTGCCTGTCGAGCGGCACGGACAACATGACCGTGTCCCATGACGTGCTGGACTGCGTCTTGGGATTCATGGACGGGCTCTTAACTGCGGACGAAGCGCTGCATACAAACTTGCTCGTGCCTCAACTCGAATTCGTCTTGCGCCAGTTCATCGCTCGCTTCGAAGCCAAAACTGCCAAGTTTATCGTCGACAAGAGTGCAGGCGGGTCGTCGAAGAAGGAGCTGCACTTCCTGTGCCGGTTGGCGCCGCACGTCGCGCGGCGCGCGACGACCGTCGAGACGGCGCACCAGCTCGTGTCGCTGCTCTTGCCCTTTGTCACGCGCAACCACAAGACATCTCCCGTCGAGAAAGAGCATGTGTTTCAAGTGGTCGCGGGCTTGGTTCCGTGCCTCGACCGCCCTCATGCGCACGTCAATTTTCTCGCCAAGTTGCTCGCTCCCGGCGTCAACTGCATTCTCGACGCGCAGCCGCGCCAGAAACTCATGGACGTGTTTGCTGCCATCCACGCGCACCCGCATGCGTCCGATCTGGCCGCGATGTGCCAGCACATTCTCGACCTCAACGCGAACGATCCGCGCCGGATCGAAGAAGCCGACTTTGAGCGGCGCATTGGCGCGTTCGTCGCCATCAATGCCGCCGTCGCGTTTCAAGGATTCCGCGACCAGTCCGTCACCCTCGTGCCGCTGGTCAGCCAGTACCTCTACGTACGTGCTCGTGCGAGTCGATGCAGCGCCTGACTCAGTCTTCTAGAGCATGCACGATGCCGAGTACTCGCTGCGGAATGCCGCCAAGACAGGGCTCGAAGCGCTCGTTGTGCAGGCGTCGGTCGCAGCGCCAGACGACGTTGTGCGCCGCGTGTTTGAGACTGTGCTCATGCCGTGCGTCCGCGTGAGCCTCAAGTCCCCGGCCGAAGACATTCGGCGCGGGTTCATCCTGCTCCTGGCCGTGGTCGCGGATCACTTTTCGACGCACGCCAGCAACGCGGCGTCGTTCCACGGCGACCTCTCGATGCTGCGCAACACACACGACTTGGAAGTCGACTTTTTCCTCAACTTTACCCACATCCAAGCGCACCGTCGACTGCGCGCGATCCAAAAGCTCAAGCACGGCATCGACAGCGGCGAGTTCTCGGCGCTCTCCAACACAACGGCGCACCATGTCCTCGTGCCGCTGCTCCAGCACGTGGTATACGAGGCGAAGACCCAGGACGGCATTGGGGGCGAAGCCGCCGCGTGCCTGGGTTCAGTCGCCACTCTCTTGTCGTGGACCAACTACGCTGGGCTCGTGCGCAACTTGCTCAAGCAAATTCCTGGCCGGCCCGAGTCGGAGACGGTCATCATTGCAGCCGTGTGCGCCATCATCGACCACTTTCACTTTGACGGGATTGTCGTCACGGACGGCTGGAAAACGTCGCCGAGCGAGCGCGCCGCCGTCCCGGTCGTCGAAGCGTCCCCGATTCAGGCGGCCATGACGTCGTCGTTGCTTCCCATGCTTCAGTCGTTCCTGACCAAAGGCGACCGCAAGCTGGGCAAGGCCAAGGGGGGCAAAACCGACCACAGCACGACGACGGGCGACTACGTACTGCGTGTCCCTGTGGCGCTCGCGATCGTGAAGCTCCTTCGCCGCCTGCCGACGCACGTGTTTTACCACGAGTTGCCCAAGTTGCTGCTCCAGGTCACCAAGCTGCTCCGGTCCAAAGACGACGTGGTTCGGTCGTCGAGCCGCACAACGCTCGTCCGCATCGCCGTGGAGCTCGGGCCAAAGTACTTGTTTGCGATCGTATCGGAGCTCGAACACTCGCTCCAGCTCGGGTACATGGTGCATGTGCTGTCGTACACGTTGTTTGCTATCCTGGAAAAGGTGGCCGACGCGTGCGAGCAGCGGGCGCCCGCGCCGCTCACGTCGTCGACGGCATCGGACACCGACGCGCTGTTTGCGTCGCCGCTCGACGACTGCGTCCCGATGATCGTGTCGATCCTGGTCCGCGATATCTTTGGCGATATCGACCGTGACGACGTAACCAAGTCCAAAACCAAGGAAGCGCGCGCGTGCCGGTCCTTTGACTCGTTCGAGCTCCTAGCGCGATGCATCAACTTTCTTCCCAACCCGACCATCCACACGCTGCTCGTTCCGGTCGTGCAGTCGCTCGCGTCCGCTGCTTCCCGCAAGTCCAAAGTTCTCGCAAACGTCCGCCACGTGCTTGCGCGCGTCGCGCTCGGGCTGTCCAAAAACGCGAGCGTCGAACCCACGCACATGTACTTGTACCTGTTCAACATGCTGCGCATGTGCTTGGACCGGCTTACGTACGTCAAGCCGGCGGACGCAGCCACGATTCACAACGACGCCGGGGTGTCGTCCTGGGTCGTGCTCGACTGGGTCTGCCGAAAACCCACCGGCGTCCCGACCCGCGTGACTGCTTGGGACACATTCAAGATCGAAGCGCAGGCAAACATGACCGGGTTTGATCGGTATGTCGCGACCAAGGCGGACGCGGCCACGTCCGGCGCGGACGAAATCCTCTTGTACAGCGTCACGTTGCTCTATACGTTGCTGAAAAAGGACGCGTCCGCGCTCGCGTTGGTCGACCCGTTCGTTCCGTTGCTCGTCCGCTGCATCCACGAAATCAAGCACACGGACACAATCATCGTGGCGCTCAAGTGCGTTGCTGTCCTACTCAACCACCCGTACCCGTCTCTGGTCGCGGCGCTGTCGTCCGTGGTCGACCGCGTCTTCAAGGTACACACACGGTGGTCGTTGAGATCGCGCCGCTAAAGTCGTCGTCGTCTGTGTAGATGATCCAAAAGGCGGGCGCGGCCACCAAGAACGAAATGACGCAAGCGTGTTATCGGGTGCTGACGGTGCTCCTCCGCGTCCGCCACGAATATCACCTGGACGACGCGCAGTGGCGCGTCCTCCTGAGCTTCGTTCGCCATGACATGGAAGACATGGACCACCAGAACGCGACGTTTACGCTGCTCAAAGCCGTGCTGGGTCGCCGCGTCGTCGTGCCAGACGTGTACGACGCCATGGTCCGCGTCGGCGAGATGATGGTGCAGAGCCAGGTCGCGACCGTGCGGACGCACTGCGCCAGCATGTACCTCATGTTTCTCCTCGATTACCCGCTCGGCGACAAGCGGCTCAACTTTCACATTCGATTCCTTGTCAGCAACCTCACGTTCGTGTACGAGTCGGGTCGACTGTCGTCGCTCGAGTGTTTGCATGCGCTGGTACGCCGCGACTGCTTGTGCGACGTCGCTCACGCCTGTTGTGTAGGTGAAAAAGCTCCCGTCCGACATGCTGGACGGCCGCGCGCCGTTTTTCCTCTTGCCGCTTGTGCTCCAACTCGTCAACGACGACGCAGCATCGGTCCGCGAGCTCGCCGCCGACGTCATCTCGGACTTGTTCAAACGCGTCAGTGCCAACGTGTTTGCCGACTCGATGGCGCTCATCCAGCCGTGGTGGACCACCCACGATCCAAAGCTCAACTGCGCCGCTGCCCACGTCAGCGCCTTGGTCGTGACCGCGCGTCCCGACCTCGCCAAGAAAGCCGCGCCGTTCCTGACCCACGTGCTGACCGCGGCCCTGGCTCGCGCCGTCGGCATGATGGACGAACATGACGACGACATCACGGAAGTCGAGTGGGGGCCCGTCTACTACTGCCTCCTGTGCATCGACGCGGTCGGCAAGTCGCTCCGCGATGTCTTCGAGGCATGGGCGCCGACAGGGATGGGCACGATCGTGCAGCTCCTGACGTTTCCACATGCGTGGGTGCGTCTGGCGGCGGTCCAGATCGTACGTGGATATGTCCAGCGGCGGCATGCGTCCACGTTGCGTGTGGTGCCGCCGGAAGCGTCGAACGAGATCGAGTTCCTCGACCAGCCCGGCCGCCTCTTTGGCCTGGCGCAGCAACTGTGCAAGCAACTCGAAAGCAACTACTTGACCGACGCATTGGTCACGGAAAACGTGGCCACGTTGCTGTTCGTGTTGCGCGCGTTGCAGAGCCATCCACACATCGACCAGCACCACGAGCGGCTGGCGTCGCACGACGACGACGGGAACCAAGACGAGGAATCGGCGGCGGAAGAAGCAAGTGCGCCGTCGTCGTCCCCGGTGACATGGCTCTTTGCCCGCTTGTCCTTCTTGGCTCGAGGGCACCAACTGCCCTTGAGAAAGACGGCCGTGTACCGATTCTTTGCCGGCGCTGCAGTCCAGGAGACCCCGGCGTTCATGGAGACAGTCCTGGTCGCGATGCTGAACCCACTCTACCGCGACATATACGACGAAAGCGACGACCCGAACGATGCCGACGATGCCACAAGCATCCGCAACTTGGCGCGCGAAGTGCTGCAGGTGCTCGAGGCGAAAGTGGACGCGACCGCGTTTGTTTCGACCTTTGCCCATGTCCAAAAGAAAGTGACCGAGTTCCGCGAGCGCCGCAAACAGAAGCGAAAGATCGAAGCGGTCGCGGAACCCGACGTTGCCGCGGCGCGCAAAATGATCAAGAATGCAAAGAAGCAAGAGGCCAAGCAGCTCAAGAAGCGCAAAATCGGACAGGTCAAAGGGTCCCAGAGCAAGTACCAGAAGATTGCAGCGTCGAAAGAGCGACAACGCAACGCCCGCCCCGGGCATTACTAACCTTTCGAGCGCTCCAATTAACGTTATAGAGATATGCATGTGACACATCGGGATCCTTCTCGGCCGTGCCGCCGAATCCGTCGCCTCGGCGCTGCCACCGTCGTCGTCCCGACGATTTTTCGACAATTTCAACCATTCTGTGTTTGAATCTCGTACTTTGAAGGACGCGTGAATTCGTTGGGGCTCGACCGAATAAAACGCATGGTTTCATTATTTCGTTGCTTCCGAATATCCGTTGTAAAAGGGATATCATTGGCTCGACGACGCGCAAAGTTTGGGTTTTATCCACGTTCGTGGCTAGGTAAAATATCAAACTAACGCTAAAGTGGAATTCCACTGAAGACAACCGATCAAATAAAAAACTCGCACACGTTTGAAACTCATGCCGTGCAAGATGGTTGTGACACCACAAACGTACAGCCATTTCAAATGGATTTTAAATCGATTTCCAAACAGCATGCAGTTTCATTCGACGTGCATGCGGTGGTCCATTACGAAATTCAAGCGGCATCACCGAACATCGCGCCACGGTCGTGTCGAGATGTCGACACCTGCCGCTGCACCGCCTATGACGGCGCTGGAGGAACAGAGACGCCGACTTCAGCTCGAGCGCGAAAAGATGCGCTCTCGAAGTCGGCCAAAACCCGCAGCGGACGCAAAATCTGTCGTGCACCAGGAACCGACCGCGAGTGACGCGACCAGTGATCGACGAAGCTCATCTCGTGAATCCATCTCGCCACCGAGTCCACTGGAATCCCGATCCAGCTCGTCAAGTCGCCACGGGCATGGAAGTGTTGTGAATGTGCCCGCGTTCCCGTTGTTCCGGCCAGAAGCGTCAACTGAAAGAAAGGCGCGCGGGTCCAACGACAAGCTCAAAGTGTCGGCCTGGAACAAGGTGAAATCCATCGACGTCAAGCGCGAGTTGGCGGAAAACGTTGTTGTGCAAGTGCTGGACGACTCAGAGGCATCCTTGCCGCAGGCAGCGAGCGCTGTCGACACACCGTTTCGAATATCAGTCCAGCTTCGAGACACGTCATGGCGGGTTACTCGCCGCATCAGCGACTACATTTTGCTTCGTCCACTGGTCCGTTCTTCCTGCATCGTTCTACTCACCGACTCGTTTGCGTCTAGGTCCCGAACCTTCCTCCACTGGATGCAATCACAGCCGACATGCCGTACGCCGCGGTGCGCATGTCGTTCCAGGTCGCGCTGCAATCCGCAGTGCGTCTCATCGATCCATGGACCACAGATGCGTTCGTAGAGTTCTTCGACAACCACTTCGGCATCTTTGCGTTGATGCTGCATGCCAAGCAACTCACAGATCGGCTCGTCACGGTCGAAACTGCGCATGCGACAACAAAGGCTCATCTAAAGGCGTGTCAAGATGCGGTCGGGAGCCAGCAAGTCCTCCTCAACACCCTCAAGCAGCTTCCTGCGCCGACGACGGCCGCTTGCCCCACTGCTCCGCCATCGTTCCTGCCGCTCGCGTCGTCGTTCCCGTCTGCGTTGTCAGCTCCTTTTACGGCATCCCCACCTTCGTCGGCACTTTGGGAGTCCACGTGGGGGTCGGCCTCGCCTACATTGTGCATGTTGTCAACACCCTCACGCCACCTCGCGACTCAAACCCCCATGTGGGTGCCATCCAACGACTTACCGACTGCAGCCGACCTCCGCATCGTTCGAGTCGTGTCCCAGCTTTCGCCGACGCCTGCTGCCGTCACCCACCGTCTCCGCATCTTCCACTCGATCTCGTCCATCATCAAGAGGAAATTGCTGCCGGTGCAGGCCCAAGTGATGCTCGTCGGGGGCTCTGCCGCCCACGTCTTCCTGCCCGACTCACCGTTGCGCATCGGTGTATTTATCCCGTCCAACTCGTCGACCACGACGCCATCAACGTCGGCCGATCTGCACTGGCACATGAAGGTCAATGAAGGTCTTTGCCAAGCCAGCAACGCCGTGTGCCATGCACCGTGCACGAACGATGACAGCACGTCGTTGCTCCTGATTCAGCACGTCGAACTGAGCAACGCCGTCGGCAACGACCCCCACGTCACGTGCAACGTCGGACAAGTCATGGTCGACATTTGTGCCAACCCGATGCACGACATTCGCGCCGCGTATTTTATTTCATCCATCGACTCTCTGATCGGTCGCAATCACCTCTTCAAGCGAAGCGTGCTGCTCGTGCATGGGTGGCTCCTCTACGAGGGCAATACTCCGTCAGGGTCGGCATCGCACAGTTCCGACCCCCGCAGCACCTTTGCCAGCAACGGCTTGTTCAACGACAGCGCCACCAACCCGTCGAGCCTGTCGTTGTATGCGATAGCTACGCTTGTGTTGTACGTGTTCAACTTGTTCCACGACTCGATTCACATGCCGTTGCAAGCGGCTGCCCACTTTTTCGGGTTGTTTGCGGCATTCCCATGGGACGGCTTTTGCGTCGCGATCGAAGGACCGCGCGATCTCCGTAGCCTGACGTCGCCGCCCCAGCGACCTCGAGACGGTGCCGCGCCGCTTTGGTTGTCCCAGCAAATCCTGCGCATGCACCGATCGGGTCAACTGGACCCGCCCATGGCTCCAGTTGGACCGCACACCGCCGTCTTTTGCAACGACGAAGTCAAGGACGAGTCGGACGCCGACGAAGTCGCCCGGATGCTGCAATTTCCCGTGCGTCGGTCGATTCCTCTTGAACGAGATACCTGACGATGTGCGTAGATCAAGAGCATCAACATTATGGACCCCATCGACTCCCGCGTGAACCTCGGCCATGCGCTGTCGGCCAAACAGTACGTCGTTCGTTTTCTTGAACGAGGCGTTGACCGGTTTGTGTGCAGAGCGACACAGTTCCGACAAGCCCTCGACCACGGCGCGACGAAACTGCATAGTGTGTTGGCTGCCATGAAGAAAGAGATGACTGCTGCAGTCTCGACGTCCCTCGGCTCCACGTCGAGGTGTGTGAGTGTGTTGGCTGGTTTTCATGGCTTACCACATCGACGCAGTGTGTCGCTTCTAGACGGATGCTTCCGCGGTGTCTCGACGCGTTTCCAAAGCGGGTGGCGTCCTGACACGGCCGTCGTCGTGCCGTTCGACCACCCGGATCGCCATGCACTGGCCGATGATCTGCTCCAGAGTCTCACCCTCCTTCCGCAAGACTCGTCGTCGATGCCACCAGCACTGTGTCCATTCTCGACCTCGCTCGATGCACCGCCACCTGAAGACACCCTTGCCGTGTGCCTGGAATCCCTTCGGTACCGTTGGGAAGTGGATTGTGCCACTCGTTGCGATGTTTCTTGACGCGGCGTGTAGACATGACGTATTGGTGTGTGACTTTGTCGTGACTGGGCGCGTGACGGCGCCGGCGGTCTACTCGATGGCGATGGAAGTACTGGCAAACCGCGGTGCCATGCCGATTGGCGAGATTGGCAAGTGCCTTCAGGAGATGGTCACGTCGACGGCAGCGGCGCTCTCGGTCGTGTTGAAGGAACAGTTTGGTGGCCTCAAGAAATTCCTCGAGCAGTACCCTGCCGTGTTCATCGTGAGCTCGGACCACCCGTTCAACCCCAAAGTATATTTGCAACGGTGCGTCTGTCGCTGACGTCGTCGGAGCCGTGGCCTCACGGACGGCATAGGATGCTCACCGAGAGCAGTGCTGCCCAAGTGCTGGACGGCACCCTCGTCGACGCATCCCGGAAAAAGGTATCACGTCTTCCACGTCGCCGCTAGACCATTCCATCTCACGTCGTGCACATCCAGAAACCCAAACCCACCCGAAGGAAGAAGCACGACAAGGACGACGACGCCAATTCGCCGCGATCGATCTCGCTTGCATTGCTGCCATCCGAACAAGGCCATGCTGGACCTCCGCCACCGGGTTTCGGATTCCCTTCCTCCCAGCACGGTCGCAGTCTCTCCTTTGAGTCGTCCCTGAAGAAGTCCGCCGCCGCGTTCGTTCCCGCGGACCACATCAGTCGCCGCATGATGGAAATGCCGACGAAATCGTAGTATGATAACATGTGATTGGCGGATTTGGCATTTGTCCCCGTGGTTTCAACCAATCAAATCGCATTCGTCAATAGGCTTGATTAAAGTATGTATTTCGGTGGACGAAGTTGATTGGACTTGCTCCAACTTGCATTATACCGACATCATGGTGAAGAAGCGCGTGCTGTCGCCGGCGCCACTGCTGGATCCGGCGCTGCTCACGGCCTTTGTCGAAGCGAATGGCCTCAAGCTCGTGCACGCACAGAAGATCTGGAAGCATATCTCGGCGCAGGTCCAGACGCAATCCACCGCCAACATTTCTGTCCGCGACGTTCTCCACTTGCCATCGCACGCGTACCCGTTGCTTGAAGACTCGTTTGCGACTTTCACGACGACGGTGACTGAACAACACACGTCGAGTGACGGCACGGTGAAGCTCCTGATCACTCTCCAGGACGGCCACAACATTGAATCGGTCATCATGAAGCACTCGGGCCGCAACACGCTGTGTGTGTCGTCGCAAGTCGGGTGCCAGATGGGCTGCACGTTCTGCGCGACGGGCACCATGGGGATCATTGCGGATCTGTGCGCAGGAGAGATTCTCGAACAACTCGCACATGCTTTTCGCGTCGCCCCCATACGCAACGTTGTGTTTATGGGCATGGGCGAGCCGCTCAACAACTACGACGCTGTCCTCACGGCCATCCGTGCCATGACCGATATCTTTGGCCTCGCGCCCAAGTACATCACGCTGTCGACCGTCGGCGTCATTCACCGCATTCGACAGCTCAAAGAAGACGCGCCGCTCGTCCGCCTCGCCCTGTCGCTCCACGCGCCGACCCAGGACCTCCGTGTGCAGATTGTACCGACCGCCAAGGCGTACCCGCTCGACAAACTCATGCTCGCCATTGACGATCATCTGAAAGACCGCGAGAATCGCATGGTCATGATGGAGTACATCATGCTCAAGGACGTCAACGTCGCCCCCGACACGGCGCACGACTTGGGCAGGTTGCTCCAAGGCAAGTCCGTGGTACGTTCCGTGCAGCAGTCGGTCGTGCATGCTCACTGCATGCGCCACTAGCACATCAACTTGATTCCGTACAACGCGACGGACGTGGACGCCGAATTCCAGTCGCCGTCACAGGACGAGATTGTCGCGTTCAAGGACATTTTGCGCGCCGAATACCACCTCAAAGTCACGGTACGACTCGTACAGGCGGCGTTGCTGACGGCGTTGCTGTCCAACGACAGGTTCGAGAGAACCATGGGATGGACATTGACGGCGCGTGCGGGCAACTCGCCGTCAAAAAGTTGGAGGCTGGCCTGCCCAAGTCGTCTGGACTCGACCAACGAGACATTGAAGATCTCGGCAAGCGCACGAACAAGGCGCCCAAGCCGTCCAAGAAACAAACCAAGACCGACGACACTTCGGCAACTGCACTGTTTGTGGCCATGCCCATCCTTGCCATCGTCGCGGCGGCGGCGTTCGTGTGGCGCCGGCTCCAGCAGTAACGACCCCTCCAATGTTCAAATCCTCGTCGATCTCGTTCACATGCCACCGTCACACGCGACACTGCATCACGTGAGCGGTCGGATGCACCTAGGTAGTCGGCCGCAATCCACGGCGACATGCCGAATGCGACTGAGACGCGTTCAAGATAGCGCGGCAGCGGTGTGATGTACGGTGGGGACCTCATCGCGAGGCTGGTGCGCGTCGATGAATCGGATGGTTGGGCGTACGAGAACCCGCGTGAAGGGAGAGGAGGTCGCATCGTGGTGACGATTTGGTATTTTGGCACGTTGACTACATGACGTCGATCTGAAAGCCAGGAACCTACAACACGTGAGAGGTCCATGCGTGCGCACATGAGGGCGGTGACGGTACCGCGGACGAGAGAGCGCCGACAGCGTGGGGGAGCGCCAACTGGAGGGAAAGGTTCTGCGCGGAGGCCGCTTGCGCCACTGCCCACGACACGACCTGTCTCCACTGGGAAAACGTTGCTCGGGTGAACTGAAATTCGCGGGGAGCACGGGGGATTTGCTCCAAGTACCACACGATGTGGGCGAGCAACTCGTGGGCAAGCGGCGACGCTGGTGCGAGCCACGCCGTCGTCGCGTCGAGCAACTCGATCGAAAACCAAACAAACGTGGACGGTGGGGATGTCGCCAGCGTGCAAAAGGAAAAGAACTAGAACGAAGCGTCGTCAGGCACACTCGGGGGGGAGTGGTCGATCTGCGTGTAGTACCTTGGTCAGCACGGCAGGGAGACGCGCAAAGTCACTTTCTCGGTCGTTGCTGCAACGCTGTCTTTGGTACGCCAGCGTTCGACAGAGTTGGTGGAGCTGGCTCATGGTGTTGGCGCCATATCGGTCGCTCGGTCTCTCTGACAAGTGGTAGCTCTGTCCACAGATATCGTCAGGCGATGTCGCACCGTTCGCACGTATCACCTCGATCGAAGTCTCCACCAAGGCAAGGACGAGCGCCGTGAATTTTCCCTCGTGCTTGGTCATGACGGCCTGCAGCCATCCGAGGAGCCCCATTTTGTGCACGAGAGCGACATTGCCAGCCGCCGTCGCCGCCGCTTTCGTCAAAATTTCCAGCACAAGCGCCTGGGTGTGTGCGTCCGCCAGCGGCGAGTCGAAGAACCCGAGGAAGATGGAAAAAACGTGGCGGCGTTGGAGGAGGTCCACGTCAAGGTCCACCTTGAGACCGCGCTTGATCTATACACCGCATGGGGTCGTGCCGTCACGAGAGAGAGAAATGAAAGGGTGCCATGTACCAGGTGGAGCAGCCAGCTCCGTTCGGCGCGAAACATGGTCGAGCTGCTGTTGAAGAGCGCATAGAACATCGGGACGTCGTTCACGTCCAGGGCAGACCGCGACAGGAGGAACGCGTTTACGAGAGGATACATAAAGTGGCCAGGCTTGAGCAATGCCGAGATGGCGTCGTTGACAAAGACCGAAATGAGGAACGGAAGGCGCGTGTGGGGGTGTGCAATGCCATTCTTCAGCGTCTCGAGGAGGAGGTGCACTTGTCTCCGCTCGTTGAACTCGAACGTGCGCGCCGTCGAACTCATGGACTCATGGGCGCTGGCCACGATCCCGTACGCGAACGATCGAATCATGTCGTCTTCCGCGGAGAGACCGCAAATGGCATACCTACAAGCACGTGGGCAAGAACAGCCACTCGACGGGCAGCGTACCCCAAGATGCCAGACTGAAGCAAGTGCCGGTCAGGAATGCTGCTGGTGGACAAAGTGTGCGCGACGAGCGGCAGGAAGAACGCGGGGTCGTACACGGCAGCGCGGTTCGACGACGACGGCGCGACAACGTACTGGCCAGCAAACGGACGGTCGTGAGGAAAATGCTCGATCGACGATTTCATCGTGTCGGCGTCAATCTCGTCCAAGAGCCAATGCTGTTCCAGGTCGCCCGCGGACAAGTGGTTGGCCTTCCCGAAGCAGTACCCGACTCGGTGCAGCGTCAGGTGCGTTCCGTCAGCGACTAGTGCATCCACAATCGACTTGAGGAGGAGATCCACAGGCGACGTCGTCGCGCCATACGACGACAGCACTGCACAAAGGAATTCTTGCGTGCACACCGAGTCGTTGTCGACCGCGTGGTGTACCGACAGTTGGAGCAAAGCACATAACGTTTTCAAGTACGACTCGTTGCTGTGCAACGTGTCGAATCCATCGACGAGCGTGCGCAGCAACGACGAGTAGTCCGCGTCAGGAAAGCGCGGGGCGACCGCCGCGACGAGGTCGAGCAACGAGTGTCGAGTGACCCACGAACGAGTGGAGGTCAGATGGCGCACGAACGACTGGATGGTTGTCAGTGGGACTCGCTTGGGCACTCCATACATGGACAGGATCCGCTGCGTGAAGCCAGCGACGCCATCGATGACGCTGTCCGAGAACACGGTCGAGTGCAGCGCCAGCTGTGCCAGACCAAAGCTCACGCACTTGGACGTTTGGCGCGTCAGGTCGGCGTGTTGTCCCGCCAGGAGGAGGAGCTGCAGCGTCGACGCCGACACCGCGTGCTTCTTGTTCGCCACGACGTCCGATATCCAGTCGACGTGGGTGAGACGAGCGCCGCCTTGTCTGTACAGTGTGGCGCACGCTTGTACAAGTGCGGTGACAGCAGCACCGTCGGGACGGTCATCTTGTTCGTGCTCCAAGATCTCTAGGACGAAAGAAGGCAGCACGACCGACTCGATCCATGCGACTGTGTCGGACTCGAGAGGCAGCGAAGACAGATAGACTGCGCAGAGCCGCACAAGTCCCGCCAACGTTGTCGGGATTCGTCGAGACGGGGTGTCTCGCACACGCGTGAATGCGGCACGGCACTCGCGCGATCTCTGGAGCAATTCCTCGAGGATGTGCAGGTTGAGCTCGTCGTGAGGATGGCTCTGGAGGCGCTTCCAGCACGCGTCAAACAGTGGAACGGTCACTGCGTCTTGATTCACGAGAGGGTGGTGCTGGACGTAATGAAGGAGCCAGCCCTTCACAGCGACGGCCGCGCTGTCGTCGCCGTCAAGAGTTTGTCCGCACGCAAAGACTTGTTTGAGGAGGACGGGCCGAGGCAGCGTTTGGGTGCGTGAGTGTGCAATTAAATGCACGACGAGCGGCGTATTCACGAACGGCCGTGCGAGGACGGCGGAAAGCGCGTCATGCAGCTGATGGGGCGACAGGTGATGCCTCGTCAGCACGACGCTCAACGGCAGGTGGAGCTCGTGCGGGTGGGTTGCGAGGAAAGTCGACATCGTGGCGTGCGGGACAAACGCGCTCAGCGCAAACGGCAGGACGCTCCATCGCAGCAGCACGGGGTCATGTCCGTCGTGGAGACTCGACATGGAGGGAAGGTCGGCGTGGTAGCGCCACACCATGTCGTAAAAGGCCGGGGGAGTGCTGCCTTGGCGGATTCCCCACAAGAGCAAAAAGTGCAGCGCCGTCGTCGAGAGCTGCACGGCGTTCGTATACTCGGCCGATGGGGCGAGATCCTACACTTGCGACGTAAGTACACACGTCGTCCATCGGCCACGAAAGCCTACCAAACGCGTGCGCTGGTGGTACACGACCAGGCCATGGACGAGTTGGAGGATCGCGAGTTGTACAGTCGATGTGTCGAGTGCTTTGCTTTGCAACAACGCCGTGACGTGCCTCGCTTCAAGATTGACAGCGTGGCAAGATCCGAGTAGCAGCACGTGCGGCGAAAAGAGCGATGCCAGTACGACGTCTACGGGGCAATCGTCGAGAAACTGTCGGATGACAGGACTGGCCTTGGCACGATCTCGAACGGCGTCAAGAGTCGGGCTCGTCGACGCTCCGTCGCTGGCAAAGACGGACGCGGACGGGTGGACTCGAAAGTAGTTCCAAACGATTGCAAACGACTTGTACTTGTTCCAGACTGCATGGAGCACGTCGTGGGTGAGCACCACGACAGTGTCGTCGACGGGTTGGACGGTTTCGAGGTGCAAGAGGGCGTCTTTAGGGGACAATGTGACACGATGACGGGGCGAACGCGGTGGAAGGCGGTGGCCTTGCGTCGTTTCTGCAAAGCAGCATACCAACTTGTGGGGATCCCGGTCCCGATCAACATTGTCCGCGCAACCGAGGATCGACCACATGTGTGGATACAGCGCCACGAGCTTTGCCATGACTTGCACTCCGTACGCACTCACGAACGACGGGTCGAGGTGTTTGAGGGGAAATGGCAATTGGTGTCCGTGAAAGTACGCGACCAGCGCCTGCGTCATGGGGCTCACATGGTTGTTGACAAAGTGGAATGGATGGGCGGCGACGCCGCGCACCATCACGTCCACGAACGCGGCGGCGGCCGCCGCCGCGTCCTTGGACGGAGACGCAAGCAGCGGCTGCAACCACATGTCTATCTCATGGGGGACGTCGGCTTCGGGTACGACAACGCCAAACGTGTGAAGCGACGAAAGCACCCGGCGCAGCACTTTGTACGCCAACGGAGTCGCGGGACTGGCTGGCGTCGCGGTGGCGTAATCCAGCAGCATGTGGAACTTGGTCGAGTCGCCGACGACAATCCATGCCAGTCGGGACGTCTCGGCGACGTCAAGAAGGCCGAGGACTGCGCCTTGCAGTGGCAGGGGCAGGTGGGGGGCAATCAACTTGGACAGGTCGAACTTGGTTTCGGTCATAAGCTGCGGTAAATGGGCAAAGTAGAGCTGCAGCAGAGACAGAGACTTCCCGTACACGACCGCAAGCTTCTTGTTGGCAGGGGATGCCGCCGCAGCTTCGTCGAAAGTCGGTCGGTACTTGGTGCACAGCGACACAATCAGTTCAGGCGGCGGAACCAACGATCGCACGGCGTGCTGGAATTCCACGGCGGCCGCAGCGTCCACCGCAGCCCGTTGTAGCGCTGCAGCGCGTTGCAGCACGACTAAGATCAAGTTCAGCGCCGAGTGCACGACGAGAAGGTCGGTGTGTTGCACAGCCTTGGACAGCTCCTTCTTTTGCATGCCGAGAGGAAGTACGAGCTTCACCAACATGTCGTTTGCCAGCCCCGTGGTCGCTGGCGGGGACGTCAAAAGTGCTGAAATTGGAAGTTGCAACGCCTTCAACACAAACGAAGCGGCGGCAAACCACTTGTACGACGGCCTGGGCTCCATGACAGCGTGAAATGACTGAAAAACAACGACAATCAGCGCAGGATACGTCGTGACGAAGCGAAAGAGCAGTGCTTCTCGCGTGGGATGCGCCATTGTGGCAGTGAGGTCGAACGCCGCGAGGAGTTTCGTCACGACCTTGATGGCAGTCGCTTCCGATGACGTCGGCGCAACGGCGGTGTCGTCTGCGCCAGAAAACGTTGACGAAGACGGGTCCAAGTGCGCGAGCGTTGCAGCTTGAGACACCCGGTAGAGTGCGTCCTGGACGAAGAACAGGTCTTCAAACGTTTGCATCGCCAAGTTGGCGATACGTGCGTCGGACGAGTCCAACAACTTGACGAGTTGAGAGATCGAAAAGGACGAGTAGATGGCGCGCTTTCCACGAACGTCGGTGGAGCGCAAGACGGACGTGGCCAGCGTCGAGAGGATCGTCTCGACGTCGTCGAACGTGTCTTCGTCGATCGGTTTGAACAAGCCGGCTGCAATGCCGTCACCTTTGAGCGCGAATCGGTGAATGTGCTGGTCGTCCGTTCTTGTCAGCGCGAGAATGAACTCGATGAACGCGTGGCGGACGTTGAGTTGGCGGGTGGACGACGCGGTCGGCGCGAACGGCTTCGACCGACGCACGCTGAGTTTGTCGAAGAACTTGGCCGTAAAGTCGAATACACGAACGAATTCGCGCGCAACACGTGGATGCAGGGACACCATTGACGTGCACAGAGCAAGGGTCGCATGTTCGACGTGCGGCTTGTCTGACCAGCTCAGTTGCTTCGAGATGAGTTCCATCTTTGTCTTGAGGATGTGGAGCGCAACGGTCTCTGCGACGGACGGAGAGTTCGCGTGAAGGTACTGAAACACGTACGTGAGCAACTCCATAACAACAGGAATGATCTGGCGCGTCGTGTCCTCCATCCAGAGGGCACTTCCCCACAAGTCCACGAGCGGTTCTGACTGCGGAGAGATCTGCAAGTACGACCGAAGCAACGGGCACGTCGGCAATGCTTCACCAGTTGCGGTATCTACCAATACACTGGCATGAAATTCACGGAGCGTCTTCATGACGGTATCGAGTTGCCCTCGTTGGACGTTCAAGATCAAGTCACGCAAGACAGACGTGGTGACCGGAACGGTAGCAGGCATCTCCTTCGCCGGTGGCACAAGATGTGACGAAGTCGCTTCATCTTTTACGCCACCACTCTTGCGCTTCTTCAGCGACGACGTGTCTGATGGTACTGGCGCAACGACCCCGCGCTTTTTCACCATCGCCCCGATAAATGGATCAAAATACTGGAAATGGATTGGCTCTCAAGGCTCGAAAAATATTTCAACTAACGTTATTGCAGAAACACAGAATATTTCTCACAGGTTCACTGTTATTTTGTTGTTGTGTTTGTTCAAACCAATCGTCACCTCAGGTAGTCCGTTTGCCCGAGTGGTCTAAGGGGTCACGTTCAGGTCGTGATGTATTCGTACGCGTGGGTTCAAATCCCACAGCGGACAAGTTTTTTCGTGCGTCAAATCTATTGTATGACGTTATATCAGGGTTTCATCCGGATGAGATGCTTTTCCGTACGTTTTGCATTAAACGCATAGAACGTGAAACGTGGGATTTCCATTTGGACACCGCATGACGACAGCAAGTAACAGTGTCGCGGCCAAGTTTCCCTCGCAAGCCAAGGAAGTCGGAGAGACTACAGAGGTGTCCAGGCCTAGAAGCAAACCGATCGCGGGTTTTGTGTCGACCTCCGTCTTGTCCTCGTCCGATGGGGTAGGCGTCGCGCGCGATAATTCAGGCGATGATTCCTGACCGTGTACGTCCAGTTGTTTGGAGATAATGTGGAGGAAGTTCGCATCACGGATCGACCTGAAAGCTCCGCGGACAAGGTAGACTACCGTCCGCTCTATGAGCGGTTAAAGGAGCAGAAAAACGCGCGCGATGCTGACTGGAAGGAGAAGAACAACCCTTTTGGTAGGCGCATGGAGCTTAGCTGCATGTTACATTGACGTCATGTAGCACCACCCAAGGGCCTCGACGACGAAGAGATCGACTTTTTGCACACTTTGGAGTCCGACCAGAAGAAAATCCAAGACGAAATCTCACGCCACCATGAGGAAGAGTTGGCACATTTTGGTATGCTCCACGCTTATTTCTTGGATCATCCACACATGAATCTTGTAGCCCTGTTAAAGCGAGAGATCAACCAATCCAAGAAACCACCCGCCGCGAATTCGGTGCCGATTGCCGCTGCATCCGTGAACAGGACCGAATTGCCCTTGGAAAAGAAAAGCATCAAGGTTGCCGCCAGGGCGAAAGTGAAGAAGTCCAAGCAAGGTGGCCATGACAGTCAAGGTACTTCGAAGAAACAGAAGACCGCCGCGCCGGTGGCGAGTCTCGTGGCGGCGTACAGCGATGACGACGACAACTGCAGCTCGGACACTTGAATTTATTTGAAACTTGACATCAGTGTTCCCAACCGTTTCTTGGTGGGTTTCCGCAGGGGCGGCGACGACGCTACGCACACCAATTGCTTCTTCATGGGTGGTCGTTTTGGTCGCTCGGGGGTCTTCAGCACCATGGTGTGCCGCGTAGGTCCAAACGATTTGGACGGTGCGTTGTCGATGGTACCAGCCGAAAACGTAAGGTGTTTCGTGGGAGTAGGTACGGTCTTGTGCACGATGGGGACCACAGGAAGGCACTTGGGCTGGTTCGACGTGAGCACGACCTCTTGGAACAGGCTTCGACTCGCCTATACTCGTGGGATGAGCACTAACGGAGTTGTGTCGTGCAATGGCAGACCTTGGGATCTTTTGATGTAGACGACGCTCGATCCTGCAGAACTTGAGAAATCGAGCAGTCGGCGTTTAAATTTGGTTCACTTGGCTGTGTTCGTGCGACCACCTACACCCGGACTCGTTATAAAAGGCCAGTGGACAACTCGACTTCGCACAATCGATGGCGTGGTCTTCTTGGTCTTGTCGTCGTTCGGGAGAGTGATTTCCAATGCCCTGTAGAGCCATTTGAATGTCTTGGGCAGCGACGACTGAAATCGATGCGCTAAAGTGTCCAGGATGAATGTCCTAAACGCCGACTGGGTGTCGTCGTCGGCATTGTTGGATGCCACCATCGCCAACGAGTCCATCTTCATCGCCATTGACGACAAGATTGAGTACAACACCTTCTTTTCCGTTTTGTCCATGGGGTCCGCTTTTCGAAGTGCGGCTTGGCCTAGTCGACACAGCACTTGGAGCTGCAGTTGGCGCAATTTCTCGTGTGGATTGCCATGCACTTGCTTCAAGTCGGCCTCCGATACAATCAGTGGCGTAATGCGAGGCAGCAAGGCTTTCCGAGACGACGACTTCTTCGTGCATAGGTCCGCGAACGCAACAACTCCTGCGTCAGACGCGACCCCTGCGGCGTACGCATCGGCCATCGATGCCAGCGCCTCACTCATGATAGAAAGGCGCCGACGAAGTTGAAATAATTCGAAAGTATATTAATATTTAACTTCTATATCCAATTCTTTATTAATTAGATTTTCAATAAAAAAATACTTGTCCAAGAGTTCTATTTTGGCGCCAAACGTTGTCCCACGTGGTCTCACTAATGTTCGAATTTGAATTTAGACTGAATATTTGTACATCGTTTCTAAGTACGACGGTGAAAAAGCACTTAAAAGGGATTTGGCGGCAAGGCTCAGTTTTGAATGTCGAGATTCAACGACGGCATGATGGACGACCATGACTCGGCGCACGAGTCGATTCCTGGGTATGTGACAATGGCGGTACAGGTTCGCTCGAAGAAGCAACAGAACGAGGTGGGGGTCGCTGTGCGCCGACCACGCGCGCGCAAGTCTTGTGTCCGGAACGCGCCTGGCGAAGACAAGAATCAATGGGAGCTGATCTTGTACTCGTTCACCGATTGCAATCAGCTGTCAACGCTGGACAACTTGCTGGTGCAAGTTGCTCCGTCGGAATGCCTTGCGATGGAAGGAGATGCCGACAGCAAAGTGTTTCGACTGCTCTTGCAATCCCATGGGGTTGAAAAGACTGCAGTACCCCCGAAGCGGTTCAAGACGACATCTGCGGCGATGGAGACCAACTTGTGTCGATTGATAGGTACATCGGGCATCCAAGCGACCCATCGTGTGGAAATCGAGATGGAGTTGGCGCTTGGCGCATTGTCGGCCATCATCGAGACACAATCGCTCCTTCTGGACACAGACAGTTTCGGCACGTACTCGTTGTCTGTTGGCAACATAGCTTCCGCAGTGCAGTTGGATCGAGCCGCATTGACCGCGTTGAATCTTCTACCGGATCCGATGCTCTCCGGGAGCCACCAGACACAGAACGCGAGCGTGCTCGAGCTGCTAAATCGCGGAAAAACGGCCATGGGACGTCGGATGTTGGAGCGGTGGATACGTATGCCGCTCATGAATGCCGACGCAATCGCGGAGCGTCAGGAAGTCGTCTCAACTTTCGTTCAAGAGTCCACCCTGCGCATGGAACTTCTGGACGAGTGTATGAAGGGGTTGCCGGATCTAGAGAAGCTCGCGACGACTCTGGGCAAGGTCAAGCACGTCAAACTCGATCACTTGGTATCTGTGTACGACGCCGCCAAGTTTGTTCTGCCTCGCATTGTGAACGCGCTGGACGATCACGAGAGCTTGCACGCGGCGTTCAAACATCCCCTGGAGAAAGTCCAAGCCGACTTTCAAGGGTTCATTGGGCTCATCGAAGAGCTTGTCGACTTCAACTCACGGCCGAACGTGACCGTGAACGCCAAGCACGACCAGGAGCTCCAGGACATTCGGAATGCGCTGCATCAAGTGGAAGGCGAGATCGAGGACGAGCACGCGCGCGCCAAAGACGACATTGGCGGCGACATCAAGTGCGAAAAAGACAAGGTTCGGGGGTACGTCTTCCGACTCATCAACAAGAAGGAAGAAGAGCGGCTGTCGAAGATGAAGAACGTTCACATCTGCCAAGTCCTCGTCAACGGCCTCTACTTCACCACGAATAAACTCAAGCAGCTTGGGAAAGTTTACTTGCAACACGTGGCCGATTATGAAGCCCGCCAGACGCACATCCTCGCAGCAGCCATCGAAGTCGCGGCCACCTACGTCCCGGTCCTCGAGTCTGCATCGACGTTGCTCGCCACCCTGGACGTGTTACTCGGGTTTGCCCACGTTGCGTCGCACGCGAGCTACTGCCGTCCAGTAATCGGCACGTCGGCCATTGTGATCGACGGAGCGCGCCACCCATGCGTCGAACTCCAAGACGGCGTGCAGTTCATCCCGAATAACGTCGACATGGACGCCGCGACGTCGCGGTTCCAGCTGATCACGGGGCCAAATATGGGCGGGAAGTCGACATATATCCGTGCACTGGGCGCCATCGTTGTGATGGCTCAAGTCGGGTCGTTCGTTCCAGCTACGTCTGCCATGGTATGTCCAGAGTTGTTCGCAAACTCTAGCAACGTCGATCGTTTTTCGTTGTAGCTGCCGATTGTCGACAAGTTACTCGTCCGCGTTGGCGCCGGGGACATGCAGCAACGTGGAGTGTCGACGTTCATGCTCGAGATGCTCGAAGCAGCAGTCATTTGCAAGAAAGCCACCAACAAGAGCCTCGTGATTATCGACGAACTTGGCCGCGGCACGTCCACCTACGACGGGTTTGGGCTGGCGTGGGCTATCTCTGAGTACCTCGTGCAGCGGCGGTGTTGGTGCGTCTTCGCCACGCACTTCCACGAGCTCACCGCCCTCGCGCATGACAAGTCGGTTGAGGCGACAGGCGTCGTGAACAAGCATCTTACTGCCCACACGACCGAGAATCACATTGCGATGGTCTACGAAGTTCGCGACGGCCCGTGCCTGGAAAGCTTCGGCATTCACGTGGCCGAGATGGCAGGGTTCCCGCAGTCTGTCGTGGGACTTGCGAAGAGGAAGGCCAAAGAGCTCGAGCACTTTGACATGGCCAAGTCCACGACCAGAGACCACGAGCCGGCGTCGTTCAAGAGGCGTTTCCGCGCGCTCGACGTGCCGTCTATGTCGGACGATGCGGTGCTCACCGCGGTGGCCGCGCTGCTATGAAGGTCAAACAACAAACCATACAACGTAGAATATGTCTAGCTGAAGGTGCTTCGCCCGTCCCACATCACGTCCAATGCACCACAGATTGTATTACGCGCCGTGCCTAAATGTCTGGGTTGGGAGCTTCCTTCTTGGGCGACACTTCGACGACGCGTTCAGTGGAAGCGGGCGGCGGCGCTCCTTCCCCGTCCACCGCCTTCTTGGCCTTGGCAACCTTGTCCACGAACGCCGCAAGCTCCTTGGACATGTAGTACTGGCCGGTCTCGTTGTTGATGCGGCGGTCTTCGCAAAAGCAGAGGAGGATCGTGTCGACGCACATCTCGTACACGCCGAGGAACGTCCCTGCGACAAACCAGGCGAGGACGAAGCCGAGGACGACCGGCGGGAACACGGACGACAGCTCCCGCGCGCCGCCAACGTCAAACGCGGCGTCATGGTCGAGATACAGAAACAAAAGCAGCGCGCACCCGACGGAGATTGCGACTCGAGCGACGACGACGACCATGTTGACGATCGTTGACGTGATCGCGACCTGCGCCATGTTGGCAAAGATGAGCGAGAACGCTTCCCGCGTCGCGCCGCAGAAGCTCCGCCCCTTCATCGCGATCACAATGTACGCGTTCTTGGAGATGAACTTGAGGACCTTTTCAAGGCACCAGAGGCAGCACGCGACCGCCTTGAGCGCGACCAGGACGGCGACGTTCGACTTCTGCAGCTGCTTCGTCTGCCGGTCAACGTACATGAGGACGGCCCGGACGAACTGGACGACCGCAATGATGAACGATCCAAACGCGAGCGACCCAAAGTGGTAACGAAAGCAGTTGGTGAACGCTGACAGGACAGGGAACCGCCCCATTTGCGCCGCGGTGTGGTCGCGGCTCCAGTAGTATTTGCTCACGGCGCCCGCGATCGTTGTCATCGAGATGGCTTGGATCACTTGGTTCGTCCAGAGAAAGCCAAAGAAGTGGTACGCGACCATGATTTGCATGAGCTGCTTGGGTTGGACAGCCGCCGACGTCGTCGTTGTCGCGTTTAGTTGCGCCGCCCATGCCGTCGTCAGCGACGTCGTGGCGTTCGAAGTTGGGACCCCCACGGACGCGAGCGCAGCTGTCAGGGACACATTGCCGTCGGCGCTGTAGATATACGCGCCGATGACGGTGGCGTAGATGAAGAGTCCGAGAATGAGGACGACCGGGATGAGCGGGAAGAGCACGAGGAACGGAAGGCGTTGGATCGCACGGGATGCCTCCCGGATGATGCCGATCGCGATCTTGATGCGTTTGCGCATAAAGCACACGATGAGGAGCGCGATCACGGTCAGGACGATGCTGACGACTGCCGCGCCTTGGTACACCTTTGCGTTCTCGTGCGACTGGGCGAGCGTCGCGGGTACTTGGACGTCGACGGCGGTCGTGACGGCGCTGATGTCGGACGAGTGGATGATCCCGCCTTTCACGAGGAAAAACGCCGACAGGATCGCCAGGAGCAGCACAACCACGACCAGGACAAACCAGATCACGCACCCCGCACAGCACTTCATAAAGAAAAGAAAGAGCCAGCCGAGGACGAGCGCGCCGCCGCCGCCAATGCCTAGGAGCTCGCCGTACGTCTTTTGAATGTCGGCGATGAACCGGCCGACGAGGGCGCCCGCGGACTGCATCTTGTCAAAGATCGGGTTCGAGTTGGCCTGGCCCACCGTCTCGGACCTCGTGAGCGTCTTTTTCAAGTTGCACTTGTCGTTGGGCACCTGGACTCCGTTCGACACCTTGTAATACTCGGGCGAGTCGCCGGGATCGACGCACACTTCGGTCGTGTTTTCGACAGTCACTTGGACGGGCAAGCAGCGGAAGGCCACGACTTCGGACGGCAGCGCGACCGACCAGCAATCGGCCGTAGTCAGGCCCATGCGGTTGCTCAGCGAGTTGGCGCGAGCCGCCCGTAGGGCTTTGAGTCCCGCTGGGTCTGTCACGGACGGGTTGGCCGCGCGGATCTGGGCTTCCGCCGTGTATGCGCAGATGTAGTCGCCTTGCACGGGGCAAGATGGCACGCAAAGACCGTAGAACTTCATGTCGAGCGGTGCGATGCCGTGCGCCGTCTGCGCCAGGAGGTCGTCGTTGATGCGCGGAAAGTAGAGATACGTCGAGTCCTGGAACCGTCCCGTGCCGCACACGGTGCCGTTGAAGTCGGTGCCAAAAAGCAAACGCTCCGGGGTACCGTTCGCGACGCCGACGATGGCCAACACCGCCATGCCGAGCCAAAACACGAGGAACACGACACAGCACAGCACGTCGCGGCACTTTCGCGTGTGCGTCGGGGTCGACCCGCCCGTGCCGTCCGGGATCACGTCGTCTTTCGAGGAGCAGCAACCCATGGAAACTCACGTCGGGATGCGGTGGATCCGTCTGCCGCCGTCGGCCGATTCCAAAACCCCTTGTGGCAACGACCAGGGGGTTTCGTCGCCCTGTCTAAAGTTGGACGGGCCGTTTCATGTTCGTGCGGCCGTTTCGGCTTCCCCGCGGCGTTTCGCCAAACGCGTTTTACTGTTAAACGTGGCAGTTTCATCACGATGTTACGACGTTTAAATCGGTGGTTTTGTGGGACAGTTGTCGATGTGGCGCTCAGGCGGCAAAGAACCGGCGCAGGTGGTGCCGCAAGCCCCACCCGAGCGCGCCTCCGATGGCCGCGGCCTGCAGCACCTGCGCCGCCGTGAACGTCCTGTCAAGCCAATACGCTGGTGGTGCCGCCTCCAGCTCGGTCGCGTCGTCGTCGACCGTGCGGCCAGCGCCGCGGGGCGACGTCAGCATCGCCGGGTTGAACCGATCGACGCAAAACTCTTCCAAGTTGGTGGTCGAGATCACTTTGGAAAACTCCTTCGACAGATTCCGCACAAACACGGGGGAAATGATCTTGCCAGCGTTCAGAAACCGCCTCTGGAACGACTGCTGCATCTGCTCGGCGACTGTTTCCTGGTGCCTCGCCGCCGACGTTGGACTCGAGTTGCGCCGCGCCTGCACAGGCCGCCGTCATGTCGCGTTTCCCGCAGTGTTGCATGCCCTTACCAGTCGTTTCGTTCGGACGACGCTCAGCGCATCGATCAAACTCAGCACTTCACTCACGCTGTCCTAGACAATTCGAGCGCATCGACCGCTGTGACGACGATTCCAAGACACCGCCAACGTTACCACGTAGCACTGCGCCGTGCTGGGCTTCTTGCCGACGGTGCATGTGAGGACATGCGGCAGCTTCTCCGCTTCGGCAAACGCACGGATGGCTACGCCACCAACACGTCGTGAGACATTCGCGACCATTCGCATCGTTTCATCCCCGCCGCACGTACTTTTGAACGCGGGCTCGTCCGACTCGTCGTCGCCGATGCACAAAATGAAATCGGGCACGAGGTCGACCTTGTCTTTGCAAAAGCTCAGCACCATCGAGATCGCAATCGCTTTGTTCACGCCGAATCGGTGCACTTCGACAAACCCTTTGCCGCGCGCGATCGCTACCTTGTCTTTCTGCTCGATCGCTCTGTCAGTCCGTTTTCCGTGTCGCCGCGACATCGTACCTTGAGCACGTGGCTCAGCTGCTCGTACAACTCGGCGGCTTGCATCTCGCCGTACTCGGGGTCGCTGCTGTGGTAGTCAAACGTGACGGACGTGTCGTTCTCAATCACAAACGATCCGTTCGTCCGGCTGACGTACGTCTTGACGACGTTCGTGACTTGGTGCTTCCACGCAAAATCGTCGGCGCTGTCGGCGTACAGCGACTCCCATGCGAGCGAGTCGGCTTTGCGGAGAAAGTACCCGCTGTCCGAGATCAAGTGGAGCCCGGCAATCGATCCAAACTCGTGCTCGAGCTCGACGCGGCGCCCGTTGCTCCACACAACGACAACGTTGCACGGGTCGTGGCACAGCAACTCCAAACTCGCTTTCGTCTCGATCGACACGGGCGTGCGAACTTGTCCATCGCGCTTTCGAACCGACGCGAGCCGGGCTTCTGGGTCCACCACGGCGCGGCCCGCGGGACCGTCGTGGTACAAGTACATGGGCGCGCCGTCGTCCATGACGCACTGCGTCCAGCTGAGTGTGCCGCCATAGTCAAACACGAGAAGGCGGCGGGACGCGATCGCGTACGCTCTGACCGTGTCGTCGACGCAGAGCGCGGCAAAGCCAGGCGAGAACTGCACCACGCGGTAGTCAAAGCCAAACCCGACCTCGACCATGTCGCCGGTCCCGTCGGCGTTGGGCGACGATGGCAGCGCAGGCATCCCTGCTTTCTCAATGTCAGCGAGCATCCGACCTCCCCAGTCGGACACTGGGTTGTCCAGCAAAAACTTGAAGTTCAATGCGAACCGAGAGTGCATCTCGTACGGCGGCATCTCGACCGCTTTGACGAGGGCCGCCACGACGTCGTCGGCCTTCCACGGGTTCACGAGCAGCGCGCCATTCAAGATCCGGGAATAGCATGCAAACTCGGACACGACGACAACGCCGGGGTCGTCATCCGGGTGCTGGTGGTGCGCGGCCAAAAACTCGAATGGGAGCATCGACAGCCCGCCGCGGACGCACGTGTCGAGGAAAACATGGCCCAGGCGCCACAGCACCATTCGCTCCTGCGCCTGCATATGCACACGCTCCTCGTAGATGACGACGGGGTTTGACGGCGCGCCCCACCGCCTGTTGATCTCGGCGACAAACTTCTCCACGTACTGCTGCGTGCGGTGGTAGTCGTTGGGCCTGCAGTCGAGCGAGATGCCAAACTGCACGAGCACCGTGTCCTTTCGTCGCATCGGATACATGCTCAGGAACCGGTCGAATGCGCGCAACTTGAGCGGCACCCCGCACAGACCTTCCAAGCGATCCACGGACGCCAAGATGTACTTTTTGCGCCGCGGGTCGCCTTCCGTCAGCAGCGGCGCAAACGACGACTGCAGCGCGACCGCGCGGGCGTCCGAGTCGAGTTTTCCCAGCAAATCGCGCATGTGATTGAGCTCGGTGCCGCAGTGGCTGCACGTAATCAACACCAGGCGGCCGTTGTACTCGACCGCAAGCATGCCAGTGTGCGACGTGCGGTAGTCGAGTCCGAGAAGCCGCTTGCATGCCGTTAGGAAATGGCGCGCGTGCTCAAAGACGAGAAACCCAATGTGGTTGGCGCACAACATGGCCCGAAGGAGCTCAGTGCGCACGGTGAGCGTTCGAAAGATCTCGGACGATGGAAACGGCACGTGCATGAAGAGGGCGAGCGCGCCGCCGCCGCGGAGCTTGCGAAGAAGGTACGATGCGAGCACGAGCAACGGATAGTCGTGAATCCAAATGACACTCCCGGGCTGCCAGTTCTCGATGACCTTCTTCGCAAATAGTCGATTCACATGACAGTACTCGGACCAGCACTTGTCTTGCGACGCAGGATTCCACGACGCAGGAGGAAGCCAGACGCCAGGGTCCGGTGGGGCCGGTTGAACCTGCACGGGGGTCGACGGCGACATCTCGGTGAAGTCATCCAGCTTGAGCTCCGCCGAATTGTACACGTCGACGACGTTGTGAAAGATGGGCCACAACACACCCTTGCAAAACCCTTGAAAGTGGCGATGCGCCACGGTCGTGTCCAGGAACACCGGGATGCAGTTGAACGAGTGCAGAAGCAGCATACGCACGGATTGCTCGTCTGACTTTGGGATGTACACTTCCGGGCACCCGATGAACATGGGCTTGTACCCTTGCTTGGAGACAATGTTGCGGAGGAAGAGGCCATATGAACTCGTGCTCCACTCGACATGCCATGGACATGATTCCGTCAGAGACGCGCGACTGAATACCAGAGGAAGGACGTTGATGCACACCACGACGGTCGTCTCGCGGGGACTGCTGTTCCGTGGACTTTGTGGAGGTGTCGACATCGGGCGCGGGGGCGGCGGCATTGCGTGGAGCTCTTCGGAAACGGTCGTAGATTGCCGGTGGCATTCGTTTAAGTACCATCACCCTTCTTTAAAATACTTCTTCCCGTTGCGTCAACCGCAAACCATTCATAAAAGTATGTCCAACCACCGACTTCAACTACGCTTCGGCCAATCAGAGGCGGCCATTTCCCCAGCACAACACACAAATATATGTAGTATATATTTACGTTTGTTGCGAATTTTTGAAATATCCTTGATCGACGAAGCGCTCCCAGCAGCCACGAAAAGATGCAGCACATCGACCGTTCGGAGGCAAGACGCAAGTCATCTTGGACGCTCACGTCGTCCCAAGCGGTATGCTATCAAGGTCGAACGATTCTCACTCCCATTCAGTTCCTTGCGGGATGGATATGCAGGCAGTTAATATTTCCGCCGAGCTTTCATGTAGCAGTTGATACACACTTCTACCGAGATTTCGGTCAATTTCGTCGGGACAAAATTATCCAATCAAAACCGAATACGGCATCCTTGCACCAATCGGAATTGAGCATCTCCATTTTGGACAGTGCGCCATGAAACGAGCCCGCGACATCGCCCGCCAACACAAACCTGCACGGCTCCGCGCCGGAGCACAGGATGCATCCACTGGCGAACGGGAAGCCTGTATGTTTGCAAGATGGGAGAAGGGCACCATGTCTGGATACTGTTGAAGGACAGAGTCGCCAAGGATGGATGGTGGCTGCAAGTCGACGCAGCATGCCGACGGTATGGTTAAGTTATTTCATCGTTGCGGTGGACCGGAGCCGCGGCCACGTGGAAACTCGACGCGGACAGGAACGTTGCCCAGGAGCGCTCGATCCTTCTGCCGCACTGCAATCGCCGCGGCACTGGCCGAGTGGAACGTCACATATGCAAACTCTTTGCCAGGTGTCGTCAACCGCCACTCAATGTTGTCCACGTGGCCACACTCGCGGAGAAAGGATCGGAGGAGTTGCTCGTCGCGGACCATGCCTGGGCACGACACTAGCACGACGGTCAAAGCGCGTCCTGATCGGTCTCGACTCCGTCCGCGGGGACCTGCATGATGTTGGCGTCGGTCCGGAGACCGGCTGCCGCGGCGCGCATGAGGTCTTTCGCCGTTGGCAAAGCTTAAAGGTCTCTCGGCACTTCGCCGGGAATGCCGTCCCACAGGGTCCCGTCCGGAGAAGGCGCCATGCGTTCGCTCCGTCGATCGGCGGCAGTTCGACAGTGATTCAGGAGGGGCCCGGGCATTATCTAGCGAGGGACGTGGGCTTGAGCCGCCGTTTCGAGGGAGTGGCGGTGTCCATTGCGAGGAGCGGCGGTTGCTTGATCGATCCCTCGATCGATGCCGTCGGTCTTCCTTCTCCGGCTCGTCCTTCTGGTCACTCCATCGATCGTTTGGTCCAGATGGCATGGCTGTCGCCACCACCTTGTCCTCCAAGACGTCGTCGACGGGATTCAGCGCCCGTCCCGATGGGGCAAGATGGTTTCCCGCGACTTCTCCATCTTCAAAGCTTTCCGCATGGCTTCGACCGTCCTTGCGCTCGTCTCGACTGGCTCGAGGCGTCTGTGTATTAGGCACGGCGATTTCTTCATTCTCCGCTTGCAAAGATGGAGGGGATGGAGCGCGTCGCGGCGCGCGGTTCCATCGAGATTCGTACGTCCGTCGGGACGACGCCACGCGCGTCGTTGCAGGTTCTGGCGGCAGTGGCGGGTACATCGGCGACGCTGTGTGCGATGGTGGCGCTGTCAAGATGGACGCGTCGGATGGCTGTGCATGTGACTCGATGTCACGCAGCGCTTGCCGAGGCGCGGATGGCGGTGGGAGAAAGTAGGCATCTTGCACGATGCATCCCGGCCACCCATGGTCGTCGACGTGCATGTGGACGGCAGTTTCTGCATCTTCCATCGAATGATACATCGCGTACACGTGCGACACGATCGACTTCTGGAGGTCCCTCCACGACTCTGGCGGAATCGCGACGCATGGCAGCCGTTTGGAGGATGCGGGCGTCGACGCGGGAATGGCAAACCGATCGGCCAGCGCCTTGGCGTAGGTGTGGCACACGCCGGTCGTGTTGAACATGATGCCGCCGCTCGCGTGGGTATACCGCATGTGCCGAAACAGCACCGTGACGCGATGGCGCGCCGACAGTGGCTGGAATACAGTGTTGTACAGACGGCGCTGCACCCATGTCCGCACGCTGGGGGAGAGCGTGTTGAGCACGGGGTTGGTCACGTCCATCTCGATCGCGCGCTGCGCCGCATGCGCGGCCTTGTCGTTCCGCAGCGGCACTTGGCACGTCAACGCGATCCCGTAAAACTCGGCGCGCTGGTCCTCAAAGTCGCGCTGGGACTGTCCCCGGCCGAATGGCTTTGGTTCGGCATATACGGTGGACGCACCCGCCGTCGTGGGCGGCAGCATGACGGCATACTTGGACGGGAGGCGGTGGGACGACCCATTACCTCTCTGGACGGATGGGTGCGATGCGAAGAAGGGAGGCATGCACCGCGCGACCGATCCAAACTACAACATAGAATGGTCACGAGGAAGCGTCGACGATGACGCGGTAGCACCTGATACGTTTTCGTGTAAAACTTCAAGTCGGTCGGACAGTACTCAAAGTGGCGCAGGTCCCGATGCGCGGGATGGGATGGCGGCGGTGGGATGTACGTGTTGACGTGCGGACCCTTTCCCCTGGAATGGGTCGATCGACGGGGTGGCGACGACTGGCGGCGTGACGATGGCGGCGGCGACGGGCGCCGCTGACTAGATAGAGCGGCCACGTTGCGGCGCGGAATTGGATCCAGCGCCTCGGCATGGTCAGGTTTGGTGTCTCGTTTGGGAATGACAAAGGTTTCCATGGAAGGGGACGGAGCGGGGACTGCAGCAACCGCCGTGGCGGGTTCGGAGGTCGTCGGTCGCGGGGACATCGACGGTATTGAAAGCACGGACGCCGGCTCGCCGCTCGACAAAGTGGCGGATGAACGAAGCGGCTCGGTCGACTCGATGGCTGGGAACGGGCTGGTGGGTTTAACAGCGCCGTCACTGGCCGCGACTTCACCCTCTTCTGCTGGCGACGTGGCCGCCACAGAGTCCACTCTATCATCACGTGGGGTGCTCTCGGGCAATCCAGCCGCTGTCGGGTCGGTGTCGCCAGGTGGCGGATTTTCTTCCGGTGGTCGCTCAAGCTGTTCCTCGACAGACTCGATGAGATCGGGTAATGCACCCTGCGGAGCCGCCGTCTCCGGCACTGCCGTGGCCGAGTCGACGCTGTCGTCGGCGGTGGACACAGTATGGTTCGCAGTCACCGCGGCAATTGCTGCATCGTTTTTGTTTGGCATGGCGCTTGAAGATGCTTCCACTGGCAAAGCGTCTGTGGATTCGGAAAGAGTCGAAGGGCACTCGCCTCGTGCCTGGGCCGTGCAAAGGCTGGTGTCGACGGCGGCGACGTCCTGCTGCGGCACGGGTACTTCCTCATGTCCTTGCCGCGTCGTCTTCGTCGAGTCCGCTTGATCTTCCGAGAGCCGCCGTTCGACGCTTGCGTCATCTTTATCAGGTTTAGAATGGACTGGTCGGAGATGTATTGCCTCCTTCGTGATGTCAGGATAGGTCCTTGGTCGCTCCTCCTCCGCAGACGCTTCCTCCGACGCCTTGTCCGTGGTTCCGTGGCCGTCCGAGTCGGCACGCGGCCGCTTCTTCTTTCGCACCGCCGCGCCATCTTGCCTGTCGACGAGCCGTGCTCGCTTGTCCTTCGTACGTATCGACCGCGCCAAGTCCTTTGAAGTCTCGGGCTTGCTCCGTGCCATGAGCATCGCAGTAGCCATTGCATTTTTCTGCGCACTCTTCTCCACAAGGGTCGATGCCGCCTTGGACGATTTCGCATGAGGTTTGACGGTCCGATCGTCCGGTCGCTTCTCGTTCGCAGCTTTCGCGGCTGCACGTTTGTCGCGTTTCTGCTTGTTATCTCGTTCACGCCTGGCCGCCTCGCGCTCCTTTTTTGTGAGGGCTGCCGGTGGCGTGGCAGAGTCGGTAGCCAACCCGTTGGCGTGCGACGTCGACTTTGTACGCGATGACGACGACCGCGACCTTTTCTTCGACTTCATTGTTTTGTAGTCTTCGTCCGAGTCACCATCTCCTGCTCGCTTGCCCCGCCGATCACGCGAATCGTCGTCGGAATCATCAGATCCCACCGCCGCCTTCCTCTTGGCCGCCGCCAAGACTGCTTGTCGCCGGAGAGGAATCACAGATTTCTTAGGGGAATTTTTCTCGGAGCCGCTCGCAGGCGGCTTGGTGGTGCATCTGTCGCTGTCGCTGTCGGAGTCGACGAGCCTCAGCAGCATATTCTTGATCTTCTGGTTGTCGGACATCGCGGCGGCGGCAGGTGTGGACGCAAAACCCTGAAGAATATACGTCGTCGAATTCGGTCAAAACCACGAAAAAAGTGAAATTCAAGCAAATTTTGGCGTTTTGACCAATTTATGCGCGAAAAACCGCCAGATCCCGCCAAAACCACCGCCAAACAATTCAAACACGGCCGACCAACAGACACAGCACCACCGACACGACCGGTGGCTGCTGCTTCTACCAGGACGGACGGATGCCCGTCCACGCATGCCTATCTACGCACACCTTGGACATACATGATTCGACACAGGTGTAGCAGCGGGCATTTCCGTGCATGGCTCCTTCAACAGTGGCTGTTCGCTCGTGTCGTCGCCATCGGACTAGCGAAGTCGTACGAGCATTGCGCATCAACGCCGAACACGAACTCCATGCGATCACTTCCCCCTGTATGCCGCGGATGCAATCAAGCTTGCCGATACGATAGCGCTCTAGATGAACGACTGGCGTCGTTCCGTGTCTGTGTCGAGCTTGAGCACCGCGATGGACTCGATGCCGGCCACCTGCCACGTGGAGCAGGCTCAAAATTCGGGATTTCTAGAACATTTCAACGGTGTTTTGGGAAATTGAAGCCTAATTAGGCACTTTCGACCCAACTAAAAAGATCTGTATCGTGTGCGGCAATCGTGCATTTGCGCACTGCCATCCGCGATGGTGTCATGGCGCGGCGTCCTCGCGATGCTTGTATTCTCGTGCATGTTCATCTCGAATGTGTATGGCGGAAAGGATCTCTATGACGTCCTCGGCATCAAGCGGGACGCGTCGGCTCCTGATATCAAGAGGGCTTTCCGAAAACTGTCGCTCAAGGTGGGTCTGTTTGCTCAATCGCCGCGATTCCCAGTGTTTCCCGCTCACTCTGTGCATGTGTGTGTAGTTGCATCCTGACAAGAACCCAGGCGACGAAGACGCGGCCCAGAAATTTGCCGAAGTCGCGAGCGGTATGTCCTTTCCGCGTCGACATCTCGTCATGATCCGTCATGGTCTTCGTTCGTTTCGTCGACAGCATACGAGGTGTTGTCGGATGAATCCAAGCGAAAGAAGTACGACATGTATGGTGAAGATGGACTCAAGGACAATGGCGGTGGCGGCGGTCATGATCCGTTCGATGTGTTCTCGCAATTTTTTGGTGGAGGTCGCCAGCGCCATCCCCAGGAACCTTCCCGCGGCAACGACGTCACGATTCCTCTGCGCGTATCCCTCGCCGACTTGTACAATGGAAAGAACGTGCCGTTCACCGTGCGTCGCAAAACAGTGTGCCACCACTGCCATGGCCACGGCGCGGCCAACTCGGACGACATCCACACGTGCAATGAATGCGGCGGCCACGGCGTCAAGGTTTGATCGATCACCATCTCATGGCAACCATCTCACACGACGCGTTCCAGCTCGAAACCCGGCGCGTCGGGCCCGGCTTCATCCAGCAGTTCCAAACCCAGTGCACCAAATGCGGTGGAAAGGGCAAGGTCGTGACGAGCACGTGTCCAGTCTGCGGCGGGTCCAAGACCGTCTTTGCCGACGTTGAATTGGATCTCGAGATTGAAAAAGGGATGCCCGATGGCCACGAGATTGAGTTTGAGCACGCTGCCGACGAACACGCCGACCGCGCTGCGGGCCACCTGCGCTTCCGCCTGACCACGGCGCCGCATGACATGTTTTCGCGGGACGGCGACGATCTGTACATGGACATGTCGATCTCGCTGCGAGAGGTAGGCGGACGGTCTTCTCGGCGACATGGACCTCACACGATCGCGCCTCAGGCCCTTGTCGGGTTCTCGAAGACATTTGTCCATCTAGACGGGCGCACGGTCGAAGTGAGCCGACGGAACGACATCACCGAGCCGAGCCAGGTCGTGACGCTGGCGCGGGAAGGGATGCCGCGCCACCAAATGGCGTCCGAGCGAGGTACACGCGCGTCCGCCGCATGGCTGCATGCCGTCTCACGCGACTACCCCAGGCAACCTCCACATCAAGTTCAATGTGATCTTTCCCGACGCGCTGACGCCGGACCAGCAACGTGGTTTCCGCGAATTGTTTCAATGAAACGACGTTTCGATTTGAGCCATATTTTTACGTCGATCGTTGCAACTTTGGACAACGCGTTGGAAGCAGCATGCATTGATTCGTTTACACTCGGCGGACGGCCGCCAGCACCGACGAACCGTTAATGGCCGCTAGACTTGGCCCCTGCCTTCACCCCGAGCTTGGCCACCTTGTCGGCGATACTCAAACCCTTCTTCAGGTCTTCCTCGAGCTCAATGAGCTTCCACACGCCGTCGATCATGGTCTGGACGAGCTCCACCTCTGAGAACCCGATGCGCGCCTTGTTGGACACGTCGTAGACGCCGCCAGGACCAGGAGGAGAGTGTTCGCCCTACGTCATGCTTGAATCATTCGTCGTTCGACCATGGATCGACTACCTTGGACCCGCGCGCCTGGAGACCGAGCACATCGCAGAGCGCGTAAAACTGGTCCGAGTTCTCCGAGAGCTTGGGAAACTTGATCATGACGCTGGCGCGCAGGCCCGTGCCGAGATTGGACGGACACGTGCAGAGGAAGCCGAGGTGGTCGTCGTACATGTACTCGCGGCCCTCGGCCTTGACGACCTTCTCGACGTCGTTCACGCCGCGGACGAAGCGCTCAAACACGTTCTGGACGTTGCCCGTGTTCTCCATCGAGATGACGCGCATGTGGTCTTCTTCGTTGACCCAGACCAAGAACGACTTGGCGTCGTTGTGGAAGATGCCGCGGCCGTCGGGCCAGTCGCGCGCGGCGCCGGCGTTCGTGAGCAACGTGCCGCCGCCGGGCTTTTGGAAGAGGAAGTGGTCGTCGATGAGCTGTTGCTCTTCTTGCTTGGTCATCTTGGCCAACGGGTAGTACTTGCCGCGAAGGTCGCCCGTGAGGTTGCCGAGTGCTTTCGACAAGACGCGTTCGACTTCGCGACGCTCGCCGCGGGACGTGCCAGGCGGGAGCGCCAGCCCGCGGACGCTGCGGCCTGCACGGATGCGCGTGCTTTCGACGTACGAAGACGGGATGTTGCCGTTCTTGATTTTGGTGTAGTCCAAGTCCGAGTGATGCTTGTCTTCGGGCTTGTACCCGTGCCATCCTTCGATGATCGGGTCCATCAGTTCTTTGAACGTAACGAACGAGTCCTCATCGCCGGCGACGATGCCAACGCCCAAATGTGGCGTGTCGATGCCGGTCTGGATCGCTTGGTCCAACGTGTAGCCATAGGACGTTTGTCGACCGGCCAACTTGGCGTAAATCTCGGGCGTGATGTGCTTCGCCATGAGCGACTTGTGCTTGGGGGTGAGCACGGGGTAGTTGTTGTACTTGGGTTTGCCATCTTCGGGGCTCTTGAGGCCCAAGTCTTGTTCGATCGCACGCAAACGCAGCGCGATTTCGTTCAGCGCCGAGTGCGTCGACGCGGATTCGGACGCAGGGCGATTGAGGCCGCCGGCGATGCCGAGGGTGAAAGCGCCGACACCGGCGACGACGTGAGCGTTGTTGCGAATGGCTTTGGCTATACAGGAAGCATCACATCACACGGAGATGACTTTGGCCGCGACACGTACCGAACATAAGGACTGCGGTTGCCGACGATTCGAAAAGTGAACTCGTGTGCGGTGGAGAAGGGCCGGCGGTTGCTGACGCGGCTGTTCGAGGATTTTCAGATTTGATTGGTCAAAATCCGATCTTACAGCAAGATTCCACCAATCAGAATGGATCGATCTTCCCAAAAGATATTTCAAGATTCGACCAAGATCGCGGGTCCATGACGAGGTGGGCAACGACGAAACATTTCGCCGGATCACGCGGCGCGTGGCTGCAAAGAAGGTAGACATGAAGGCGTTGTGCTCTTGCTCAGCATGACGCCAAGGGGGGAAGGCGGAGGGCCTGAGTGAAGTGTCGGAGCGCCGCCACCTCGGACGTGCCGGGCGAGGTGCGGTATCGCGTCATCCGTTGTGTTTCCAGTACAACGGGTCGTCAATCCGCCGCGAAGAAGTTGCTTCCACAGAAGTGCGCTCTGTCTTTGCGGTCCGCGAGGCCCGCTGGCCAGGACGGCGGCTAGAAGATGGCGCCTAGAGCCTCCGTTCAGTACGACCCACATAATCACGGATAGAAGATTTGCAATGTATTGGCTAAGCTGATTAACGTATTTTATGTGAGAGAAGAGAGAGCGCTACGCTTACGCCGCGTCTTCGTCGATGGTGGACGAGCTCGGTCGGGCGCCCGGGACGTACTGCGGGTGGAAGCGCTCAATGCAATATGTGTAAACGAAAGCGCCGGCGAGTCCCCCAAAGACAGGGGCGAACATCGGGACCCAGAAGTACCCGTTGCCGTACACAAACACGTTGCCGCCCCATCCAGCGATCAAGGTGAAGAAGCGCGGGCCAAAGTCACGGGCAGGGTTGAGGGCGAAGCCGGTGTTGTAGCCAAACGACATGGCGATACCGGCAAGGAGCATACCGATGATGGCGGGGCGGCTGCCGACGTCGGCGGGGTTGTTGCGTTTGTCCGTGATGGCAAAGATGCCGAGGAGGAGGAGGAACGAACCAACGATCTCGTCGATGAACCCTTCCAAGAGCGTCATGTGGGGCTTGGGGTACGTGGCGAAGATGCCGGCGGTTGTCTGGTCCCAAATGTTGAGGTCCACAAACGCAGGGCGGTAGCCGAGATAGACGAAGACAGCGCCGAGGAATGCGCCGGCAGTTTGGCCACCAATGTAATACGGGACATACGACCATTCGAGCTTCTTGAACACGGCCATGGTGATGGAAACTGCCGGGTTTAGATGGCCACCGCTGACGCCTCCCGACACGTAAATGCCCAGCATCAACGCGATCCCAAACCCAATCGAGATCGACATCCAGTCACCTGCAAATGCAGTCACGTCCATGGGGTTATCCGTGAGCTTGGCGTTGCGTAGCTCCATTTGCTGGGAAATTACGGTTTGTGCGACGACGCCGTCCCCGATGAGGACGAGGATCATCGTGCCAAGACCTTCGGCAAACGCCTTGCGCAGCTTGTCCTGCCTGTCGTCACGCGTCTCAGGGATGCTGTCGATGACGCTGATGTCTTCCGACTGATCGTTTACCTTGAACATGCTCGTCGGGGCGTGTGCTCGCGGGGGTGTTTTCGGCAATGTTGCATGCCAATCCAAGCAGTGTGGCGCTAAAAATAGGTGTCGTGCCTGCGACCAGGAAAGATCGCAATGGAACCAATCAAAATCGTTTCTTTGGATTTTATGGATTCGGATTGGTGAATTAAATTTGCTCTCCCATCCCATTGGCCAATGCAGGGCGTTGACGGTTTCAACAGCCGTTCTATTCTCGAAGGGAAGCTTTGCGACGGACCGAATTCCCGCCACCGCCGCTACCACCGATATCTACATATACAATGGGAGCGAGGATGCGATATATACATGCATGAAGTTAATACTGCCTACACGGACGACGTCGGATTTGGCGGACTGACGACTACTCTAACGGGATCGAACGACGACGTGGTCTTGTGAATCGCTTCGTCGACCAAGGCTTCGGCCAGCGCACGCGAGAATGCGATCTGTTCGACGTTCACGCACGCGCGCTGGATCAGGTATGGCATGAACGCTTCCGACACATCCTTTTCCATTGGATCTTGGAAGTGGCCGGTCGTAACAAGGGACGAAAACACCGACGTGTGCAAGTCGGCCAGGTAGTGCTTGGCAAACGACCGCGCCGCCAACTTCTCCTGCAGGTCGGCCTGCGCCACAACACGAGCCTTCTCTTCTTCGAGTCGCCGTGTTTTTTCGTCTTGTTTTCGCTTCGCTTCTGCTTCCAGCCGCTGGACCTCGGCCAGTTCGGCGTTGCGCGCCTGCTCGAAGATTTCCTGCCGCGTACGCAGCTCCTGGACTTCGTCTTCTTCGAGCACTTCCATCACACTCACTTCAAGCGTCTTCCCCACGAGGACTTCGAGGATCGGCGCCACTTCCAGATCAAAGTCAAATAAGTCGCCGAGCTCGATCTGCGTCGTCGCGTCAACGCCTGTTTTCTGCGGCACAAAGAGCGGCACTGGCAGCTGGTCCATGAACGCTTCCGTCTGCGTCTCCACGTCCGCTTCCGGGACTTTGTCTGTCAGTTCTTCCAAGTAGTTGTCCGTTTGAATGTCCATGTGTTGTCGGCCATCCATCGGCGGCGGAGTTGGCGGCCGGTTCGAATGGACCGGGTCTACCTCTTGCGCCTTCTTCTTTGGTAGTCGCGGACGTACTGGAGACGCTGCTTGCTCCTGCTCCAGCAAACTGAGCCACGACGACTGGACGGAGAGTAGTCTTACCACCACGGCGGGGGGCTTTGCATACGTGCTTCCTCGGACAATTCGGCGATCGTACATGAGATTCTGCCCTTTGTCGTTGTTCGATCCTCTACATAGCAGCCGCATGATGTCATCACGTGGGGTTGCCCGTTCGTCCAGTGCAACGTACGGCGCGGACGGGTCGCGGTATTTGGATCGCTTCACGGCCACCGACCTCGGCTGGGAGGCGTACTCGAAGCCGCCTTGCATGGTCGTCGGTCAGTCGGGGGAAGAGTCGCGTCGTGAGGCACCGACACCGACGGGTGTTTCGCACTTGCAAAACGGTGCACCAACCTGTACTATTTATACCAGCCCACGGCAAGTCGTTGAGCAGAGCTTGTGACAGTCGTGTACACTTCGCCGCATGCTTCTTCGATAAGAAGGTCACGTTTAAGTCGCAGCGGACTCTGTGCGCTCATTGTCATTCACATCGAGCGAGCGACCATGCCGGAGTGCTTTCCCCGTCGACGCGAACGAACGAACGGACCCACGGCCCACCTCATCGTTTTTGACATGTATCGCAGTACGTGGGCCGTTGCCCGCGACCTCAACACATCACCTTATCGCGGTAAAGGCTGCTGCACTCTCGTCGTCATGGGGCCATCGCCTGACCATCGTCGTGACAAAATTAAATAATGGATCATTTATGCGTATTGACTGTGAATCGGTCGTTATCGGGTCACATCTAATTTGTAGTACTACTCTGGTCCATAATAATCGCTACGGTTGTGTTCTGATTGGCGGCATTTTTCATAAAATACTCCTATCGACCAGCCGATTGGCTCGTTAGACAGAGCACAATTTCAGCATTGATTGGCTGTATTTTGGAGGTTCCAATTCGTTTTAGCGCGGGAGATATGACTCTCGACAGGGGAAGCACCACACACCTGGAGGCCATTTTCTTTCGCCACAGAGTCATTTTCGATTTAGATCGCACCCAAACGCCCACCTTCACTACAATTGAGGCTCTGAATGCCCTCACCGTTCCATCCTGCTTCTCGTGATCGTGTGGCCTCCATTGGCCCGGCCAAGCACCTCTCTCCGGTCGAACGGCGATGCGTCTATGATACGCTCCTGACACTCATGTTTGGAGGCCGCTTGCCGTATGGAGCTATATCCGAGACCGCCAAACAGTTTAGTTGTCATCGGACGACTGTTTCCAAACTATGGGCCTGAGCGCGTCGCTCTCTCCTCCATGGCGCTCAAGTTGCCGACGTCGACTCAAAGACGATGTTAAAACCTCTATATATTTATACAAAAATCGGATTCGGGGAGTATTAATTTTCGGGGATACTCATTTCTAGGAAATTCTGGGCGACCGCTCCGCCGTCTCCGGAAGCGATCGAAGCTGCAATCAAAGCCGTTCCGCAGGAAGACCGACAGACACTCCGATCACTCGTATCACCTTGCCGAAGGTGATGGAATGTGCCCTGCTTGATAGCGGGTGAAATAACTTCAAGATGCCGCATATAAAGTAGGGCAATACCATTGACGACGTCACGTCCTTTCAAGTCCAATGCTGTTCCACTGCCATCGTCGCCGCCAAAACTCATTTGAATTCCCATGATTGAGTAGTTTCTATTTTAATTAATACAATGATTATATTTTGCCGACCCAATATGCGATATGACAACTCCATACAATCTTCAATATACTTCGAGTCGAACGAGTATACTTTAACCAAGTCAAAACACTGTAGCGATTATTATGGACCAGAGTAGTACTTCGAAGAAAGTAGTACTAGTATGAATTTAAAACAGTATCACTGCCCTCAAATACGTAGTAATATTTGACATGTCAAAAAGTTTTCAAGTTTCAAGATACTGTCTTCAAATATAAATATATACGCATGCGCAATATTTCTTCTGACTCTTGACCATTTGATTGGTCCAAAATGAAACCAACATATTCTTTTGAACCAATCAACACACTATCGTCACCTAACTTGACCCGACTTCTATCGAGGAGGTGCGTCGAGCGCGACGGAGGCGGCAGCCGGCGATCGGGAGCCGCCTTTCGCACCCTTCGCCGTGACTTGAGATACAGCCATCTTCAACACGACATTCGGTGCCGCATCGGTGGCCTTGACCCGTTTTCGGGAAGCTCCACCGCCTGCGCGACTGCTCCCACTGGGCTTGCGTTTTGACACAGCCGGGGGCGCGGCCGAGGTCACAAGAGCGTCGAGGGCTTCCGACGACGGTCGAGGAGACGATGGTGGTGTGATCTCTATTGTTGGCAGCGGTAAGACGGGATCCCGTGTTTCGAGCGCCACGACGAGGTCTTCGAGCTTGCGTCCCCACGAGCACGTGAGTGGCATCTTGAGGTACTCGTTCACTACAGCCTGAATCTTGGCCACGTCGACTTTTTTCGCCGACAAGAGCTTGGCCACCGTCTTTTGCGTCCGCGCTTTCCACTGGTCCGTGCGCTGAAGCACACCCCGCAGCGGCAGCAGCACTTTGGCATCATGCACTTTGTTTTCCCGCAGCACATTCTCCAATGCTTCGTAGGACGGTTTGGGTGTACCATGGAGGAGCGCAAACACGTCAATCGTCCACGGAATCGCATGCAGCACCTTTTTCATTCCCTGGACCGCCGGAAACGCGTCGCAGAACGCTTCGCACTCGACCGCCCACTGCTTCAACAGCCGCAGGTCGAATGCCTTCTTGTCCACGACCAGCTGCGTCAACACAAACTGCACTTGTTGCCACCAATGCTGCGCCTTGGGCCGCCACACATCCCGCGTCGTGACGAGATTGTCGACCGCGGCGCGCGCTAGCCGCAGCCGTTCCTTGGCTTGGGTCAGCGCCGCGTCGGCTTCGACGACCATTTGCTTGAGTTTGAAATGCTCCATCTTGAACCGAGTCAGCTCGATCTCTTGCGAAGACGACGCCGTCGCTGTGGCCGGACAAGTGGGTGGCAGCGTCGGCGCCGACGTCGATGCGGGGAACGGAGACGGGGTCGAGGATGCCGCTGCATCGTCTGTCGACCCTTGCGTGGCGGTGGGCTTGGCCAAGAGGACGTGCAGCGACGACGTCGTTGTTGCGTTCGGGAGCGGCGGCAGCGTGAGGCCGCCGCCATTCACGTGGTGCGACGAAGGGGATGTCTGCGACGATGGCGGCGGCATCGGTTGCAAGTACTGCTGCTGGGATCCGTGGGTCGTCGCAGCGGACGACGATGGAAACTTGGGTAAACTGCGCACGAGCGCCGACGGCGTGGGGTACCCCGTGAAGAGCTGCATCGCGTGGTGATGCGCGAGCGGGTTGTGCTGGACGAGGCTCGGCAGAACGCCAGGTTTGTCACTCGTCGGTGCGTCGTGGGCCATCTTTTCAAGGTAGCTCACGTGCTGGCCGATCGCAGTCACTTGAGCCTGGAGGTCCACCAGCGCCATCGTCGACTTGTCCACGTCGCGCTCTTCCTTTTTGACTTTGCGCAGGGCAGCTCCCAGCGCTTTTTCGTACGTTGCTGCCGACTCGTTGGTGAGCAACTCGGTCGAGAGCTCGTCCGCCACCCCCACGAGGCGCTTCAACTCTTGCAGCAACCCGCACGACGGGCACACGTAGTCGGCGACCTTCTCGGCCTTCTCCTTGGAGATCCCAACGCACGTGTCGTGAAACCAGTCGTCGCACAACTCACACCCGAGCATGAAGCCATCGTACGGCTGGCGGCAGATGCAGTACTGCTCCGTCGCGGAAACCAGCACTTCTCGATGCATGTCCATGTCGACGACGAACCTGCGCGCGTCGAATTCGCCGAGGAGGTCCACAAGCGTCGCGATTTTGGCCTGCCCTGCGTCCAACCCACTCGCCTTGAGCTTGGCCTCCCATGCTGCTGCCGCGTCGTGGTGCGCTTGGAGCACGGTAAACACTCCCGTCGAGATTTTGACCTTCCCGCCTTCGTCTACGACACTCCCGAGCGAGTGGAGCGGCAGCTTGACCGTCTGTTTCGACTTGAGCACCTTCTTGACTTTGACCAGCCACGTCTTGACCTTTTTCAGTTCGATCCAGACGGGGCGGTCGTCGGCATGGACGGCGGCCGCGTCCGCCAGCACGGCCGCGACTTGATGCAGCGCGAGCGCGCGATCGTTCAAGCGCTTTTCCAGCGCATCCTCCCACGTCTTGGCGGCATCCCGTTGGCGTTCCAGTTGCTCCAGAGGCCACAACGTTGCTCGGCTCCACGAGCCGTCGTGGCTCCACGGGTCGGAAGCAACGAAAGGACCGTCTTGCATGGACGGATCATGGACCAGGGACGCGGGGCATGTCGCGCGGAGGTGGTGGCCTTGCGCAATGGATGCGTCGAGGGACGGCCCGTCGTCGTCGTCGTCGCTCGCGTCGCCATCCAACGCCCACACGAAATGCGACCGACTCGAGACAACCCAATCGAGTGCATGGAGCAGCCACGTGATGACAACGACTTCCGCCGTCGACACGTTTGCATGCAGTGCGTTCAACACGCTTTCGAGTTGGCCTTTCCATGCGTCGATAGCCGCCACGGCCGCGCGCTCGTTGGCGCTCGTACTTTCACCTTCCGCGACGACTGGCGGGCACTCGTCATCTTCCTTGGCGTCCAGCGACGCAATGTGCCCGAGTGCCCGATCAATCTCATGCAACATCGGAGTCCAGTCGACGGCGCCCAAGCGGGTGCCGTCGGAACTTGCGTCCTTTCCTTCGGCCTGGCCACCAGTGCGGCAGCCCGAAATGACTTGAATCACATTCACGAGAGCGTCGCCAAGCGCGACTGTCTCGGCAGGGACGGCGTCCCCCGCACTCGTCGGTCGGTCGGCCGTCGTCTCGATCGCGGGAGCCACGTCAATCAGGACGTTGGCCATGGCTTGCTTGACGTTGTCGTCATCGAGCGCCGCCGCCAACGGCGTCACTTCGGCGTTGCCGGCCCGTGTGGCTTGGCGCGTTGTCCACTGCACGGCTCGCGCCGCGTCGAGGGCTTGTAGTTCCTGACAGCTCGCCAATGCCGCCGCCGCAACTTCACTTGCAAGGGCATGCCGTACCTGGTTTTGCCATGCCCCGACTGCTTCAATCTCGTCCAGCATCCGAGCACGTTCGTCCGTAAATGAAAACGCCAGCGCTGTGGCATGCAGCGCTCGCAGGTCGTCCAACGACGTCGACGGGAATGGAGTAGTTGCGACGACTGGCGCGACGTCGTTTTCGTACAGCGTCGATTTCTTCGACACGCGGCGAGTCGACGGGGTGCCGACTTGGTGGGTTAACGACGACCGAGGAGCAGCGCGCTCCTTGCCGCACACGGTGTTGACGGAGGCGAGCCATGCCTTGGCCTGGGCCACATGCTCTCGAAGAGCGTGTCCTTGGTCCAGGCGACAGGGGAATGCGTCCATGGCATCGACAAGACCGACCGCCGTGACGTACGCATTCGCCGCTGTCAGATCCAGCGCGGCGCACGACGCCAGGAGGTCCTTTCCGCGGTCGATGAGGGCTTCAAGCGGAGAAAGGTACTCGGAGAGGTCGACAAACGAGGACAGCTTGCCGTCGGCTAATTCTGCGCTCACGTGTCGAGTTTCGTCGCGTAGTTCCGGTTTGGGATGCCCGACCGACGACGAGTGGAGCTCGTTCACGACCGCTTCAAGGTCGGCAAGGGGCCGCTTGGCACCTGCCGTCACGCCGCTCGCTCCTCCAGCAGCGGGTCCTTTGGCGCGCCGACCGTCCGCCGGTCCTCGCTTGTCGAGTCCCATCACTTTGGTCCACGTCGTCATTCCAAGCACCTGTTGCGACTGAACGACCCACGCTTCGGCCGCCTCGACATTCGTTTGAATCGTGCGCTCGATCGGCGGGCGCCACGACTCGGCGAGCGGACCAAGCCGTCGCCGAATGTCCCGCGATTCGTCGAGGAGCTCGTGCAAGCATTTGAGCGAGCACGGGACGATCCCGTCGTGCTTTTGCTTTTTGTTGTCGTCGTTGGGGGGCGATGTCATGCCCACCGCCGTCGCTTCCCACTTGCGGGCGTCGATCCACGCCTTGAGACCCGTCGTCAGCTCCATCACGACTGGCATGTCCTCCCCTTCTTCCAGCAGCTCGCGGAGGGTGTCTACAGGGACAGCGGCGGCCATCGCAGCTTGCACACGCTGGCTCCACTCGTCCGCGTACGCCAGCAGACCTTCCATCTCGTGCACTTCGCTCGATGCTTCGTCGACTGGCGCGCACTGCACGAGCTCATGCACCGCTTCCAGGTGCATCTTGGACCGTCCGTGGGTGGCCGCGTTCGCCAACGTGGACGTGTCTGTGATGCGCGAGCTCTGCCGCTTGGTGGGGGGCATGCACTTGCGCGCGCGCTCGAGCCATTTTTGCGCCGACGTCATCTTGACTTTGAGTGGCGCCACGTCGTCGGTCAGGTCGACCGGGATCGCGTCCACCTTGGCCAAGACGTCGCGGATCGCGGGGACACTTACTTTTTCGTGGCCGAGCAGTGCTTGGATTTCGAATCGGATCGCTTCCGCGGCGGCAATGACGCCGTCGACGGCCTCCGCTTCGGAAAATGCAAGTCCAAACGACCGAACGTGCGCATGCAACGCCTTGAGCTGGTCCAAGTTGATGGATTTACTCGACGACGTGCTCGTGGCGGACGCGTTGTTGACCGCTTTTTTCGTTGTTGTCGACGCCGTAAACGACTTGCTGCTGGGACGCACACACGCGTCAAGGACGTCGAGGAGGCGCGTTTTGGCCAGTTCAAATTCGTCCAAGCGAGTCGTGATGGATCGGACGAGCGGTAGGTCGTGGCAGCGCAGCGCCGTGGCGGTGTGCAAGAGTGCATGCAGGTCTGCCGGGCTGGTGGGTGCCTTAGATGATGAAGACTCAGTACATTGTGGTGTTGAGGAACCTCTCTTGGTGGTTGGCTTGGATGGCGGCGATGCGGCTGCGCTAGCAGCGTCTGTGACATCGACCGCAGCAGTTGTCCACTCGTCAACGCGTGCAAGAAACTCGCTGAGGACCGCGGCTTCCGTGGCAGTGTCGGCCAGCGGGCAAGTGCGATGAAGTGCGCGGAGCGACTCCAACGATGCTTCTGTAAAGGATGGCGCGGCAAATGCGAGGTAGAATGAAACAAGCCACTGCTGATGCTTGACGGGAACGCTCTGTTGCTTCTTGGCGCGAGGCACGTCCGACGCGTCGAGAGCGGGAGAGCTCGGTGGCGGCGTGTATGCATGAGATGCAGCGAGATGGCACGATGCCGACGCGACGTTCCAGTTGTGTTGATGGAGCAGATGGAGCGCATTCGCAACCATGGCGTGGGAAGTGCCGTGTGTGTACCCCGGAGCAAGCAACGCTGCGAATTGGAGGTACGTGTGCAAGTCGCTCGGTTCAACAGACTCTACACGTATATTTGACAATGAAAGCTTTGACGAGAGGGAGATGAAGGGACTCACCTGCGAGAGCGTCGGCCGAGAAGATTTGTCGGGGAAGGTTCCCTCGAACGTCGGTGGAGGAAGACGACGACGTTGGATGGGCGATGGGGCTCGTCCGAAGTTCAGGCAGAACCGCTTGATATCGCTTCCCCAGCCGGATCTTGCGCGTGCCTCCTAGTGACCCTGACGCCGTCGGCATCGACCACTCCTCAGCTTCTTTTTCCAGCTCCAACGCTTCGGCGCGGCGTTTCTTCCCCTGCTGTGACTCTACCAGACCAATTCCATTAGACCCACTGATCATACCGGTCCCGAGCATGCTCCCGTGCATGTCCAGCGGCCCCATGGAAGCTATTACCTCGCTGAGGCTTCTCCGCCATCCTCTCGTCGCCGGCAATTGCCAAAACTGCGCTGGCATCCCTAGTTCTGGGATTATCCGGACCAACCGGATGAAATCTTACATTCTGATTGGTTGAAATCCCCGCTGCTCACTCAAATCTGTTACCGACCATGGAGCTCGATCGCGATGAACGGCGTCTGGGCGCCCCGAGCTGTGTCAAACGAAGCCATGGCGCGACAAGCACATTGCACAAACTCATGCGCGTCAACATAGGCTAGAGTATCTCGAGGGTTTTCTCGAGGATCGTTGCAAAATCCTCGAAAACGCGCCACATCACGTTGTCGACGGCAAGGGCAAGACCTTCTCTTTATTCAAACTACATCGCACCATTCGCCTTTGCATGTGACTTAGCTGTACATAGCTCATGAAGATGAGCACTGGGCACCCTTCGTAACGTGCATATCGTGTTGTCGGACTGTCCTGAGGACCTCCACCGCCGAGGTGAAGTGGCGGCGCCTTCCTCCGGTGCACGCTCCGTTCGGGAGCCCTCGAGTCACCGTATCCGGATGTTGAGAACTCCAGCCAATCGATGTGGGGTGCTCTCTGAAAAATACGGATAATCCCCATACAATTCCCAAGTTGTCATAACCTCCCGCGGTGCCGCAATGTCGTCCAAGGGCATCGCTGTCGACGGCGACGACTGGGATCAAGCGGAAGTCGAGATGTCTCGGAAGCTGTCAGAGATGCAGATTCGTGGACAAGCTCTTCCTGCAACTGCACTGCATACCCCCGAGACGTGGGCACCGCCGCCGTCGAGTTCGCAAATGGTGCACGTACCCCCACCACCTCCAGCACTTGACGCAAAACACCAGCAATACCCCCCTGCCTCTTCCTACACAACGTCGTCGTCTGTATCGAGTCCAGTGAGTCGCGCGACGGCTACCGCTGTGTCGCTCCTGTCTCCATTGGACCCCGTCTTGGTTGCCGCGCTGGAGAATCCGCGTGAACGCCTGACCCTGCTTCAGTTCGAAGATCAAATCGTGGCTTTTCTCAAATCTCCCAGGCATGCGTTCGTCTTTCCATGCGCAACAGAGCTGTGCTAACGTTTGTGATGCAGGGAATACGAGCTCGTACTGCCGTCGCTGTCATCGTACCACCGACTCATCGTGCACAGACTCGCGGATCGCTGTCACTTGGAGCACCAGACGGCCGATTATTACCACGCGGTACGTTGCATCATGCTTCATCGTGGCATGATGGCGTTGCTTGCAGACCGGGTACGATCCAAATGCCGCGCGCGTCGTGACGTTGTACAAAACGCCGCGATGTGCAGTGCCGTCCATTTTGCTCATCGACTTGGCCGCGGAGGCAGCACCGCCGACCCACCACACACCGTCGCATCCGCCCAAGATCATGTCGCGGAAGAAAGGCGCTGGCAGCTCCCACAAGCACCACCACAAGACCGCGCCGTCGACATCGGGGGACGCACGCAGCATGCAGGACCGCGAAAAAGCGTACGCAGAGGCTCGTGCGCGCATCTTTGGCGACGGCGGCCAAGACAAACCTGCGTCGTCGCCGGCACCTTCGTCGTCTGAAGCGTCTCAACCGGCCAAGGCGCCGCTGACCAGACCCTCCTCGCACCAGCCCCACGGGTCGCATCACCACCACCAAGACTGGAAACAATCGAAAGCACAGTACCGCGACCGCCAAAAAGAGATGAACGACCCTGACTTTACAAGGCACCACCAACCCCGCTCGGCCTACGTGTACGGCGCACCACCACCCCATGGCTACGGCACGCGCTACACGAATGACTTGTACACGTCCCATGCGCCGCCGTTCCAAGGAGACGGGTACTACCGGCAGCAGCCCGCCGCCCGCACATTCCAGCCCCGACCGGCGTTCGCGCAGCCGCCGACGGCGAGGAATGGACCGGCGTCGTACTCGATGGACACAGATTTTCCCCCGTTAGGTTAACGCTCGTTTGAATGCCTCGACGGCTTTGGCTCTTCTATCGAATATTGCGACGACGGCTTAGCCGATGGCTGTGCTATTGCGACTGCAGGTGTCTCGATGGCTGTGGTGGCTGACGTTGATGGCAGACGACGGCGCGGAAGTCGGGCCATGGTCGAGCGGGGCGGCCACTTGCTTTCGGGTGGACATGGCCTTGAGGGTCCGTCGCAGCTTTCGCCGTGCATCGTCGGCTTTCCGCTTGCACAGTTTTCGATACTGGTCCAGGATCATGCGATGGTGCGTGGTGGGGTCGGTTGGGTGGTCCATCATGTAAGCAAGAATGTGTTGGCGGAGGGATGCCTTGATGGCGGTCGTGGATCGCTCGTGCGCCGCGCACGTTTTCTCCAAGTGTGCAAGTCGGCTCGCAACGTCGGTGGCTCCATCAAACACGTCATGCAGATTCATGCACACATCCTCGTCGCCGATGGCGTTGTCCGTGGCTGCCGCCAGAGGGTCGGAAGCGGCGGCACGATGATCCACCAGTCCCACGACAGCCAACTCGTGATGCATTTTTGACGCACTGACGTCGAAACAAGACGACGGAATGTAAGAAATCGGCGGCGATGGGAGAGACGGCAGCACGGAAATCGTGTTGTGTGCGAGAAGCTGTTTGCCGATGGTGGTGGCTTCGGGTTGGATACGACTGTCGTTGTCGTCGCCTTCGTCAGGCATGGACGTAGTGGGCGACGGGCCGTGAACATCCACAAGCGCGGCCAACAGTTTCTGCATCCAGTCAGGAGATATCGCAAGCAACGCAACTCACCTCGGACAAGGAATCTGTTGTTTGTGTGGAAGGCGCCATGTCGTGAATGGGATGCTTGTTGTCGGGATTGTCTGCGACGACATTTCGTTCGTCGGCAACGGCACCTGTCGACGGAGGTGCCGGGAGAACGCGGTCGATCGAGTCCGGATGCACCGGTTGAAAGAACGAACATGCACGAAGGTACTGCCAGCACTCTGTCGTGGTACACGGGGTATCTGCGACGATGTTCGCCAGTCAAACACCCTGCAGCATGAGAGGTGCTTACCCAAGTCCATCGCATCAACATCAAACGATGGCGCCAAATCCTTGGACATGTCCCCGGATAGCGCGGACGACGTGCTCAACTTCCTTCGTCGTTTCTTCTTTCGCCTTGGATGCTCTTCTCTGCCTTCTGTAGTTGTTGTGGCATCTGGCATTGGTGTCGCAGACTGCTGCGAGGTCGATGCAATCCATGCATCCAATTCCACCATGCCTCGGTGAAAGTCCTCTAGCTGATCTTCCACGACAGCGCGAGCTTGCCGCAGCTCCGACAGCACGCGAGATGCGTTCTGCTTGCGAATGCCTGGCGCGTCCTTTGTCCCGCACGCCTTTTTGATCGTTGGGTACAGGGAGTGCTGGACCCAAAACTTGGCAGGGGCGGTCAGAACACTGCTTGGGTCGCCATGCGGAGGAAGAAGTTCCAGCGCATTGATCGGGTGTTGCGCATCAATGCCACTTGGAGGTCGTCGGAACACCGCCGGGACCTTCGCTGGCGCGGCCGGCATGTCGTCCTGCAATCTTCTTGTCAAGCAGTGCGCTTTGAAATTTGAATGCAATTCGACGTGTTTTAAAAAGAATGTGATTCACCACTTCATTGTGTATGTAGCATTTTATTGCACGCCAGGATATGTGAACGTTACAGTATTATTTTGCATCGGAATGGGAAGCTGCACATTTTAAATACCGGTCCCTCGAACAATCTAGAGATTCCACGCGCGTCAACTCGCGGCGACGACAGCAGGATGCTGCTGCCGGAGAAGCGCGTGGGCGTCTGCGACCACGAGGCGCTTGTTGGCCATGGAAGGGTCCGTGGCATCGCGGTCGTCCAGGTGCAATGTGCTCAACAGCGCGGCACTCTTGTCATACCGTCCCAGTGCCCATTCGCAGCGGGCCATGTGAAACACATTTTCCCATTCGTGCTCCACGTTGGCCTGCATCAAAGCGTAAGGTGTTCTTCGAGAAGAGCTGGCGGCGCGGATGGAGAAGGCGTACCAAGCGACCGTACACGTCCAATGCGGCAGCATGGTTGCCCAGCAGCGAGTACACTTCAGCTAAGAGGATCTTCGCAAGCCAAGAAGAGCATTCAGCTTTTGGGGCAATCAAGACCAGGCGCATGCACGGTACCATGTTTTCCCGAACTTCCGTGTCGTCGTATTTCAAAGCGCTTTCCAGGCACCCCACGACGCGCTCGAGTGTTGCTGTGTCGTCTTGGGTGTCGAGAACGAGAGTGTGGGCCAGGTGTGTGTACGCTCGTCCAAACGACGGGTCCTTGGTGATGGCATTTGCGAACTCATTGCTACATCAGCACACATTCATTATAAGTTGTTTCCAGGTTTGCACCTTACCAAGCGGCTGTGGTGTTGCCGAGTGCGAGCAACGACAACGCATACGAAAAGTGTTCCATCGCAACATCATGTCCTTTTAGGGCAAGTACTGCGTCGTCGCTCGCAATGAAGCGATCCCCAAGCGCTTTGCTCACACGTTTCACTTCCTCAGTCTCGTCGCCACTGACCTTTGTTGCATCGACGACACGAAGGGTTGCCTTGTCAAGGGGGGTTGAGTAATCGCCTCGGCGAAAGCGGAGGATGCCCTTCAAGGCGTCCCAGAACGTCGCGCTGTCGAACACCTCGGGTGGTGGTGGAGGTGGTGGCTCTTCCACGACGACCGGTGCTTCCACCGGCTGCTCCACCACCGCCTGCTTCGCGCGCTTTCGGCGCAGGAAACTCAACCGCCCGCCCATATGGAGATGTGGCAATTGAAACGGCTGATGTATCCGGATACCGCGACGTTCCGGATGGCGAACGTTCGTATCCGGATTGCCGCCATTTTCACACGAGGTGGCGGCATGAGGGTGGACACTCCGGAGATCCGGTGGCATTACGGTCCAACGGGGCTGAACGAAGCAGTCCTGACCATCGACTACCTGCGGCGGCCTATCTTGCCGTCTGCTGCAACGGGTGGAGAGATCGACACCATGAGCTCGACGCCTGTGGCGGCAGATGTGCCGTCCTCTTCTTCCCGTAGTACACCCCAGCAAACATCGCTCCCGACTGTGCTTGCAACGGCAGGATCTGACAAAGAAGTGCGGCTGTGGATCATGCCAACAGACGATCCATTGCCTGTCTTCGTGTACACCCTGTCAGCCCACGATCGCAGCGTGAACTGCGTTCGGTTCTCTCCTGACGGGTCCATCCTCGCGTCGGCAAGTGACGATTCCACAATCGTGCTGTGGTCGCGACCGAAACATTTGGTCGATGACGACGCTTCGTCGTGGGACTGGAGTACCGTCGCCAGCAACAGCGACGTCGGCCGCGTCCTCCTCGCCTGCGGTCACAAGGGCGACATCACCGACCTGAGCTGGTCCCCCGACAGCCAGTACTTGTGCTCCGTGTCCGTCGACAACACCGCGTCGATTTGGCACGTGCCGACTGCGAAATTGATCGAGAAGCGGAAGGACCATTCGCAGTTCGTCCAGGGCGTGGCATGGGACCCCCTCAGCGAATTCCTCGTGACGACGGGCAACGACCGGTCCGCCCGCATCTACGCTCTCCACGGGTACCATGGCTTTCCAACGTCTGGAGCCCCTGCATCGAAAAAGAAAAAGTGCCAACTCCTGCACACGAATCGATCGCTCGGGCCAAAAGACTGTGCCGCTGCTGTGACTGCGTCGACCGTGGCTGACACACCCGTGGCACACCCCACATCGTCCGACCTAGTCAAAGCTCCAAAGCAACTCCTCTTCCACGACGATACCTTTCCATCCTTCTCACGCCGACCAACGTGGACCCCCGACGGAAACTTTTGCATCTTCCCAGCAGGTACGTCTCGGCAGCCGTGGCCGACCTCATCGCCTTGCAGGACTCGCCCCTCGCGACGACTCGACACATGCCACACCAACACACACCGCTTACGTCTATGCGCGGGGCAACTTGCTTGAGCCCGCCTTCCACCTTCCTGGCCATGAAAAGGGCGCGTTGGCCATCCGTTGCAGCCCCGTGCTCTACGCCCTTCGCGGCGTCCCCACGGCCCGCAACACATTTGGGCTCCCGTACCGCGTCATCTTTGCCGTCGCGACGCTTACGTCCGTCGCGATTTACGACTCGCAGGTATGTCGCCATCTCGTTGAGCACAGGGGTAGTATGCCATGGCGTTCTTTCCCAGCTTCCTCGCCCGATTTGCGTCGTCGACCGAGTTCATTACGCCGACTTGACAGACATCAGCTGGTCCGCCGACGGAACAGTCCTGGCCGCCGCCTCCCTCGACGGCTACGTGAGCTTGATCACGTTGACGGAGGCTGACGTCGGCGCGCCTGTGCCGCCCGAAGGTGCGACCGCCGACTCGACATGGCATCCTCGACTTGCATGGCTGTAGATTTGACCAGGCTCTTGGCAGCCCAGCGCGCCAAGATGATGCACAACATGCCGCGCGGCCGAAAGAAACCTCCCGCCACAGTGTCCCCCGCTCCGCCACCTGCCCCAGCAACGACTACGCCCGACAAAAAGGACACACTCGTTGCGAAGAAACTCAAACCGTCCGACGGAGCCACGACGTCGATCCGGCAATTTACTACCGTCATGTCTCCTGACGTGGCGTTCGACTCGGCCAACATGCCCATGACTAGCGTCCCCCCCGACCAGTCTGACGGAGCACTGCCGCCGATGGTCCACACCGTCGCGGTCCGAAAAAAGAGGAAAATCGCGCCAGTCTTGGTCACAGCGACGCCCGCCAGGACTGTCGCACGTGCCAACGACTCGTCAAAGCACAGCGCCACGGGGATGGCAGCGTCCCCGACGAAGAGCATTTGCACGTCATCTGCTGCTGCTACCCCCATCGACTTGACCATGGACGCCAGCGCCGACGGATCAGAGACCATCGACGAGGCCAGGAACAACTCGAGTGACACGTAAAGCACGTGATCATGTTTATGGCAATTCAAACACTTTGATTGTCTTGAACACGACAAAGTACCCGTACGCGGCGCCGAGAGCAGCCAGCACGATGATGTTGACCCAGTTGAGCACCGAGTGACTCTCGGGCGACGACACCTGCGCGCGGACAAGGGCAGCTGCTTGCAGGAGAAAACAGAGGCAGTACGCTTGGCAGAACGTCTTGCGAATCAGTGCATCACCCACGAGCCGCGTCTTCCACACGAGCCACCCCTGTGCCAACGTCAACGCGCCGTACAAACGGACGACTTCATGCACGAGGTGGCCGTACTCGGACGCCCCAAGCGCCGACATGGCAAGGGAGTGCGGGAGGACGAGACAGCTACCGCCGATGACAATCGCAATGCCAGCATGTACGATGAAGAGCGTGTCCAGGCGCCGGCGCACTTCGGTCGTTGACCCTGTGTGCGATAGCAGCACTTGGTCCCACCACGATGGCGGCCGTCCTGCCATCGCGCGATGTGCCTGTGTGGAGTGTCGTCAGGATTTAATAACGTCCGGATAATACAATAAACAATGGTCAAATAGATCTATTTGATTGTAAGGAAAGTCGAGATTCTAAATAAAACGTTTTTTATTGCAAGGGCTTCTGTATATTTTGCGGTTGCCACGTTACGTGTCTTGCCGCCGCTGAACATGTCCGTCCGCGCCGCCGCCGTGCTCTGCATGGTCCTCTCGGTGATGAGCCTGAACACAGACATTCCGTCCGGACAACCTGAATGTTTCTTCCTTGAGTCCCCAAAGTACAAGGAAGGGCTGTCGCTCAACTACCAAGTGCTGCGCGGGATGGGCGACGAACTCGTGACAACGATGAGCAGCCCGAGCGGAATCACCCTCTTCCACAAGACTGGTCCAACTGGACGCTTCGTAAGCCCTGTCCCCGAAGACGGCATCTACCGGGTCTGCTTTGCCCAGAACACTCTGGTCAATATCCGTGTTGGGTTCTCCTTTCACGCCGACGATCCTGCCCACGACGTCCTCTCAAATGCCGACGCCACCAAGATCGGTACGACCGTTGCTCTCGTACGCATCCGTCATCGTGGTTGTAGAGCAAGCTCGAGCGGTGGAGGACATGGTGTATGAGCTGAATACCCACCTGGACACGGTCAAAGACACACAGTCGTACATGAAGGCCAAAGCCGTCTACCACCACAGCGGTAAGCGCAGTTCTCTCGTCCTTCCTCGTTGTTCACGGTGTCACATGTCTGCGGGAGATGGTGCTTTGTCGTCGCTGCCCATGTTTATTCCCTGTTCACACACGGTTGCTGCATAGTTGTGGACAACACGAACAGCCGCATCGTCTTGTGGTCGTGCATCGAAGCCACGATCCTCGTGGGCCTTTCGTTCTGGCAGATGTCATACCTTCGTCGAACGTTTGAAGTTCGCCGCGTCTTTTAGACGCATCGTCGCGCCATGCAGACGTACTCTGCGTCGATCCCTTATCGAGTCGTTACAATCCATTGTTCTCTTGTCGTGCAGTCGCCACGTCGAGTGGACACCCTCGCCCACCGATTCTTCATCGCACACGAATGCATCCCCCGAATTCTCGAAAGATGCATGTCTCGTTCCCACGAGGTTCGTCTCCATGCCGCCCGTCGACGTCTCTTCGTCCACGCCGGACGCGTCGCTTGCGGCAAACCAGCGACAGATCAGGAACGCACCCGGATAAATGGGCCGTCGGATTGGCCGATCCGAATTCCCATCGATTCGATTGGTTTATTTATCCGGATAGTAATCTTGCGCGTGTGTGTTGTTGTTCCATTTCGACTGCCGCCGCCGCCGTCACTGCGCGCGCGCCGCCCAAGTCGAGCAAACATGGGCACGACGGGGTCTGTCGAACAGCGGAATGCGATCAAGGATGTTATCTTGATCAGCGACAGCAGTGCGAAGAAGCGCACCAAGGACGACATCATGCGTGTCTTGCAAACGTTTTGCCTCGTGTTTCCGTTCGATGTATGTGTGTGTGTGTGCATCGGGAAGGGATCTCGTGGTATTCACCTTGCCACGGTAGATGCCTGAGCGAAGAAGACGCACCGACAGCTCGGAAGAGAATGCGGCCGCCGCGTCCATGGACGTCAAGGAGAAGCGCTTGTTCGACTCGGTGCACCGCTTGTTGAAGTCCGCCGTCGACAACACGGCGACAAACAACGCTGCCGACGAGTCGGACGTCGTGCTTTTGATCTTAGACACATTCAAGCGTCTGCTGCAGTGGCGCGAGCTCCACAAACTCGTCCCCAAGTACTCGATCAAGCCGTTTCTCACGTGCATGGTGCGGATGCTTCGGCAGAGTTCGCTCTCAACCGAATCCGTCTTAGATGTGGTCTCCGGCGCTAGCGTCGTCCGTGTTGGACGTGCTCCTCATGATGATAACCCGTCCGACTGGCTTGAAAACGGTGGAAGTCGGCGACAAAATCGAGATGCTGAACAAGCGAACGCTTGCCGACGACTTGGGCTTCCAAGTCCTCGGGTCGCTCCTGGCGCAGCACCATCCGTCGTCCGTCCTTTCGGCACCTTCGTCCGCCGAGCCCATTCTTGAAGCGTCGCTTCGCATCTTTCATTGGACCTACGTCGGCAACAAGCTCACGTCCGATGCAGTCACGTTAGATCGAGTACAGAAATCCGCATCGACACCATCAACTTCACCATGAAATGCTAGGTGACAGACTCCCTTCTCAATGCCCGCCTGACCCTCCTGCACTTGGCTCACCACCGCGGCGCGGCATGTTCCAGCGTGGAACTGTACCCGGCATCATCGACCGGACCATCTTCCTTGCGCCACTTGGCCGCCGATCTCCTTCTCGAACTGTTCTCCGTCGCTGATGTGGCCCAGGTAACCGTACTTCAAGACACGGCGCGAGACTGCGGGGCGCTACTGTACATGATGTCGTACGCGCTGGACACGGCCCCGGACGAGGTGGGGCAGCACATGCAGGTGAGTGCGGCCTTCCTTTGCACGCGCCAGGCCGCGGAACGCAGCGGCTATCGCAACGGAAACGTGACACTGCATGAACACGGTAGAATGGCGAGCTGACCGCTGACAAGATCATGGACGAGGCTAGTCCTCCCTTGGAAGACGGCATCGACCGACTCTTCCGGGAGAAAGCGGTCGCGTTGGTCGAGATGTTCTGCGCTGGAAACAGTCGATCCAAGGCGGCTGTGTACCGCATGCTCCCCGTGGATTTGTTTGTCCCGATCGAAGACCGGCCGGACCTTGTCTCCAAGTACACACTCGCGTCGATTCGTAAGAGCACCAAGTCGACGACGTCGTCGAGCCTCCTCCTCGGTCCGTTTCGATCTGAACCTCGCTTCAACGCGCAGTCGGTCGCGCCGTCGTCGTCCATGCTGGCGTCTGCGCTGTACACGTCATCGTCATCGGTGGCGACCCCCGCCACCCACATCGAATTCCAGGTATCGCTTTGACGATGGTGGCATGGCGGCGTTGTGACAGCCCCTTTGACGGCAAAGGCCATGCCAGGCTAGCCATCGCTGACTTTGTCCCCCTTGTAGAGATGGCTGCACGATGCGCGCACGCAGGGAGAGACCTGGCAGGAGGTCCTCGTGGCGGCGAGGGACGAACACGTGCGGCCAAACTTGATTTGGCGGCGCGAAATGCTGCGCGAGCTGCAACTGGCGCTGCGACGTGAGATTGCCAGGTTGGAAGCCAATGTGTTGTCCGCATCGAGTCGTGCCACCACGTCGCCGCTGCCCCGGTCGTCATCGACTGCCCTGTCGTCGTCGTCCATGCAATTGTGGGATGCCGAGCAGTTCACGGTGCGATATGCGTCGTTTCAGCGCGAGTTGGTCGTCCACGGGTATTTTCTCGACCCGCTGCTGCCCAAACTGAGCAACTTGAACGACCCGTTCGAAGTGCAGGACCACGTGCTGCTTGCGTGGCATGTCTTGGACCGAGTCGCCGTCGAAACGAACCCGTTGTGGCGACTGCGCTGCATCAAGTGCGTGCGGTTGTTGCTGCGGCGGTACGCCATGACGTTTAACGGGCAATTGCCGATGCAGTCGTTGCTCCAGCAACTCCAACGCGCAACGTCGCCCGCCGATCCACCGACACACGCGTTCGCGACCGAGTGCTTTTGGTTGTTTCACGTGGCGATTTCGACATCGCGCACCCGCACCGCCGACAGCCTCGTGACCACGTACGACGCGATCGTCGCGACCGTCGTGGCGGCGCTCCATGCAGCGATTTCCTCGCGCCGTTTTGAAGACACCCGCGCGAGTGACACGGACGGCGATGATCGACGCGACGCCGATCGACATGACGTCCACCGACTCATGGTCGAGTCGGGAAACGACGACGACGATGACGACGTGGACCGAACGAGCGAACACGTGCATGCGCACCACGCAAGAACGGATGGCGAGGCCGCGCCGGACGACGGTGGCGTCGATGCGATGGTCCGCGCGGGGGTGAATGTGCTCGCAGTCCTTGTCCAGCGCGCCAAATCGTACGTTCCACAAGTGCTTGCAGCGCGCGACACGCTGGTGCGCGTATTTCACACGGTGCTGCGGCCGTCGACGTTGGAAGCGTTGCTTGGACTGGTCGAGCACCTCTTGCCTCACCTGACGAATGCAGGCGCGACGGCATGTGGCTCGTTCCTGGAACAAGTGCTGCCCGCCGTCCTCAGCGCGTGCAGCAACCCGTGCAACGCCGGACGCATGACCCACGCTGCGTCTGCATTTCTGGCCAAGTACATCTCGCCGTCGCTGTTTCAAACCACTCTCCGCAACGCGGTCGGCCACGACGGGTGCGGCCTCCACCTCGTCCTCGCCGATCCGACGGTGCTGGCGGCCATCTTTAACGCGGATTCAGTCCAGGCCGCCGACGTGCTGTGGGGCGCGACCCTTCGCCACCGCCTCTTTTCCAGCCTGCACCAGGAGTACTACACCGTGGTCTCGGACGGCGGGCTCTGTCGACGACTGTCCAACACAGTACAAAAGAGCGACAGCGGCGAATTCTTTGATGCCCAGCCAGACTCGAGCACCGACCTCGACATTTGCGTCGGCCACCTCTTTTTGCGCTCGTTTGTCGAGCAGGAAGGGTCGTTTCGAACGACGTGGACCGATGCCATGTACCGCACGACCATCGACGCGCTGCTGCAGCAACTCATGAAATCGCGTGGGTCGTTTGTGGCGGCCAACAACGACGTCGACGACCCGATGGAAGTGCAGGTCCTCGTGCTTCGCGCGCTGCGCTACTTGCTCCCTCGCGGTGGACACAACGTACCGATGGACGCGCGTGTGTTGGAGGTGCTCCTGAGTCCACTCAAGCGCAGCTTGTTGAGCGAAGTCGACCAGGTACGACAACGCGTTGCTCGTGCTGCGCACTGACGTCGTGGCGATAGGCACGAGGGGGCGTCGGGCTGCAGTTGCTAGCCCATGTCATGACGCCACCAAACGTCAATGCGTCGCACGCACTCGCGGTCGTCGAGTCGTCGTTTGCGCTGCTACAGGACGTCGTGGACAAGACGCTCCAGCCGCGGTACGTCCAGTTCGTTCGCGAACAAGTGGCGGATCCGCCCCAGCACCACGTCGACGTTGCCATGACGCTCGTGACGGCGTTCTTCGAGTTGCTTGTCGTGGTGGCGTCCCATGACCCCGGAGCGTTCGACCGGCGTCCGTCGTTGTTGTCAAAACTGTTTGCGTACTTGTCGGACGTGCCGTCGTGTCCGCAGCTGGCGTTTGCCGCGTTGCATTGCGTGTCGCGGCTATGCCAGGTCTCGTCGGTGCTGCCGCCGATGGTCCTCGTCGACGGCGGCGGCGTGGTCTTTCTCAGCCACTTGCTCGCCACGACGCCATCGAGTCCAGAAACGTCGGCGGTCGTGACGGCGGCGGCCACGATTCTCCAGGCGAATGCGGCGCTTCTCAACGCTGTTCTTGTCCAGCTCTTCACACCTGGCCTCGTCGAGGTATGTGCTTGTGACGGTCCATCGGCGTCATCTTCGCTCGCAGGTGCTTGCGACGGACGGCCCCGCTGCATTTGTCGTCCGCTTGCATTGCGCCGACGACGTCTGGACCGCGCGACTCATCTGGACCATTCAGTACGCGGCTCGCATGCAACATGGACCAACTCATGGTGGCGGCATAGGATGCAGGCGACGTTGAACGAAACGTTGCGGCGCGAGGTTGCAAACGTGGCTGCCGCGGCCAAGGACGCCGCCCGGTGGCCCGTGTGGTTTCTCGACCACTTTGTCGCTGCCGACTCGTACCGCTACCTGTACGCGGACGTCGCCGACGAAGTCGTTGTCGGCGGCGTCTACCTCCGTCTCTTTGTCCAGCAAGACATCCTGTCGATGCCACTGACGAAGATCCACGCCCTCGCAGCCGTACAATTTCTTTGCCATCGATAGCGCGGGGGACGGCACTGACACGCGTGAGTAGGCATTCATCCAAGCACATGGCGCGCTCACGTCGTCGATCGAGGGTCTCCGCGCGGTACGCCTACCTCGTCATGCGTTGAGTAATTCGGCTGTAGCGAGGCGGGGCCCCGTCCAAAGTCCAAGAGGCCACACTGGACCACCTCTGTCTCGCCATCCGCAAGATCGGGGTTGCGTTCCCTGAGCTCGACCTCGTCGATTTCGTGGACGATGGGTTCAGCGACACCGAGAGCGTCGGCGATGACATGGCGACCTTTGTCGACATGAGCCCGACGCACGACGACGACGGCGCCGCCGCCGTCCAGCGCAGCGACATCGATACACGGCCCGTCCTCGGCAAGCAAGACTCGATGCAGCTCGATGAAATTGTTGTTTAACTTACATGATCGCACACGTCGACGGCTTGTCTGGTTCGTCGGCCGTCATCGCGGCCGCCACCCGCGCGTACTCGGCTTCCGTGAACAAGTGCTTCTCCGACACGTGGTACACCGACCCGTCTTCATACTCCATCGTGTACTTGGCCTCGGCCGGAACGTAGGCGAGCACGCGGCACCGCAGAAACTCGTGCTCGTTGAATCGCGTGTACATAATGTCGCCGACCTGCCGCGCCAGTGAGTCCACCGAGTGCACGTCGTGTGGGGTTTTTACCTGGTACTTGCTCGGGGGGAATGCAAACGAGCTGGTCGTTGTGAGGGCGGTCGACGTCGGCGGCTCGACGTGGCGAACAGACTCTTCGTTCCCGAGCGCCGTCGGCTCAGTCGCCACCAACGTGGCTGCAGCCGTTGGTGGCGGAAATGCATCGTTGGGCTGGTCCGAAGACTTGGCAAACTTGAGAAATACATCACGCAATGGGCCTTCGACGTCGCGCCAGTGTGTCGCACACTCGGATTCAAGCAGCGTGGCCACGTCCGTTGTCGGCGCGACCTCGAGCAATGCCGTCCACTGCGCGTCTTGCGCCGTCGCCGTCTCGTCCATGAGCTCCTTTGACAGCATCACAGCGTTCTCAAACTCGGCAATCGTTTCGAGGATGTTTTTCCGACGCGTCGGCGCCGACGTTCCCATGCGCATGTCGTGCTCCTTCAACTTGTTGCGCTCCAAGTTCGCCTCGCTTGTTGCGTGCCGCACACGCAGGATCAGGGCCGCATCAAACGACACGAGCTCCGCGACGACGCGGGGCAAAACCTCCTTCAGCCGCGCCCCCGATGCCGTCTTGGCGCGGGCCTCCATCACGTAGAACTACAACAGTGGGTGAGCCACACGGGTGTCCTCGAGTTGGAGCTGTCGTACGTCGTTGAATGCTTGGGTCATGGTTTCCTGGCGCAGCGCCACCACATACCGCACGAGCGCCTGCGCAGCAATGCCAAAAACGTCGACGAGGTTGGCACAATCCCACGCTTCCGTCGCTGCCGTCGTCGCGCGCTCGGCGGCAGCGTGGAGCTCACGGGCCGTCACCGCATCGACTTCAATTTGGGTCGTAAACACATTGGTCTGTGCACGGATGAGCGCTGCGTCACCAGGAACGCCTGTGGCAATATACTCTGCACGGCGTGCGAGGACGAGCTCCTGGAGCTTCTTGGCCGCCACGACTTCGTCTGTCCGCGCCTTGTTCAGCTCCGCCGCCATCTCAGCGACATGCTTCTGACCGCGCTGGACCAACTCCGTCACGTCCGCGAGCTTGGTCTTCAATCTGTGCAACGTGTCGGCGTGCATCGCGGCGAGATCGGCCTTGGCTTTGCAAAACGCCTGTAAACGCCGCGTGTGGTTGGTGCAAGCGGCATTCAACGCCTTAATCTTGTCCTCGGGGGCGACAAGCGGCGCCATCGCGTCCAGCATCGCGGCCTTGTCGGACGCGGCAACTTCTGCGTCCGTGGGGGTAATGCGGCCATCCTAACGTGTGCCCAGGACGAATTCATAGTGACCAACACGCACAGGTCACGAGATTTGGGGAACGCACCAGAGCATCGAGTCGTTGAACATGTGGCAAGAGCGAAACAATGTCCAAGAGAAGGTTCGAGGCCTCGGTCGCGTCAAACGTGGGTGAGTTGTGCCGGAGTGCCGCAGCGTGCGCCGCGCATGCCGCATCGAGTAGATTCTTCACGTCGGGGCTCCATGCAACCGCAAGTTTTGTGAAAACATCGTCCAATGGGGGCGATTGCGGAGCCGACGCAGCTTCGTCCTTAATGGGGTTGGCGCGGTTCGAGAGGTGAAGCGAGAAAAGGTTCGCCGCGGCGGTAGGATCGCACTCTTGGAGAGGCAGCTGGGTGGACGAATCAAGGTCATCGTCGTCGTTCTCGACTTCTTCTGAAGGTGGGGACAGATGCTTTTGCGAATAAGGAAGGTTGTACTCGGACGGAGAAGCATCGAAATGCGCTGGGGCACTGGCACTGACTACGGCGTTACGAGCATCGAGTTCGCGAGCAGCTTGCAACGGAGTGAACGAGTCATACTTCTCGTGGAAGAGTCGATGGTTGGGTGGCAGCGACAAACGTGGGTTCTTTGGCCGGTTCCACGTGTCGTGGAAGCCATCAGGAAGACGCGCGCGCTTTTTCGTCGCTTCCTCACGGTTGCGCAGCATGCGAAATGCTTTGGCCGTGTCCCAGTTCACTTCCCGAAGCGTCAAGTCCAAGTCGCCTTTCGAGTAGACAGTGCCGCACTCCGACTCGACGAGTGCATGAAGGGTGGCCAAATCACGCAATTGCTGGGGGCTCAGTAGACTCAGACCGTCGTCTGGATCGTGCGCCATCTCCTGCGATGGGCTCGTTTTCATGGAAGGGAGCACAGGTTGGCTCATGCTGCCTGTCCGCGCCGCCGATCGCTTCAATTTGTCGAACTGCCAGTTGAACGCCCAGGCCGAAGACGAAATTTCTCAAATCCACCAATCAGAGCTCCTAACATTCCGAATTGACGTTTCATTGGCTAAAATGAATGCGGTTTGAAATCTGGTGATTTGATTGGACCATCATGTCCGAATATATCCGGAACGACCTTTCCGTCCCATTCCACGGTGGTTGCCATGGAAGAGAGCGCCGCCGCGCCAATGGCCGTCGGCGGCGCGTCCTTGACGCTCGCATCGTCCACCGCCGAGGATAATGGCTCGCTTGAGAGATGTCCACCTTGTATTGAACACAAATACGATGGAAGCAAAAGTTGCGCCAGTTTGCCAAACCTTGGTGTCATGAACGGAGCGAGCTCGACAGCGTCCACAAGCACCAGGTCAACGGGTCGGCCATTGCACCAATTACTAGGTTCTCGCAAAGCTGGATGCGAAGGTTTGCGTCGGCGCCATCGCTGGCATCAACGAACGCATGCCACCCGTGGCCAGGCAAGCAGTTCAAGCGCCAGCTCCAGGCTAGAATCGGGCAGCGAGAGAACAGCCAGCAACAAAGCGCACTGGCTGTGCGTGGCCCCTGTCGGCGCGCTTGCCGGCGACCTTCGAGGGGCCGTCCGAGTGCCACACCAGTTTTTGCAACGCGTTTTTTATCATTGCGTTAATCGTTTTAACGCGTTTTAAATCCAATTGACCGTTCTGCCAGTCGACACACCGGCGGCGGCATCTCTCATGGGCGGCACGAACAGCAAAGCTCTTTCCCCGCCACGTTCCGAAGCAATTGCCGACGGTGGCAGCGCGACGTCAAAGGGTTCGTCGTCCAACGAGTTCTCTGCCGTCGAACAAGCCTTGGACATCACGCTCAACTTGCTCCTGCTCTACGGGACGTATGTGTGCGCGCAGTACTTGTACAAGGTCTAGCGCCCCTGTCTCGATCGGGCTCTGATGTCCCTACTGATAGTCCTACAAACCCATGATCGAAGACATGTATCAGTCCAAGGACACGGCAGCAAAGCTCAAGAAGCGGCTCGCGGAATCGAAGCGCGCGACTATTACGATGAACCATTACGAGTCGATCATTGCCGCCGACCTCGTGGACCCCGCCGATCTCCACGTGACCTTTGCCGACATTGGAGGACTCGACGCCCAAAAGCGCGATCTGCATGAGCTTGTCGTGCTGCCATTGCAATGCCCCGACTTCTTTGCCCAGTCCAAGCTCCTCGCAGTTCCCAAAGGCATTCTTCTGTATGGCCGACCGGGGACAGGAAAGACCCTTCTCGCAAAGGCGATCGCGAAGGAGTCGGACGCGTTCTTTATCAACCTCAAAATCAGCACCCTCATGAGCAAGTGGTTTGGCGAGAGCCAGAAGCTGGTCAAGGCCGCATTCTCCCTCGCCAAGAAGCTCGCGCCATGCATCATCTTCATCGACGAAGTCGACAGCTTCATGGGCGCGCGGAACGGCGGTGCGTCCGACCCCACATACAACTCCATGAAGACGGTACTCTTCTCAGCATCTCTCCACACGCCTGAGCTCTTCGTGTAGGAATTCCTGGCTTTATGGGACGGATTTGCCGACAACTCGTCGCCCGACGGCGGAGGATTCGGCGTGATCGTCCTCGGCGCGACCAACCGCCCTGCGGACGTAGTGCGTTGCCGTCGACGGCTTCCTGCATGATGCTTGACGCGCGTGTTGTAGGACGCGGCATTTCTCCGCCGCATGCCGCGCACGTTCGAGGTGGAGCTACCCGACGCGACCCAGCGCGAGCAGATTCTCCGTGTGCATTTGAAACATGAAGCGTTGGATGCCGACGTGAACTTGGCCGCGTTGGCGCGGGACACGGTCAACTTTAGCGGCAGCGACTTGAAGGAGCTGTGTCGTGCCGCGCTGATGCTTCCGCTGCGAGAACACATTGACGCGTTCCGAGCAGCGAATGCTCCTGTCTCGCCGAAGGACGAATCACCACCTGTTGTCCACACAGTGTCCAAGCGACCCGTGTGCGCCGCCGACTTTGCAGCGGCGCGCACGCGGGTGCATGCGACAGGTGCCACTGCCTACGCTTACGCGAACGAACATCAATCCCACGAGCACAACCAAGCATCTCAAGCAATTACCCCCGAGATGTTGGCGGCCATGATGACAATCGGGATGCAGCACTTTATGCAACAGGCCACGGGGCCGCCGGCGACTCGCCGCCGTTGACGGCGGCGGGTGCAATCCCGACCGGATATAGACATGTCAAAACTAGTATATTGTATGCTGCTTTCAAATCGAATTCAATGACTTGACAATTGTATTGTCAATAAACGTTGTCGAAAAAACACAACCGGTCACCCCCAGAGCCACCAGTCAAGAGTTTGCATTCCCCGAAGAGCGATGACCGACTCGAAAGCACCCAGCGCCGGCGTCCCCACGGCGCAACATGACCTGACCAACTCGCTGGCGCCATTCATGGACCTGCACTTCATGTTCCCGTTGATTGATTTTCTCTCGAGCAACGAAATGTACGACGACAAGCAGCTCCAAGCCGCCAAGCTCGAGTTGCTCAAACCGACCAAGATGGCCGATTTTGCCATCGAGGTGCATCAAGCGTTGCACGGCGCGGCCAAGGTCCCCGCCGACCTTGAAAAGAAGCGCCAAGTTATCGTGGACGAAGTGAAAGCGGCGAAAGATATTTGCAAGCCGTTCCTCACCCTCATGGACAACCAGGTCAAGATCATCGCCCTCCAGAACGACGGCCTTCTCACGGCCGCCTACCTCGAACAGCATCACGCCGTACGACCTTTGTCTGATCCTTCCATGCATGCCTGACCCTCTCGATCCCTAGATCACGTCCGATGTGTTGGAAGGTGTGTACACGTTCGCCAAGTTGCAATACGAGTGCGGCAACTACCAGGACTGCTTGACCTACTTGACGTACTACGGCGTGCTGGTGCCGAACGCTTCGGAAAAGTACTTGAACGCGTTGTGGGGCAAGTTGGCCGCCGAGATCCTGGTCTTCCGGTGGGAAGACGCGCTGGCGGACATCACGCGCATCAATGAAGCGATCGATGCCTCTGGGCGGTCGCCCCTCGAGCAGCTCCAGCAACGAACGTGGCTGCTGCACTGGTCTCTGTTTGTGTTTGCGTGGCACGAAGAAGGCCGCGACCAGATTGTCGACTTTATGCTGCAGTCGCGATGCCTGGAAGCAATCCAGACAAACGCGCCATGGCTCATGCGGTACCTCGCTGCTGGCGTCATCCTGCACAAGAAGCGTCGCTACCTGATCAAGGAGCTGCTGCGCATCATCCACGTCGACGACAAGGCGTACCGGGACCCCGTCATTGAGTTCCTCGAATGCTTGTACGTGCATTTCGACTTTGAGTTGGCGCAGACCAAGCTCCTCGAGTGCAAGCACGTGCTCGCGTCCGACTTTTTCCTCGCCGAGAAGAACATGGCCGCGTTCATGGAGAACGCCCGCCTCCTCACGTTTGAGATTTACTGCCGCATCCACCACACGATCGACATCTCGCTCCTCGCCGACAAGCTCGCCATGAATGAAAAGGGCGATGCGGAGAAGTGGATCGTCGACCTCATCCGAAACGCGCGGCTCGACGCCAAGATCGACTCGCAGAACGACGTGATCGTGATGGACACCCGATACGACTCGGTGTACCGCCAAGTCATCACCAAGACCAAGGATTTGGCGGCGCGCACCACGAGCATGATCGCTCAGTTCGATCGGCTCGGGAAGCGCCAGCAGCGGGCGCACGTGTAGGTCCGACGTGGTGTCCGTCGTGATGTTTTATTTTAGAAACCATGCTCGATTTTTCACTGTGTTTTCGTCAAATGTGGCCGCCATTTCGCAAAAACGACACTGAATGTCGGTCCGTGCTGGCCAGTGGTCCCTTGGAAATTGATTGGCCCGCCAAAACTCACGTGGTTCAACTGTCCTTTCACAAGACTCAAATGTCCATCGTGTTAAATTATGTCGGCGACGCGCTTCCTACGCCTGGTGCTGGTCCACAACCATCTCGAGCACCACGTACATGATCGCGGCGTTCGGCACCGTCTTCATCAAGTGAGCCGGCATCCCTCCGTACAAGCCACGCCGCCCCTCGCTCTGGTAGATCACGTTCAGGGCCTGGAACATGCTTCGATACCTGAACAAGAATGAGCCATCCATCGTGGTCAGAACTTAGAGACGCAACATACCGTGGCAAGGAGCCGTCCGTGGGCGTGCGCTGGTCACGCAGACGCGTCCGCACGACCTCATGCGGGTATGTGGCGGCAGCAGCCACGAGTTTACACACACCGGCCAGCACAAACAGTTGCGGCTTGGATGGTTCGTCTCCAAGGCGGCTCTTGAGCTCTTCGTATAGAGCAAGCTGGATTGCGCCTTCGGACACGCCCCAGTAGGAAGCAGAAAGACCCTTGAAAAATGACCGGATCCCTTCGCGGCGGTACATGTCGAGAGCGACTTCGTGCATGGAGTGGAAGCGAGGAAGCGAGTGGGATATGGTCGCGGGAGCAGACGATGGCAACGAAATCGTGTGCACTGGCATGAGTTGCATGCGAGTCTTGATCACAAAGATAGGACTCAAAACCGACGCGGTGAGACAGCCAGCCGCCGACGCAGATGCGAAATTTGCCGTTGTGCCGGTGAAGCCATACTCGCACAGCGATGCTTTCAACTTGGCGTAGCAGCCGAAGTACGCAGCGCGGGCGGGGACGACTCCAAGAAGATTCGGCAAGATTCCACGCCACAGGCCAAATACACTTTCTACGAGGCATTGAGAATGAGTCACACCAACGATTCGGATGGATCCATCTCCACACCTTGCTGGAGAATTGACTGCAGCACGTTGGACGTCGTCAAGCGATGGTGCTGCACCGCGCGCGACATGGTGTCCCTATACGTGGCAAGCATCAGCACTGGAATGGCTTGTTTCCGATGCAACGTACCGGCCAGCTTTCGTTTGCAGTCGCGTCTTCACCACTTCAAGCGGTGACGTGATGATAGCTGCCGTCATGCCTCCAATGGCACCACCCACAAAGTGGCGGTACTGCGGGTCGGAGACCGCCGCGACGGCCATCGCAACCGGGTTCGTGCTTCTTGCGTCGACAGAAGCCATCGTGCGCGTTCTTGCCGAATCGCAAAATTCCGACGAGTCCCGGTCGCGATCGGTATCCGGAACCGGATAAATCGGCACCACCCGTCCTTCTGCCATTTGATTGGTCCATTCGTGGTCCAATAGAAGGCCATTTTCGGAACGGTCGCGCGATCTGACAGCATGGCGGCGACTGCCGTGGACGCCGCGGCAAAGCATGCGTTCGCGTACGACGGAGGAATGGTCGTCCTTATAGACGAGCACACGACCGTCTCCAAGTGCGGCAACGTGCTCAAGTTCTCGTCCATCGTGAGCAACTCGCAGCACTTTCTCACTCGGTCAAAGTCCACTCGGATCACATCTTTCGACGCCAACGCGAAGGCATCGCACGTTGCCGTCGCCGCGTGCGAAGAGCGCGCGGAAGTGTCTATCTACTCCTTCCCGGAGAAGGTACGGACTCCGGTCGGTGACTGCTTGCCTGACGTTTCCTCGCACACAGAAACTGCGCGGGAAGCTCAAGGTCGACGAGAGTTGCGTGTTCGACCACTACCTCGTCCAGTTTTCGCGGTGTGGGTCCAGGTTGCTGTCGGTCGGGACTACCCCAACCTCCAACGAGGTTGCGCCATCCGTCGCAAGGACCAAGACGAGCTCATCGTGTGCATTCTTTTGACTAGTTGCGTGTGTGGGATGTGGACAAGCTCGACTGTATTGAAGGGTGCACCGCGGTGCTGCCGACGCGCGTCACGATGGCATCATTCAATCCACTCGACGCGCAAACGTTCATGACGGTCACGGCGGACGCAGTCACCTTTTGGCGCATATGCCATGGCATGCACGGCCAGTGTTGTTTTAGCAAGGTCGACGGCGCGGCGTGGGGCGTCCATGACGCGGCGCCGCATCTCGGGAAAACCCAGTCCAGTCGTGCTCTCCTCGCAGGCGCAAACGACAAGCTGCCGGCGTTCAACGATGACGGCGCCGCCGACGACGACGACGTCTCGACGCGGTATCGCTACGTGAGCCACTGCTGGTCCAAGGCGGCAGGGCACATCCACCTCGTGAATGCGCGCAGCGAGCTCGTGACGCTCGACTCGGCCACCGGTGCCGTCGTCGCGCGTATCGTCCCGCTGTCGCGCGCGCCCGTCATGGCGACGGCGCTGGCACTGACCGCCGAGAGCCTCGTCGTGGGGTTTTCGGACGGCACGATCCGATGGCTGGCATCCGACGACCTGACCCTCGTCCTGCAAACAACAGCGCTTCCCCATCCGATCACGGCATTCGCGCTGTCCCCGACGTGTGTTGTCCTTGTCGCGGGAACGACCAACGGCGGCCAGTACGAGCTCAAGGCGTTCGTGGAGCCGGTCGATGACGACGCACAAGACCGACAGCAGCAGCAGCAGCCTGCCGCAAAGTCCCTGGGCATCAACCACACGGGCGCGATCGTGGCGGTCTCGACGCTGCTTCCGGCAGGCGGCACCACCAACGACGCGGTCCTCGTCACAGGCGGCATGTCTGGTCTCTTGCACGTATGGGCGGTCGTGGGGTGTCGCAGCCTCGCTGCCGTCGACGTCTTGGATCTGTTTGACAACACGTCGATCGCGGCCACGTCCCAGCCGTCGTTTTCGTCGACGCCAGCGCTTGCGACGACTGGTCTTGCAGACACCGCCGCCGCCGCCGCGACTGCCGTTCCGATCGTGAGTCTGGCCGCGCGAACCCTCGATCCGATCCTCGTGGTCGGCGACGCTGCTGGCCGGGTTCGCATCGTCGGGCTGAGCAAGGCGACAACGTCCGTGGACGTCGCGCCGCTCCACACCGCGCGCCTCCTTCCTTCGACCGCTCCCATCGATCTCGTCGAACTGCATCCGTCGCTGCCACTCGTCCTCGTCGCGTCGTCCGCCGACACGGCGGTGTTTGTCATGTCGGTCGAGCCCGACAAGCAGTTTCGCGTCGTCGCGTTTATCCGGACTGCGCACCGCCCGCAACTCATCAAGTGGGTGCCAACGTCCAGCCTCGAGTCCACGTACTTTCTCGTGTCGACCGCCGCGCGCGGCGTCAGCTACGTGCTAGTCCCCAACAACCTCGACGACCGCCTCGCGACCGAGCTACCGCTAATGCCCCTTGGCGCCGACCCAACTCTTCCGTTGGAATGCCACGGCGGGGCGTTCCTGCTCACACCGGGGAAGCTCCTCGCGTACTTTAACCGCGGCGACAAGGCGCTGCACCTGGTCAAGGTGTACGACGCGCCTGGCGCGGCCAAGGACCGCGAGCTCAAGACCCTTGTTCTCCATGCTCATGCCAAGCCGATCACGGCCATCGCGCGCAGCATCCTGTCGTCGAAAGACGGTCAAGAGATTGTCGCGACCGGCGGCGCGGACGGCGTGGTCACGCTGTGGCTTGTCCAGACAAAGCGATCGTCCAGCGCGGTCTTCCTCAAGGACGTCGACATCAACGTGCGCAAGCAGCGCAGCCTCCCCATCCACTCGGGGCCGGTCACGGCGCTCGTGTTCGCCACGTGCGACGACTACCTGTTTGTGTACTCGACGGGGGTGGACGGCGCGATCTTTTGCATTGACGTGCACGTCGATCCGTCGGTCGTCATGTTCAAGAGCGCCGCGGAAGGCGCTAGCCCATTGTACGCGGCGATTGTGGCCAAGGACAAGCAGGGGGCGCCATTGTCGGAAAAGAAGCTTCGACTCGTCCTGGCCGACGACCCCAAACCGTTCCTGGACTTGTACGCCGACGAGCAGGCGGCGCTCGTGCGCGCCAAGTTTGAAGCCGTCAAAGATGCGATCCGCGGCCCCCTCGCGGAAATCCAGCTCAAGCTCAAGACGATGCTCCAGCATAACGCCGAGTTGCCCGAGACGGAGGCGCTCGAGCGCCACGAATTTGTCGTCAACCGGAGCCAGGAGGCTGCGCTGCTCGCTCAGAGCGACAAGAGGGCCAAGGAAGTCCGCCGCAACATCAGTCGGCAGATCGCCGAGCTCAACATTGTCCGCGACCGCATGCGTGTCGAGTTCTGGGACTCGGGCGAAGTCCACGGGGTCCAACTGCACGGCCTCCACTCGTCCCTGCAAGTGGTAAACCTGCCCATGCGAAAGCTCGGTAAGGCGGAGGTCCGCCGCTTCGACACGATCCTGCGGCTGCGAGAGCTTGAATTCCACGCGGCGGTGGCCGAGCCGACCGCAACCAAGCAGCACTCGCTTCATCGGCGCAATTCATCCATGTACCATCACAGCGACGTCATTCCGCCCAACATCTCGTGGATGGTGAACGCTGGTTTGTTGCATCCGTCGCTCGGAAAAAAGGTCGGTGTGGCCGACATGGCGAGTGCGTCGGGCGGCGGCGCCGCGACGGAAAAGGGGGCAGCAAAAAATGGATCGTCGTCCAACGCGCAACAACCGGCCAAGGCGGCGACCTTGCCCGATGCGACGGACGCCGCACGGGCAGACAGCGACCAAGGCCCGTCATGTCTTCGGCTCGTGGACCTGATCTACCACCCGGCCATGATTCGCACCCGCAACCAGCAGCGCACGCAGATTCACCTGCTGCAAGCATACGAGCGGCATTTGATCATGCAGTACAACGCAGAATTTGACGCGATGGTCAAGGTCAAGGAAGCCAAGATGGACGAGATCGAAGGCAAGAACAGTCGGATGCGCGAAATTTGCGCCGAGCTCGGGCTCGACGCGTCGGCCACGACCGTCACGTGCAAGTGGCACCCGGACGAAATCGCCGATTCCATGATGCGTCTGCTGCCGGGGGAGGCGACCAAGGTGCCGTACGAGACGGACGAACGGCGCAAAGTCCGCGAGGCGGCCGAGGCGGCAGCGCGGCTCCAGGACGAGAAGAACAAGAAGGACGACGTGGCCGGGCGCGCGCTGGCGGACATGATGAACGGCACACTCGAGACGAAGAAGGAAACCATCGTGGCGCACACGGTCGCGCGGGAGGCGTGGATGGACGACGTCGCGCCCGACGACATGACAGCCGAGCAAAAGCAAAAGGTCGCAGCATTCGAAGCCGAAGCAATCAAGGTGCTCGAAGACAAGGAAAAGGCCCGCAAAGCGCTCGACCTCGAGCTCAAGAAGCTCAAGGTCGACGTCGGTGACATTTGCAAAGCATTCGACGACAAGCTCAAGTGCCTCCAGGACCTGTACTTGGCGACGCGCATGAGTGTGCTGACGCAGCAAATGTACATCTTGCGGCTCGGCGAGGTGCTCATGGACCACGAGCACTGCTGTCACGAGAAGGAGCTGCTCCAGCGAGAGATCGACACCATCATGGCCGACATTCGAGCGTTGGAAGGCGATGTGTCGCAGTTCACGGCGCACATGGACGCGTGCCGCGAAGCATGGCAATACGCTGTCGACGAGGACAAAGCGTGCGAGAAAGCGTTCCCGAAAGAGATCGAGGACGCCGCGGGCGGCACACCGCTCGAACACGACGTGATGCGGGCGCTCGTGGAGCTGTACCGGAAGCGACGGCCCCAAACCGACGACGCCAAGGACGACCACAAGATGAAGGCGGGGCGGAAGGATGTCGGGTCGACGCGATCTCTGGCGAGCGCCAATAGCGTCGGCGACTTGGGCAATTTGGACCCGTTCAGTCACGCAGACCGGCGCAGGATGCACCCGAACAAGGCCGTCGAGGCGAAGCGCCTCCTCCCGCTCGATCCTGACGTCGACCGCCCCGAGTCCATCGCGACGGATTCAGTCGTGTGGACTGTTTTGAACGAGTGCCGCGTCAAGAAGATAACGTTGGAGCACGTTGTGCGGCGCAAGAACGACATGTACATGGAGGCGAAGGACGTCGTAGACGTCACGCGGGCCAAAGTCGCGGCGCTCGAGGACAAAGCCGACCGGTACTCGCGGGCGCTGCACGAACTCGTGGCCACGATGGACCTGAACAGCGACAATCACCCGATCCTTGTCAAGATCAAGCAGGGCCAGGACGAAGCGAGCGGCGGCGACGACCTTGTTACGCTCTTTGAAGAGACGGAGAGCGCTCTCCTCATCGCGCGCCGCAGCGTCGAGTCGCTCAATGCCACCATCATGGTCCACGGGAACGAGCAAGTGTCGATCCTCGGCAAGATCAAGAACTTTCGCAAGAACATCAACTTGATGGAATGGGAGCACGCATACCTCGAAATGCTGACGCGCAACACGGAGGACCACTACACGGACCTCCAGCTGCTCCGCGTGACGAAGAACCTCCAGGAACTCATCACGACCGGCGACGCGAGCGAAAAGCACAAGCAGGAGCAAATCCTTCTCGAGTCCAAGCTCGCGTACATGGGCAAGAGCCACCAGGTCCACCAACTCAAGCTGTCCAAGACGACCCAAGCGCTCAAGAACCAACTTGCCGACCGTCTCAAGGAAAACGAGCAGTTCAAGCGGCAGCTCCAGGATTTGCAAACACACATCCACATCCGCGAAGACATTGTGGCGAGTCGTCGAGCCTCCGCGGCTGTGACGTCCACGGGGCAGACGAAGAAGGGGTCGGCCAACCCCGGGAAAGATAACAAGCTCAAGGCGATCACGGTGCGCCGGAAGCTCATCGATTTGGCCAAGGCCCAGAGTGAAGAGATCGAGTTCATGCGCCAAGAACTGGACAAGATTCGACGCCGGACGTTTCCCAGCTTTGTCCAGCCGATGCAAGCACCTGGCGACGACGACGACTTCTTCCGCGACTAGCGTATGCACGTAATATAGTGTTCTCGAGCGTCTCGCCGTGGGTTGTGCACGGCACTTGTCGCCCGCCGCTTTCTCGCGTGGCCGCCGAATGACGCACCGTTATCGTATATTATAATATGAATGTGTTGTTATTGTTATAATATAGATATATTTAAGAAATTCCATTAAGTATCTATCAATGTACTGTACTACAAGAACGAACAGGCTTGAGGTTGGAACTTCCCAACATTTTGAATTTGGTTTTATATACTACCAGACAAAACCTTCGGAGCTTGCAATATTTATGTTGAGTATACTATAGTGTACCGTAAGCAAGACGATTTTGCAGGGTTGATCTAGTTGGACTTTGTTCGCACGGCGCCCCCCTGTCTTGATGGAAAACGAAGGCGGTATCGCTGCCTAGCAAGCTATGAATGGATGAGGCTGGCGCGCGGACCACAGATGATGGTCAACTTAGTCGACTGCATCAACTTCAACATAGAATCGTCCCTGTATAAATGTGTATACGTACTATTAGTAGATGCATAAGTACTAGTATTCGATATCAGAAGGACATCGTCGGAAAGTTCTTGCAGCAGATATCCACCTGCCAAACTACATGGGAAATACCTAAATGAGGCAGAATTTGCCGAATTTGAGTGGGAAATGCCAGGGATTGTGTGGCGGTTGGATCACTCAAACGTGCCAAATCCAGCGAAAAAGCGAAAAAAAAGGGCGAAATTCTCACGTTTGATTGGCGGAGACGTTCTTTGCTTACGAAAGATCGCCCCTAAGGTTGTTGACAGTTGTGCATTTGCCATGTTGACCGCGTTGGTGTCTTGCCGCCACCGCGCGCTGTCCACCGCCATCCGATCAATGCGATCGTTTGGATCTGCTGCGCTCGATGAACAGCCTACTGCTGCCATCTCGGCGGAAGCGGCGGAGAATCAGTACATTGTCAAGACGTACAACTCGAATGGCGTCCGCACGCAAGAAGGCCTCGTGATCACGCACGGGAAAGGACCGTATCTGTTTGACTCACGCGGAAACAAGTATTTGGACTTTTACTCGGGCATTGCCGTGACCGCTTTAGGCCACGCGGACCCGGAAGTAGCTGCGGCTGTCGCGGATCAAGCCGCGGTACGTAGTGATGCTGTCGATGGATCCTCTGGACCATGTGCGTGTTCATCGTAGAAGCTATGCCACGTGAGCAACCTCTTCCACTCGGAACCCCCGCTTCGCCTTGCGCAAACTCTGGTGGAAAACTCTGGCTTTGACAAGGTGTTCTTTGCGAACTCGGGCACTGAAGCCAACGAAGGCGCATACAAGTTTGCGCGGCTATACGCGAACAAGGTGACCCAGGGAACGTACGTAACTCATGGAAGGAATCTTCGACACTTCGTTCACTCATAGCCTCTTGGTTGGCCTTGCAGGGAACTTGAAGGGAAGAAGAACCACGTCATTGCCTTCAAGGGCGGGTTCCACGGCCGGTCGTCCGGCGCACTGTCGTTGACGTACAAGCCCGCAATTCGCGAGCCCTTCCTTCCGCTTGTGCCGGGCGTGTCCTTTGCCGAGTACAACAACTTGGACGACGTCCGCAACTTGATTTCGGACCGGACGTGCGCCATTTTTGTTGAGCCCATCCAGGTTGACTGTGGGCGATGCCTGGAACACATGCTCATGGCACAGGATATAGGGTGAAGGCGGCGTCTTGCCTGCGAAACCCGACTTTCTTCGCGGACTTCGCGCGATCTCCAACGAATACAACGCGCTCTTGATTTGCGACGAAGTACAGACGGGCCTCGGACGCACAGGCAAGCTCTTTGGCCACGAAGTGTATGGCGTGCAACCGGATATCATGACGCTGGCGAAGCCGCTGGCCAACGGACTTCCCATCGGCGCCGTCCTCACGTTGAACAAGGTTGCGGAAGCTGTGCCTGCTGGAGCGCACGGAACGACCTTTGGCGGCAACCCTGTCGTGTGCGAAGCAGCGAACGTTGTTGTCAATCGATTGCTTCAGCCTGGCTTTTTGCTGGTATGCCATGATGTCTAGGTTGGCCAAAGTATTGACCCGCACCTGGAGTAGAACGTGAAAAAGATGGGCCGGTTGCTGGCTCAAGGACTCAAAGCAGTTCAAGCCAAATACCCCAACAAAATCACTCAAGTTCGATTGCCTATTGGTGAAGCAGGGTTGTATGCAGGGGTCGAACTCGTCGGGCCTGCTGCTCCCATCATCGGAGACTTGGTGAACCACGGTGTGCTTGCCATCACAGCTGGAGAAACGTACGTGTTGATATGTCAGGACGTGGATACAGAGCTGATGGCATATTGGTGTGCATGGTAGGGTGATTCGGCTGTGTCCTCCTCTGGTCGTGACGCAAGACGATGTCCAAACGTTCCTCACGGCGTTCGAGGAAGCAGTCGCGAAATACACTGTCTCGGCAGTCTCGTAGAAGCAGCTGTGTTGCTGTCTTTTTCACAGTGCAGGGGTCATTAGATCAACTTGTATACTTACCTGCATGTACGCGTCGGTCGACATCGATACGACGTCGACATGATGGATAGCGTTGTCAGCCCGCAATGCCGCAGATTCGAGCATCTAGTTGTTGTGCTGTCCTGCCTGCTTCACTTGACTTGTGGGGTCAATGTCGCAAGTGTTAGAGGAGTCCCAACAACAATTCTCTCCATCGCTGTCAACTGGAGTCAAGAGACGGTGGAGAAGAGAGGCACATGACCCTCATCCGGACAAGCCATCGCCCGATGAAGATGCTTCCCTGTACGTGCAAGGCCACATATAACCTTCTCCGAATGAACCTACCTTCATGGGCTCAGTCGCACGGGTGGGTTTCATGGAGGCCGTGCATCGTTGCGGCAAGCCTCATTTCTTGGTGTCGTTGTCAAAAACGGCGCGAAAGTCTCATTTGAATAGTGACGTTTTATTGGCCAAAATGTATCCAATCCAAAGCCAGAATCCGCATTTTCCATTCTGGCGCCGCATTCCCCATTCATGTTGGATGCGGGTACTGAATGTGGCGGAAAAGCCATCCGTGGCGAAGGAAATCTCGGCGATCTTGTCGCAAGGAGGATGCAGAAGGGTACGTTTTCATGCATGCGGTGGCAGTACGGTGTCGTGGACATGTTCGCAATGACAAACTCATGTGTGACGGTGTTCACAGAGACCGGGCCAGTCGCCGTACAACGCCATCTTTGAGTTTCCGTACCAGATCAACAACCAGAACGTCGAAATGGCGTTCACATCAGTCACAGGGCACTTGATGGAGCTTGATTTCGCGGCCAGTTATCGGTATGTTCACGTCGATCGACAGCGTTGGCGCTGCAACTCTGCGTGTGGAAGACTGGCCACTCAAGGCATTGGATTGATCCTAGGAGCTGGAAGTCATGTGATCCTGTCGAGTTATTCACGGCAAAGGTCGAGAAGAAAGTGCGCGGGGACCAAAAGGCCATCGAAGGTACCTTGCGCACTGAAGCCGCCCGTGCTCAGGTACAATCACCCCAAATGTGATCTCACATTTGACCATTTGCATGAGTAGTGGCTGATACTATGGTTGGATTGCGATCGTGAAGGGGAAAACATTGCGTTCGAGGTCAAATCCGTGTGCGAGATCGTGAATCGACGGCTTCGTGTGTTTCGAGCGCGGTTTTCGGCGCTCATTCCTCGAGACATTCAGCACGCTGTGCAGCACCTCGTCCAGCCGAATGAAAATCTATCCCTCGCATGCGATGCGCGAAGTGAGATCGATCTCCGGCTCGGCGCTGCATTCACCCGTTTCCAAACCATGCGCCTTCAAAAGAAATTCCCACAGATCCACGCACAGAACAACCCTGCCAACGCTGGAGACAACAAGGTCGTGAGCTTTGGGTCGTGCCAGTTTCCCACGCTCGGGTTCGTCGTGGACCGGTACCTTGCCATCGAATCGTTTGTGTCCGAACCGTTCTACTCGATCCATGTCACCCATGCCATCCCCGACGTCGGCTCCATCACGTTCTCATGGGCACGCAATCGGCTCTATGATCACTTGGCCACCCTCGCCCTCTTCGAGGCATGCGTCGAAGCCAAGGTCGCCACCGTCACGTCTATCACGCGGAAAGATACGTCCAAGCGGAAACCATTCCCGTTGACGACCGTCGAGTTCCAGAAGCGCGCGGCTCGGTAACGATCGTTGCGATAATCGCAGTCCGAAACTGACGCATGCCGTGTCTAGATGGCTGCGCATCACGTCGGAGGAAGCCATGGCTGCGGCCGAGTCGCTGTACAACAAAGGGTTGCTTAGTTATCCTCGCACAGAAACCGACAGCTTCAAGGAAGGGACCGACTTGAGCGCGCTGCTCTTGCTGCACCTGCAGCATGATTCGTGGGGAGGCTACGTCAGCCAGCTCCTTCACCACGGCAAGTTTGAGCACCCCCGCAGTGGCAAGCACGACGATCAAGCCCATCCCCCGATTCACCCGACCAAAGCTGTGCCGCTCGCGTCACTCCACGACAAGGAGCGCAAAGTGTACGAGTTTGTGACCCTTCACTTTCTCGCGTGCTGCAGCATGGACGCCAAGGGACACCAAACGACGGTGCACATGCAAATGGCGGACGAACACTTTTCCGCGAGCGGGCTCATGATTCTTGCGCGCAACTACCTCGACATCTACAAGTTTGAAACCTGGAGCAACTCGGTCATTCCCGTCTACGACCAAGGCGACGTATTCGCCCCAACGTCGCTCACGCTGCAAGCAGGCGCGACGACGCCACCCCCGCTGCTCACCGAATCCGACTTGATTGCCAAAATGGACACCCACGGCATCGGGACCGACGCCACGATCGCCGAGCACATCAATACGATCCTCAAGCGCGAGTACGCCATCAAGGTCAACAACAACACGCAGTTCAAACCCACAGGTTCGTTGGGCGAGGCAGCAGCACGTTGTCGAGACACTGTCGTGTGTAGCGTTGGGCCTTGCTTTGGTCCAGTCGTACAACAAAATGGGGTATCAACTGGCAAAACCGGACCTGCGCGCTGCGGTACGCCTGTCATGTCTTTGACGCGACTTGGACGTGCTTTTCTAGATGGAGCGCGACTGCACGGCCATCTCCCAGGGCCACAAGTCGATGGACGAGGTTATTCGGTCGTGCATGATCCAGGTGCGTGCGCCGGCCAGGCGATAGTTGACCTGGAGCGAGTAGATGCGAGATATCTTTGAGAGCGTCGTGCACAAATCCAGCGTGTTGGATGACACGTTTGGGCAGTACTTTGGCGGGGCGGTCCATGGCGGCAACCACCACGCTGCCCGCGATGCCGCGATGGATGTGGCGAACTCGCAGTTGATGGCGTCGCAGTTCAGTCGATGTGGGACGTGCGGATGCTCTGAAATGGAGTGGCGGTGGGTGTCGTTGCATATTTGTCAAGTTGTGATGTCCATGCGTCAGGAAATCCAACCACGACACGACCAACCTATTTCTGTCGTGCCCGAGATGCGTCACGACATTTGCGCTGCCCATGCACTCGTCCGTCGTCGCGATGGCTGGCACGTTCTGTCCGTTGTGCCGCTTCCAAGTCGTCGAGATCCATCGAGTCACAAACCCACAGCACCCATACACGGTGTGCCCCCACTGCTTCAACCACCCCCCGAATTCGCGACTGCAAGAGATGGCTTGCTTTCACTGCGCCGCGCCAGAGTGCCCCCTTGCCACGGGTGCGCAAGATCAATGCGTCGTGCAGTTTTGTCCGAGTTGCCGCGCGCATCCGATGAAACTCAAGCGCACGAAAACGTCCAAGTTTACGGTGGGGTGCGTCGACTACCCGTCGTGCACGACGTCGGTGTGGCTGCCATCGGCTGTGAAGACCGCCATCGTCACGTCCACGCTGTGTCCGACTTGCTCGAACGTCCAACAGATGATCTTCAAGCTGGCGCTGCGCTTCGCACCTGGCGCGCTTCCGCCTGACATAGATCAAGGCAATGGTGAAGACTATTACGAAGCATGCTTGTTCTGCGACGCATTGCTGCAAGAATTGTTTCAGATTCGATTGCCTGCCGCGTCAGGGCCACTGTGTTCAAGCAGGGGACCAGCGATGCCACGGCTGCAGCTGGAACAGTCATACGCACGCGTGGCGACAGCAAACGTACCGCCGTCAACGAGTAACAATGAGTACAGGCAATCTATCACGAATCCTGGGAAGAAACGAGCTCGGACCACTGCAGCAGCAAAGGCAGGACGGGAACCACGTGGAGGCCCGTCGATGCAGACGGACTCGTCACCAAATATTCCCTTGTGCCCCGGCCATCAAGCTCCATGTGCCACGCGGGAAGTGCGCAAAGACAACGAGAACAAAGGCCGCAAGTTCTACTGTTGCAGTTTCCCGCAAGGCGAGCAGTGCGATTTCTTCGAGTGGGTCGACGCCCCCGACACCGCGTCGTCACGTTCCACGTCGGCGTCATCCACTCGTTCGAGGAAGACGCCCCGAGACACCGACCAAGTGATGTGCACATGCGGCGCTCCCGCCCTTGAACTCACATCGCGGACGGCCAACAACCACGGCCGCATCTTCTTCAAGTGCGCCAACAAGGAAAACAACTGCAACTTCTTTCAGTGGGCAGATCCGTGAGAAATATCAATTATTTTTTCTCGTGTAGCAAAATATTCCTTCCCGCGAAATATTAGTTCGAAATCGCGACAAAGAGGTCTGGCGGCATGATGGCGGGCGGCTTCACGACGATGCTCATCCGCATCGGTGTCGGCGTGGCCGTGGCGACGACGATGATCTACTTTCGCCAAATGCTCATCCGTGCCTTCTTCCGCGTGATTCGGGATCGCCTTGGACGCTCGTTGCTGCTCGGCGACGTCGAGCGACACTTCGGCACGTCCATCTCGATCGCGCTCGTCTTGCTCGCGTGTTTTGTGGGTGTAGTGGTCGCGGGCTATGGCAACGACGTGTCGATTGTATTCATGTACGCATCGGGGGTGCCGCTCGTCTTGGCCACTCGCGCCACACGCATTGTCTTCACCAAGGTAACGTCGAACGAGTCATGCATGGCTGCGCCTCAAGCTGCGTTGTAGTGGCTCATTCGAAGCCTCGGATGGGACGTATCGTCGCGCAGCGACTACTCGCGCGTGTTAGTCGTCACGGAAGGCCTCGGCGTCGTCGCTTTCTTTGTCATCTCGATCGAACTCTTCATGCTCTACATCCCGACAACCTTCCACGAATTGGTCGTGATCTTCTTCGCCGTGTTGGAAATCCTGTGCATCTGCTCGTTTTACACGACGGTACGCTCCATTGCCGTCGATGTCTTTGGTCTCATGCGCACGTCGCATCTGCAGGTCAAAAACGCGGTCGCAGGGTTTTTCCTGCTCTTCTCGGAACCCCTGCGCCTTGGCAGCATGTGCGTCATCGGGACGTCCGTCGGCGTCGTCGAGCAGATCGCGTTGCATTCGACCAAACTCCGCGCGCAAGACGGCGCGGTCGTGCACATTCCAAACGGCGTGCTGGCCGACGACGTGCAGCGCAACTTTTCCCATTGCACGTTCCGTCGCATGCGTGTCCATGTCCATGTCGACCACGCGACGCCGTTAGCCCATCTCGTCGCAATTCTTCCCCATCTCACCGAATGCCTCGCGCCGTGCGTCATCCCGCTCGACCTTCTCGTGGACCAGGAAGCGTCTCTGGTACCCCCCGACCCGGACCACCACAACGACCAAAGAAACTCGACCCGGGAACGGACCCCGCGGTCGAGCAGCATGCACTCGCTCCTGGGAACGTATCTGTGGCGACCCGCCAAGCTCCACCAGCACCCCACCAGCAGTAGCAGCAGCTCCGACATCGACCGCCGCGGCCGGAGCACCGTGTCCACGGATGTGTCGGACTCCATGATGGGGCTCGACGATCATCTCCACTCCATGCGAACTCCTCCTACGCAAGCTCCATCCTCTACACCGCCGCCGCCGGTTGACCCGCGGCTGCTACAGGTGACGCTTGGAGGGATGCATCGCATTTGGATTTCGGCGCTCGTACCAGGCAACTCGCTCGCTGAAGTTGCGAGCGCCAAGTCCAAGGTTCATCTCGCCATCATGAAGTGCCTAGAGCGTCATCGGGTGCGCGTGTTTCACCCCGAGCGAACGAAATCAACACGACGACCTAAATAAGAATAAGATTATGGCGCTAGACAGCGCTTAGTGGGCCAACGACTCCACTGTCCGGCCCTGCAAGACAGACGAGTCCCCGTCGCACGTTGGAGCACCGACTTGCAAGTACACGTGAACGTGGAAAATATTGATGGAACGCTCGGGGTTGTCATCGTAGTTCCACGCCTCAATATGAGGGGCATTCCGATCGATCCAGGCCTCCACGTACTCTTGCACGTCGTTGTGGTTCATCTCCAATCTGCTCCACAGCGTCCAGTGTTCGATGCCTTTGGGGGTATCGTATGGAAACATGTTAGGCTCCATGTAGGACGTTCTACCGAGCAGCGTCGTTCGATAAATGTGTTCTTCGCGAGACACATCAAGCTGGGCGTCAAGTTCGTCCAAGTGGTCCCATTTGCGTTCCTTGCATTCGTCCGTTCGGGTCCAGTATTCCAGGTACAAGGTACGACGTCCCCTACTGGAATCGACACCGGCGTAGTCATCGTACCCATCGTCCGAATAGGTACACTCGTCGTATTGGCCGTAATCACCGGAGATGCAGTTTGGAGAGTCGGAATCGCGATGTTCACTGTCAGTAGAGCAATGGCCGGAGGAGGTGGGAGAAACAACGCCGTCGCAAGAAAATTCACGCGATGACGAGGGAGCGTTTGAGGCATCCCTAAATGTGTTTTCTTCAGGTGGGCAGGCGAAGCACTCACTGCCAAATGCTTTGGATTCATATGTGGCGTCAAAAGCGTCTTCTGAGGTTTGTACATGGGATTCGAAGGTCATCTACAGAGATAGCTCAAACATTCTTCCTCCAATCCATTGAGGACGTACCTTGACCTTTTTCAATGGAAACGCTGCTTCGTCCAAGGACGAGGGGGAGAGCAAATAAGATTCATCGTCACACGAGAGTTTTCGTTTGCGAGGATGAGTTTGTGTAGTTTGTTGGTGGGAGGGGCTATTCATCGACGAAGCATGCATCATGTTTCAAGACTTTGATTCACAGGGACGAGGGTGGGAAACCTTTCGGGCGCGGCGACGTCGGCGGCTACCTGCGCGGGACCGTGTAATTTCGAAACTGGCCCAGCCGTGTGGATGGTGCCGAAACCTCAGACAACCTATAATTGGCCTGTCGTTAAAACCAGGTAGTTTGATCCATGTTTTATAATAGCTTCCCGACTTATGTCAATAAAACCAGGAGGTTGACAACCAATCAGCGCGATTTCTCTCGAAGAGGCAGAATTATGCGGATGATTCGGATAATGGGAGGACGCAGCACATGTCTCCTTCCGTATACGAACCCTTGATTATCCGGAGAATGCCTGTCAAACCGCTCAAGCCAAACGATCGTGCATCTTCTTTCATACCGCCTTTCCCGTCGTCGGAAATGCAGCGAATTCTGCGGACGACGGCGCGCCGCCGGTACCCTCGTGCCATGACGATGTCGACTAACGCGACAGAGGATATGCACATCACGTCCCAAGAGATCCGGGACGCAAAGCTTCTTGTCTCGACGCGAGACTGCGTGGAAGGGCGTGAAATCATCGAAGAACTGGGCGTCGTCAGTGCAACCGTCGTGCGCACGAAGAACATCCTGGAAGACATTCTTGCAGCGTTGGGTGGCATGTTTGGTGGCGAAACGAGGTCCTACTCGTCCCTTATGAACGAAACCACACAGGAAGCGGTCCACCGACTCAAAGGCGCGGCTCTGGTACGTTCCTCTCACGTCCGTGGGGTCGCCACGTAACTTGGCGTTGCATGTCGCAGGCACAAGGTGCATCTGCAGTTGTGATGACCAAGTTTGAAACAAACACAACGATGAATCGGTTCGTGTTTGGGTTGCATTGCACGGTCCTCGTGTACGGCACCGCCGTTGTGTGCCGACCGATCAAGAAGTTGACATAGAGAGACTTTGCAGTTGGAGCGGTAGCTGCTTCGCAAGCGAGATCAATGGTTTTCCGCCGCCCTTTTCGTCGTTCGTGTCTTCCCACTTCTCTGGCTCTGTACGAAAGCCCCCGCCCAGCACTGGTTTCGGTCGATCCGGGCTCTTCAGAATATACTTGTCCATCGTGTGGGTGGTCCTTCGATTTGTGCGAAACATCCCCATCTTCCTTTGCGACAGTGGGAGCGCCGTCTGTTCTAGGGGGTGCGAGCTCGATGATACTGATGTCGACTCGTCCAGCTTGTATAGTGCCAGACGCGGTGCTTTTGAAGCTGCCTGCGGTGGCTGGTGCGATCCAGACGTCCATTTCGACTAGAATTTTTTGCTGCATTACGTTTTGTAAGCGAGTGATGCCATCGTACCTTCTTTTCCTTTGCCACGTGATTCCTCCGCGCGATGTCGTCCCTGAGCTCATGCAATGCAGCGTTCCTTTGCTCCTTCATGCGCCTGAGCTCCTCGTCCCGCGCCTTTTTCTTGCGTTCAATGTCCAAGCGCTTCTCTTCCATGATGAACCTGAAGAGATGTAAGGTGTGACGTCCAAAGGTAATGAAGTACTTGGGCTTGACGAGCTGAGCGCCAAAAGGCGACATGGACGGGTATCTTAACGCGGCAAGCATGTGTTTGGCGAATTCCTGCTGGTCTTTCGCAATACTGTGGATGTGTTGAGCGTATTGCATGCGCCAATGTTGCTTCAGTCGTACTTTCTGCGCTTCGTCCTTTGCCGCTACACGTTAAGTATGCAGTTACGAGGTGCAGTCGGAACATGTGAAGCACCGTGAGATTTGTCGTGAAGGGTTGGCACTGGTTGAGCGTCGACTGCGAGGAAGTCCTTTGGCCGGCTGTATCCGTGCGAGTTGTCGAGGGATGCGAGGTCAGCTTGTTCTTGTTGCAGACTTGCATTCTTGCGCTGTTGTTTCAATCGTTCTTGCTTGAGTTTCCTCCTCGTCGACGTCGACCGAAACTCTCTACGGCGGACGCATTACCTCCTTGTGCATTGCAACTAGTAAACTCGTACTGGCCCACGTCCAATTCGCAAACTCCCGTGAGGAAAGTCTCCGCGCTGTGGGACAACGGATCAAGCACCATTTTCGCTCGGACTTCTCGCTCGCGTTTGCTCATGTCCCTAAAGTCTGTTGGTGTGCGCGGTCTGTCTTCCTGCAGTTGCGGGTGTGAGATCGACCCCCAAATCAGCGACCACGTCAAGGTGGAATCGAATGTCGTCGTACCACAACTGCAGTATGAGCTGGCCGGTGCGCCTCCGCATAATAGCTATATCTGTGCCCAAGAAGGAAAGCCAGTGGCACGGAGTCATCCACCGGCGGCGGGTCTGCTGCTTCGCACCGCTCCTCGTCGTCGCTCATGGTCCAAAAATACTCTGCGGCGATCGACCACCTTATCTCGGACGCGCAACTTCAACAATGAATGAAAAATTGTACTACTGTAGTATTGAATATACTATATCCACTAAAAAATTGGGCATAAATACAAATATCTTGTAAAAATATGCATAAATTATATCAATGTAGGGTGCACTTGAACTTGGCCAATCTCGCGCACAACGACGTCAATCGATGTGGCGCAGGGTCCGTCGCCGCGCCATCACGACCTCGTTGTGAAGCTTTTCGAGACGAGCGGCAGCCTCCGTGAGGATCGAGTTGTACGAATGCTGGTTCTCCTGCTTTGGAATGGTATCGACCAGGACTTGTTCAATCACATCAACGCTCAGACCTAGCAGTGGAATGTCACCAGCGCATGCAGCAAGATCAAGACGTAGGATTCTCTACCTGGATATTGCTTTTTCATCAGAGCTGTGTCCTTCTCAAGGGTTCGAAGCGATGGAGGAAACCCCTGACCGACTCCTGGCGTGTCGGCTTCCTCCATGTCATCTTCGTCCGTGCCGCTGCTGTAATGGGGGTTCACAAGCTTGACCCCTGCCGGTAGTTCAGGTTTCCTTCGCCTGCGTGTCGTGAGTTTGTCCTGTGTTTTGTCAGGAACGATGGGGCGCTTCTTGTTTACGAGAAGCAAGACGATCTGGTCGTCGTGGTCAAAAGTCGTGGAATCGGTGTCTTCTCTCGAAGACATCGTCGTCGACGCGTCAGGCAAGTTCACTCTTGCACGGCGCTTCGTGGGCAGAGCGAGTTCTGGAAGAGCCTTTGCGTGCGCATGAGATCAGCACTCATTGCACGCGAGAAACTTACCAAGTTCGTAGTTTTTCGTTGGCGTCGGGTCATCACCGGAGCGGCCAATGCTTCATTCTGCCGCGAACTACACGACGTCCATGAGATAGAGCATTTTGCTATGGAGAAATCGTCTCCGTGCTGCGCGTCCGCGTCTTCCAGTGGCCATACCTGGATCGGGTCGTCGTTCGAGGCATGTCGGAACTGAAATCGTCCTGCAAAACCCACAGTTGAATTTGAAATTGACCTCTTGAACTCTATATTCAAACATATTTAATATATCCCACTATTGCATTGAATTCAAATCTCATAGTAGTGGACCTGTATGCATTTATGCCTCCTTTCATATTTATAGCCAATCAAATATGGCCAAACTTATTCGCGCAATTGGATTGGTTAATATTCATGGAATCGCAAGCCTTCGTCGTTGTGCAATTCGCCGGAATGTCTCAACAGCTTACATAGAAAATCCTATTTATTTCGACACGCGGAACCAGGTACAAACGGCTCCGTGTGAAAAGTAGGCCCCAGGGCGGGGGCTGCGTGCGACACTGACCATTCAAGCGTTGCAAGCAATGCAGGAACGTCGAGAGTTGGTTCATGTGTTCACGGTGTTTGAACACCGTGTTTCACGCCACCACCATGTTCATCCAAAAAAATCACCAAAATATTGTTTAATTTTGACCAATCAGCGAGGCCAAACCTTTCCAATTCGGCCAATCAGCGACAGCCGTCTTGTGGTGTTGACGGCAACGGGATGTCGGCATGTCCTAGGCGCTGTCGACGTAGCGGGAGGCGGCCATGTATAGAGCCCACGAACGGGTCAACCCGTCGTCCATGGCGGCAGTCTGCAGCTTCTTCATGGCGTCGTCGGGATTGATCGCGGCGTAGTTGGTGAGGAGGAGCGACAGCCACGGATTCGACTCGGTGTTTTGCTTGACGATGGCAGTGTGCGCGAGGATGTCGGTCCATTCCTCCTGCACGAACCGCGTTGTGCGGACAAACTCTGTCGCGGGGGAGACCGGAATCATTTGAATGCCGTGGATGCAGTGGCGCTCGGACGAAAACCACGTCGCGTAGTCGACCTTGTTGTCAAAATAGATGCCCGTCACCTTGTTGGCGCGGATCGCTGGCGGATGGATGCGGTTCGCGCTATCCATGAGAAAATACATTTGAATCGACCGCGCGTTCAGCGTGAGCATGAGGCGGCCGAGGCGCTCGACGTTCGCGTTCCCGACAGCTTGACCAAACAGCATGAGACCGTAGTGAAAATTCACCTCTTCCGACGAGCTCTCTTGGTCCTTGCCGTCCGCGAGCGCGGTCACTCCGTGCGAGTACGAGTGGCCGCGGAACCAGTCAAACATGCGAAACGTGGGGAACGCGGTGTCGGCGCCGTTGTCGTTGGCGACGTCGCGGGCAAGCAGCGCAGCCAGTTGGTTCAGCTGGGGCAGCGACGCCATCGTCGGGTGGACGGCGTTGGCGATTGCGACGGTCGCGATCCAGTACCCAAAGTGGTAGTGGTGGTCGTTGTACATGGTGTTGCCAAAGTCGGCGTTCAGGTCCTTCTGGACAAAGCCCTGGCTGCTCACGATGCCCTTGTACACTGCGTCGTACACGAGCTTGTACGTCCACGCATTCGACGCGAACGGCGCGAGCAACTTTTCGAGCTTGCCGCGGCACGTTGCGAGCAATGTAGCATCCGACGACACTGCCGGGTCCGCCGCCATCAAGCACAGCGACGCGTACTTTTGTGCGGCTTTCCCGTTAAAGTAGTACGACCCGTCCAGTGGAAGCGTCCACGGCGCGTGGATGTCGTCCGTGAGGTGGCGCCGCATGTCTGTCGCCGTGACGCGTGCCGCGGTCGGACGTTGCCGAGGAAACATCCCGGCGGACACGAGCTTGGGCTCTTGCAGCGTCCACGTCGCCGTCGCCGACACAAACGGCACCATGGCGCCTCGCGTCGTCGAGGCCAGGTGCGTTAGGTTCACCTGGCGGGCCGTCGCACCGTCCATCGTGTCTGCATGATGCAACAGAGCAAAGTGGAGGAGGCCAGCGGCGCACACTCCCGTGGTAGCCCACCGAAACGTGTAGCTCGTGGTGGCAGGAACAACGGTGCCGCCTTGGACAGCGCAGTCGCGGTACGAGTCGTACACTGCAATGTCGGTCGCGCTGGCCGCCAACGCGACTTGCAACGTTCCCGAAAACGACGTCGCCGCGACGAGCTGCGTCGTCAAATGCGCGGCCAACGATACCTCCATCGACGCATACACGACCCACGTCTGGCCGTTGGCGAGCGCGACGACAAACTTGGTTCCAGACACCGCCTCGCCTTCCTTGAGCGCGCGGCCATTGACGGATTGAATCGCGTGCTGGGTCGTGAGCGCGGGCACGAGCGACACGTAGGTGGCGGTTGCAAACGCCATGCCGCTCACGAACACCGACGTCATCGACGCTGCCGCACCCACGTCCTTGCGCACCGTCACGCCTAGGTCATCCCACGACGTCACTTGAAAGTTGGCGGATGTGGCTTCGGCCGCCAGCGACGAAAACTCGGCGGCCGACAACGTTAGGTCGTTCTGCGCGCCGTGGAGGTAGTATCGGGAAGCGCCTGGGTTGCCGGACGCGCCGCCAAATGCCCGAGTCGCCGCCGGGTACGACACTTGGATGCCCGTAGGCAGCATCGCGACCGCATACGGGTTGGTCCACACGCGCAGCACTTCCTTGACATCTTTCCCTGTCGAAATGAGGTTGCCCCACCATCGATTCGTGGGGATGGGGATGCCGGAGGCCAGGACCGACGGATGCAAGTTGCGCGGCGGCGCCAACCACGATTGGTCGGTGGACTTTTCCAACAAGAGCGTCGGCGACGCCAGCATGTCGACATTGGCGACGGCGGGAGCTATGACGATGGGGGGCACGGCGTCGAGGGGCGCGATGATCGTGGTCCCGTTCGTGTCGTTGGACTGCGCCAAAGCGGCCGGGGCGAGCGCAGCACCAAAGAGCACGGTAGATATCAGTGCGAGGCGCGCCATGGTCGGTGTCGATTGAGGAATGAGTTGGAGGCGTCGACGCAGCTAGCAATGTCAACACGACAGCGACCGGCGGGGCTGGCGGGGATCGGAACATCGTCGAGAAAGGACGGAGCGACGGGCAGACTTGCTCATGGACGACCACAGCTGACACGGCTCGATGGATGGATCAGCACACTCCGGCAGGAGTGGCGACGTGCCCTTTCTACCTCGCCAACGCTTGCGCGTGCGGCGCAGTTTGCGCACCCGCACGCATTGTCGTGCAGGACCAATTACTTTCATCAACCCATCGTGGGTGAAGTTCACCAACCGCCGTATCCCATGCTTCGCCGGGGCTTTCAGAATGGCGTGAATCGTTGGACAACAGGTCGACATCTGCCCATCCCCATACACGACTCGAACCACAAGCGTCACGACAGGCCGCTGCGGGAGTTCCGCATCTCTATCATGTGCTCCGCGCCCACAGCGACAGCCGAGGTGTCCATCGTGAGTTAACGAGCGCATTGCCTGGTATACATCGTCCAAGCGCCAAAGTGGCTGCTCTGTTGTCCACCGCCAACAATTGCAATGGGTGCTGCATGAGCTAAGCTGCGGCTTGGGTGATGGACGCATACACGGCGTGCCGATACATTGCCGGTGCGGCACCGCGCGATGCGCTTGCGGCGACGGGCGACCGAGGTGGATGTCGTTTGCATCGATCGGCGCCTTCGTTTGGCCATATCTCAACATTTGATTGGATAAAATTGTCTAATTATAGGCAATAATCTTTTGATCAATTCATATACTTAATTCCATTAATATTTTACATTGACAAAGTTCTTATTCTAATTTTTTAGAAGTATATATTCAATAATATATTTTCAAAATTGAAATATTCTTTATAAACTTGAAGCGAGCAGTATACAAATTTGAAGATAACAAATTGGAGTCGAAAGTTCATGCCTTTAGAGGGATTGTTGCCGCTCTTGACGGCGCGCGAGACGGCTGCGCTGATGCCACTCGCCGCGACGAACCGACGTTGGCCTTGGACGGATCGCTTCGATTGACCCCTCAGAAACCTGGTCATCTTGAGTGAGATGGGGAGCGGTACGGCAACTTGACTGTACAGCTACGAGGTCCCGATCCTGCTCGTGCTGCACGAGCTTGGGTACTCGTGCTCGGACGTGCTAGTTTGCCAAGCCATCAGGCGCTCTGCGAATCGACTCATTTGGAGGGCTTGATGCCAACGACCGCCATGAATTACGTGGCCTACGGCTTCACGAACATGACAACAAGGGTCAACATCGCCTCCTTGGCAACTCGGGCGGTCGTGCCGGCGTCCCGACGATGATGGCGCAGATGGCGGACGGCGCCACCCCTCCCGACGCCATGCACATTTAGACTGACCACTAAAACAATTACGTGGCGCTCCACGCCGCTTTCGAGTGATCGAGGCGGCCACCGTCATGGAATTCCACTAGAGTGTATCACAACGATGTTCTTGCAGACGTCGACCGTGTTCGGCACGTCCGACGGAAGAAAAACCAGTACACAGCTCGTAATAAATTCAATCGTGTACGCCACGGTGCTGTACGTGGGCGACAATATCTGGCGGTGGCACCACCGACCTCGCTCGCGCCCCGACCACCACACCGACTAACCGACATTTCGATGGACCTTAGACGAATTGGGAAGCGCAGGATGGCGTCGGCATGAGTCCATGGAACAGATCGAAGTCGACGACAGCGCCGTGGGTCACGGGATGTTGGTACACACAGGGACTGAATGTATGGTGCCACTTGAGGTCGTGCGCCGTGTACGAATACCTGGCCTACTCGTTCGTGAGCGCTTCGGCCACGACAGCGTGCCACGTCATCGGGCGCACCTGCATCGTGTTACCCGTCGTGGCGTCTGTGCCTTCCAGAACGACGACGAGTTCCAGGTCGGTGTGGGCGATGTGGTGGGCAATCTCGTACTGCGTCGGATGGGACAGTTGGGTCGCAGATGGTGGATAGAGCGGGCTCGACAGATCGATGCGGTGCGCCACAACCTGGGGCAGCGCCATGAGGAGCGACGCGCCGAGGTTGTCGTCGGGGCTGTGCACGCGCATTTGGACGACGTGGAACGGCACGTGGCAGTGGCGCTTGGCAACGCCGTAGCACCGCACATGCGCTTCGACCAGCTAGTGCTGTCCATGAGCCACATGCTGGCGGCCATCGAACCGTACTTGGTGGCGGCGGCGCTCGCACACTTGAAACATGACAAAGAAGTCGCCGTCGATCTTTCGCACGACGGCATGCTTTGAAAACACGACGGACGTCGCACGTTTCTACCGTCGTGGTGTGAATCGTAGCACGACGGGAGGATGCCGCACCGTGGCGCGGGCGAATCGGACGAAGAAAACGCCGACGCAAATGCTGTTGAGGAAGACGCCTGCAATCGACTCGACCGTGAGCAGGAGCGCCATGGACGAACACCCGCCGTAAAAAATGTCATTCGTCGGGGCGCCATATCCGATCGTCATCTGCGTGGATCGTGAGCGACGTCGTCGGGGCCATCGACGGACGTACGATCGTCTCGACAGAGAATATGTACGCTTCCATGACGGTCGAAATGCCGACGTTGCAGCGCTCGTCGTGTTGCGACACTGAGTAGTAGAACATGGCAAAGACGAACACCACTGCTGTGTACTGCCATGCATGCACAAGTCAGTCGAAATCCGAGAGCGGCACGAGCGGGTCGCACCGTGATACAGATCCCCGACAAGAGGCGGATCGTGTTGGTGTGGATCACGGTGTGGAAGATGTCGTCCCAGTAGATTTGCCGCCAATTTCCGCCGATCCGTGTAATGCTAACGACACGACGCGGTCCCCGTCAGTGTGAGAATGGGGGGAAGCGCGTACTTGTACACGCCACGGGTAGTCGGGTCTGGATCGTCAAGTGGGTCGTAGGAGCCAGCGCGGTCCACGAGGCGCGCCATCAGACCGCGATGGTGCGTGGATGCGTAGTCGGTCACCGCGTTGCCTTGGAGCAGAGATGTCTCCATGCTGTGTCTCGTGGAAGAGTGCATCGCGTCCGCATCCCGACGCGCCGACGGTTCCACGTGGTCTGCCGCGATTTTACTCGCAGTGACTTCAAAAATGCTCCGATTGGTCGAAGTAGTGACCTGCCGGCCAATCAAATCGTACGACTACTCGCGTCGCTACTTCACGCAGAACCACAGTTCCCTGAATGCTTTTGGAACGGGACTTGCGCTCGCAAACGGCAGACGGCGCATGGGGCTGGCGTGGCAGCACGGCCGCTCTCTGAGTTGCATGTTCGGCTTGCTAGAAATGTGCATTGCTGCTGCCGCGAGCCCCCAGCATCTCGCGACACGACGTGACATGATGTGATGTCATGAGTGAATTTTTTTAAAACTCGCACGTGGTTCTGTAGAAATGAAACAGGAATTGGATTTAGAATTGAATTATCCCGTCGTCGTCTCGACACGGCGATGTCGTAGGACGGTACAATTTTACTATGTGAATTTGTATGGATGGATGAGGCGGTTTCGAAAAGTTGCCGACGAAAACACTCGGCGCACGTCGACGCATGCCGCGACACGAGACGCGACCACTTCTGCACCGGCGCGTGGATCTGAGAAGCATGGAAGCCCTGGACAGTGCACCACCGAGGCCTGTTGCGCGCATCGTCGGTCGAGGCGAGCACGTCGTCGATGAGAACGGCAAGGTGCACGAGGACACCCCCATTGGGTCATACAAGTACGTGATCGGCGACGACACACCCGCTTCATGCACGTGTGATAGCATCAGGCGGACAGGCGGCAATTGGCGCAAGATCTATTGGGACGACCTCTTCCACACGATTATCAACACCCGCACAAGCCGAGTCATCGCTGGTGTCTTCGGCGCGGTACGGGCAAGTCGGCGTGCGATGTACTGGTTCAACGACTCTCCTTGTAGTACGCAATCGTGATCTTCCTCTTTGCGCTGTGCTACCGCTACGTATCTGTGAACGACCCCACGTGCAACGTCGGCGTCACGACGATCATGGAAGCGTACATCTTTTCCGTCGAAACCATTGTCCGCGGTCGCGTCGATTCTGGCGATGTTGACATTGTGTTAGATGACGATTGGATATGGAGCTCCATCCAACGACATCTTCTACGGCGGATGCGGCTCCATGGCGGTGATCCTGACCCTCGAGTCGTTTTCTGGCATCTTTCTCGATGCCGTGTGCATCGGCATGTTCTTCGTTCGCTTTTCCCGCGCCACGGTTCGCTTGATCCCGCTTCAGTCCATTCCCATGACATCTGTCGGTAGACGCGGGCATGCTCCATCATTTTTTCAAACTTTGCCGTCATCCGCAAGATCCGCGGCGACTACTACTTCATGTTCCAGGTGTGCGAGCGCAGGAAGCACCAGGTGATGCACGTCCTGCATGGATGCTGGGCTCAAGGATCGACATGGTAGCTGGCCGAGGCGCATGTGCGGTGCTACGCGGTGCGACACGAGTTCGACGTGAGCAAGGATGGCGTGGCGGAAGAGACGGCGCTCTTCCAGACGCACCACATGCGTCTTCAGCAGCCTGACGACGACATCGGCGCCTTTCTCCTCATGGCGCTGCCTCAAGTTGTGGTACGGACGCAATGGTGCTGACATGGAGGCTTCATGCTGCCAAGGTCCACCGGATCGACCCGTGGAGTCCGTTCTTCCCGCGCGAATGCCTTCCTTCGGACTACCATGCCACGACATGCCCTGCATTTCCAGGTCCGGCCTCGCTCGCATCTTTGGTCTCCCTCACGTTAGTTCTCCATAGACCCATCGCAGCGTGCGATCGATCACGAGAACGGGAACAGAGACTACCACGCGGACGCAACCGTGCCGACCAAGCCGACGCAAGCGCAGATCGACCGGCATTTGCGTCGCTCCGAACTGGAAGTCGTTGTGATTCTTGAAGGCACGGACAGCACGACAGGCAACACGATGCAGGTGACCGCGCTCATCCGCCTCCCTCCGACTCGAGCATGGATGGACGTAGGCCCGGTTCTCCTACACAGTCCACGACATGTCGTGGAATCATACATTCGCGCGGTGCGTAAGTCGCGACCCCGTGACGAATGGCGCCCACATCGACTTTGACAAGTTCCACGACGTCCGCGCCGCGCCCGCCGACTGCGCGCGCGACACGTCCGTCAGTGTCTTTTGAGCGTTGTGGCAGCTCCTACGTGAAATAGTGTGCAACCTACTCGAAATAGTGTTGCCTGCCCCGTGGATGAAAATAGTGTGCTGTGGCAAATAGTGTGAGCAAGCCAATCGCGTGAAAGTTCGGTTTAAAAATTCGAATTGAAGTGGCGCCCCCGTGTATTTTTATTATGCCAGCCAAGTGAGGCGGATTGTATGGACGTCGAAGTACGTGGTGGTCAAACTGCCGAAGTTTTTCCATGCCGGGACAGGTCGAAGCAAGTGGGGCGAAGCACCATGACGTGAAAGGGAACGTGAAGAAGGAGCGGCACCGCCTGAATGACCAGCAGCGCGTCGACATCATCCGCGCCGTGGAGCGGGACCCGACGCTGAAGAATGTGGAGCTCGGCCGGCGCTACAACATCACGGAAGCCGCGATCCGTCAGTTGCTGCAGAAAAAGGATGTGATCCTGGACCGGTACCTCAAGTCGAACCCGACCGCGGTCGACGACCCGACCAAGGATCATCGGAGCGCAGTGCAGTCGATGGAAGACTCGTTCATGAACCTGCATCCAGCGTTGCCGGTTCAGCAACTCCCAACCCCGATTGCGATGCCTCCAACCACCAGCACCGGCGGCGGTGGGCGTGGCGGCCGTAAAGGCAAACTGCGCCTGAACGACAAGCAGCGCATGGACATCATTCGGGCCGTGGAACGAGACCCAACGTTGAAAAAAGTCGAACTTGGCCGACGGTACAACATCACGGAAGCTGCGATCCGACAACTGCTGCAGAAGAAGGACAAAATCGTTGAGCGTGTGACCAACGGGATCCCGTCCATGGCGACGAATGCCAAGCGAAAATCGTCTTTGTCTTCAACGTCCGCATCCAATGCCGTTCCCGCCACACCTTCGTCGTCGTCCATCGGCCTCCCGGGGCAACCGACCAACTTGTCGTCGAACGCCCAAACGTCCACACCAACTTCAGAGATTTCGTCCGCGTCATTCGATGCAGAGCTGTATGGATGGATCACCGCTCTTCAGTCTCGCAACGTGATTGTGCCGCCCACCATGATTCAGCGCAAGGCGAAGGAACTGGCTGACAAATACCCCGGGTGCGACTTCAAACCGACGCAGACTTGGTACAGCAAATTCGCATCGCGATACCACATCAATAGCCACCATGGCCACCATCAAACAGCTGCTAGCGTGTATGCGACCCTGACGCCGCTCGACATGCAACTGCACCTGAAGCAACTCCGCGACAAGATCATGCACTACAGTCCAGACCGCATCTACAATATGTGTGAAACCTCGCTGTTTTACCAGCTCGTACCGTCGTACAACATTTTGTGTCCATTCGAGAGCGCTGAAGTCCAGCAACGAAAGATGGAGCGCGTGTCGTTGGTGGTCTGTGTCAACTCGACGGGTACTCACAAGATTCCGTTGCTCATGATCGGGAAAGAGAAGTCACCGCTGTCGTCACTTGGGTTCAAGAGCATGCCCGTCCATTACATGCCGCAGCTCAAGGCATGGATGGACTCGACGGTGTTCAACCACTGGGTTCATCAAGTGTTCATTCCTGAAATAAAATCGCGCACAACGACCAACGAACCCGTTATGCTTCTCCTGGAACACGGCCCGCAGTACCATGAGTTCAACTTGGGCAACGTGAGCGCCAATTTTGTCCCGATGAACATGGGCTCGCGGTACCAACCATTGAACATGGGAATCGTGGACGCACTGAAGAAAGAGTTCAAGAACTCTGTGTTTTCCGATCTCATAGCCGTGTTGTCGCTGCCAGACAGTAAGCGTTTGGAGCTGGAACAGCGCGCAAGAAGCATGCCCAAGGGAACGGCAGGTCTTCAGTACGGGCGATCACCACATGTGTACGACGCGATGCTTGCGATCAAGGCGGCTTGGGATGCTGTTCCACGCACCATCATTCAAAACACGTGGGCAGCTTCCACATGGGTCCCGAGTTTGGATCGACTGGGAGACCACAAAGAATGTCACATCGTGCACGACATGTGCGCAATGCTGAGCTGCATTTCCCTCAGTAGCACGTACGGCGAGATATCAACCGAAATCGTCGAGTGGATGGCCATCGACGACAACGATTCCCGCGTGCTGCGTGACGAAATCCAGCGGGAGATCGATGATTTGCTCCATGGTCCACCGACATCGCTGCTCAACGACATACCCATGCCTGTTGAGCCAACGCTGGCGACACCATGGGTCGGTGATGAGTCGTTTGTTTCGATGGTCATGGCCGTCGAAGATCACATCACACACCCGCGAATTCAGTCGCTTATGGGCGACACCTACGTGCAGAATACTGTGCAGACTCTTCACGGCATCATCCGACAGCTGCGGCGCGACGCACTGCTTCAGAAGTCCAACAACACCGTTGAATTGTAATCATATCTTGACCCCTTGTGTCGTTGGGATGGAAAATTTGAAAATGATTGCACAAGTTGCGCGCGAATATTAACCGGGCATCCGGATAACACCGCAAGCGTAATGTCGACTTGTTTTCACCGGCTACGTGAAGGGGCAGTTGAACTGTCTATAGTAGGGGGACAGCATGGAGAGGGTCACGCACGACGACGACGACATGCTGCCACAATGCCTCAAGAAGAGTACACTGCCGCCGCAACCGAGACCGCGCTTCGTGGACCGCACGGGGAAACCGCTACTGCGTTCTCGAACTCGACCAAATCCTGGATATATGTCTCGTGGCGTCCTCAAGTACGTTCCAGCGGTCGACGATCGGTCCTGATGCTGTGTCATGGGAATGGACAGTATATCTCGAACAGGGGGCAACTGGAAGCAAATCTACTGGAATGATGTGTACCACACGGTGATCAATGTGAAGACGCGGTCGCTTATCTTAGGCGTTGCCGTGGCGTACGTGCTGGTCACGCTGTTCTTTGCAGTCATGTACTTGGTCGTATCGTACAACGACGAGAAATGCAACGTCGGCATCAAGACGCTCGCGGAAGCGTACATCTTTTCGATCGAGACGATTGTACATTGCATTCCATGGAGCTTCGCCTGTCACGGGTTGGTGTGTAGATGACGATTGGGTATGGCGCTCCGACGAACGACATCTTCTACGGCAGCTGCGGGTCCATGGCGCTTCTTCTTACGCTCGAGGTACGTAGCGGTAATCGAGACCTTTGAACACCATGTCATGTTGCAGCGTGTCATAGAGCTTTTCTGGCATTTTTATCAATTCGCTGATGGTGGGCATGTTCTTCATCCACTTTTCCCGCGCGTCGGTACGTTCTCCGTTGCATGTTTCGAATTCGCATCCGTGTGTAGACTCGAGCGCAATCCATCGTCTTCACAAACAACGCGGTCATTCGACGCATCCGAGATGAGTACTACTTCATCTTCCAAGTGTGTGAGCGTCGGAAGCATCAGGCAAGGAACGAATCGTCCGTCCACCGCTCATGGCAGTGCCTCGTGCTTAGCTCGTGGAAGCGCATATCCGTTGCTACGCAGTCCGCGACGAAATTGACGCGAACGGCGACGAGACCGTATTCCAGACGCACAGTATGCGGCTGCAGCAGCCCGACGATGACCTGGGATCGTACTTGCTCATGGCGATGCCGCAGTTGGTGGTGCACCGCATCGACCAATGGAGCCCCCTATATCCCCCGGAATGCCGACCCCAAGGCGCACACTACAACGCCACCACGAACCAAGCGTACCCCGACCCGCTGCAGCGCGCTGTCGACCACGACAATGGCAACCGCGACTATGACCCCGACGTGTCGCTGCCGCAGTCACCGACTCGAGAAGCCATTGAACGACACTTTGCGCGAACCAACATGGAGATCGTCGTGATCCTGGAAGGTGAAGACAGCACGACGTCCAACACGGCACAGGCGCGCCACTCGTATCGGCTCAGTGACATTGTGTGGGACCACATGTTTGCCCGATGCGTCAAGCGGCACCCCGAGACGAAAGGCGTCTGGATCGACTTCGATGAGTTCCACGATCTCGTTTCCGTGTCGACGAACGCAGGAGTAGTTGTCGGGACCGCGTCGGTCTTTTGACGGGGTGGCTGGATGCAACAACGTACGTTGTCGAGTCCATGCGCACACCCCTCGGCACGTGATCGTGCATTGTATGCACTGCCTCCTGACCGTACCCCCCTAGAATGGACCAGAAAGTGTAAACTTGTCAAAGCGATGCCAAAATGCGTGCGCGCCCACCCAAATATACGCATGCCCTTTGTTGGCTCTCCATGTAGTACCAGACATGCTGCAAACACGCGCCGTCGAAGCGATGGTTGTGCAAGAGGAGCGAGCCGTCCCGTTGTGATGTTGACAACGGCGCAGTCGTCCCTGGTGGTGCGTGGACACAGCACAGTGGCGTCGTGGTGGTCCAGCTGGACTCATCGTTTCATTGCGTTGCTATACGCGCGCCCACAACGCCGTGCGGGAGGCGCACCGTCGTGACGGACGGCCCGGAACGATCACCGCCGAACACTGACCTCCCACTCTACTCCAGCCATACATATACTTCCTCCGTTCCGTAAAACTAAGACATGGCTTTTGGTCATATTTTTATCTTAGCTTGAGTATGCTTAAAACGATGAAAAACCGTATTTTTATTCATAAACTTGCCTTTACGACAAGAACATATTTGGTACTAGTATGCTGCAACTCATGTCGTCATGGTGTCGAGAATTGTACAGAGGTAATCAATATTGGACGTATTGATCACCCCCCTCGATATCACAAGCAGACAACACACTAGAAAGGTTATCTACCCTACGTTCGAAGTCGTTCCTGGCATTCATCTCTTCGAGAACTGGCCGACCCGATAGCTCGTGCGAAACGGACATTTTTATGGATGTTGCGGAAAAGTTGGTAAATCCATCTGATTGGTTAATAAGATTGCCACAAAGTTAAGCGAATCGATCTGATTGGTTCATATATTGTACCGGTGGCAAGGGGCAGCAAGAACGAGGAACGCGTGGCGCCATCGAGTTTGCCGTGTCCTCGCAGCATGTGCTGCGGCAACTGTTCTTGGGCGATCTCTCTGGGAATTCTGCAACGACCTGTGTTTCTCCATCCCGTAGATTGACGGCGCCAACAACACACGCCCGATCCAACGTCAACGGTTTCGGCGGGGTACACACTGGTACTTGCTCCTGCCATCGAACGCACCAATCACATGCCGTCTTCTAAAATTGGACCAATCGGATCCACAAGAAAATCTCGATACATACCGGTATGCTTGATCCCCCTCCAGATTTATTTTACTGTGAGACGACGAGGTCATCCGGACGATGCCACAATCGCCACAGCGTCGATTCAAGCAAAGACGTCATGGTGCCGACAGCGATTGGAAAGGCTTGTTCGTCGAGACAGACCCCGTGGACCTCCCCGCGTTGTCGGGAATGCTTCCCGCGCCAGACGTCCCGATGACGTTATCCGCTCATCTCGCTGGCGAGCCGATTAGTTCACACACGTCACCCGCGCATGTCGTTGTGCATACGCAGCGTTGCTTATCCGGACAATATCCGGTTTTCTCAGCCTCGTTTAGTTCACACGGGGAGGGAACGCGGACGGGGGGAAAGATACGTGCGAATTCCTCTATATAAGGCCAATTCAGCGGATCGCGCGCGCCTTTCCAACTCGTATAGGGCAAGTTTTGGCACCAGCATGATATGCAGCGTTTTTGTACATGGGGACGCCGCGGGGGACGGTGCCGCCTCCGTCATTCACGAAAATGCCGTCGACCATGCTGATCTTGTACGGGTCCCAGACCGGGACGACGGAATCCTTTGCCAAGATCGTGCACTCGTTCGCGATGGCGCGCGGCCTGTCGCCCCGCCTCGTGTCCGCCGACGACTTCGACCACGCCAAGCTCGTGGACGAGGACGTTGTGGTGTTCCTCACGTCCACGTTCTACAACGGCGAGTTCCCGACCAACTTTACACGGACGTGGGATTTCCTCCAGACGACGACCGTCGAGCTGTCCACGACCAAGTTTGCGGTGTTTGGTCTTGGGAACAGCGCCACCAAGTCCAACTTTAACAACGCTGCCAAGCAACTGGACGCGAGACTTGAAGTCCTCGGCGCCGAACGCCTCGTCCCCCTCGGCCTCGGCGACGAACAAGCCGAAAGCGGACATGAAACAAGCTTCCGACCGTGGATCCAGTCCCTCTGGGTCAAGCTCCTCGGTGGCCACGGCAAGATGACCCTCCCCGTCCAATACAACATCGCGTTTCCGTCCACGGACGTTGCGCCCGCCCCGCGATCGATTCCTGGTTTCGACTCGTTCCGCGTCGTGTCCAACACACTGCTCACCCCCGCCGGGTACGACCGCCCGGCCTACCTCTTGACGCTGGCGCTGCCCCACGGCGTCAAGTACCAGCTTGGCGACCATCTCCAAGTCGCCCATGCCAACTCGGACGACCTCGTATCGCGCCTCGCCCGCCGCATGCACCTCGATTTGAATACGACCGTGCACTTGACGGCCAAAGCGCATTCGACGTGTCTGCCCACGGAGCCCATCCAGCTGCACATCCTCCTTCGCGACCATCTCGATCTCTCGACACCGCCGTCGCGATCGTTCTTGGAAGGGTTGTCGGCGCTCGCGACGGACAAGAAGGAAGCCGATGAACTGGAACACCTCGCCGAAGACATGACGGCAGGCAATGCGTACACGCAGTACGTTGGGACACATCCGGCGACGCGCATCCCGTTCACCCTGGTCGACGTCCTGGAAATGTACCCGTCGATCCAAGTCGGCCTTGAACACCTCCTCGGAAACGTCCCGATCCTCCCGCCACGGTACTACTCGGTGTGCTCGAGCCCGCTCATGCTCCCGCACCACGTCCAAATCGTGTACATGGTGACCAAATGGCACTCGAGCAAGAATCCTCTAAAGATGTTCACCGGGGCCGCGGCCGGGTTCTTGTCTCGCCTCCACACGGACGCGCTCGTGACGGCCCAGATCAGCCGCGGGTACTTTCAAGTCCCAGAGAACTTGGAAACGCCGATCCTTGGGGTGGCCCTCGGCACGGGCATTTCGTTCTTCCGCGCGCTGCTGCAACACCGCGCGTACCACCAGGACCACAACCAGACCGTGAGCAAGGTCCGTCTCTACTTTGGCATCCGCCATGCCGCCAAGGACTTTCTTTTCCAGGACGAGCTCGACACGTACGTGAACCGAGGGCTCCTCGAGCTCGCCCCCGCATGCTCCCACGACAGCGCGACCTTTGTCACACCCGTCACGCTCATCCGTGACTTTCCGACGTCCGTCGCCGAGTACTTGGACAACGACGGCGTGTACTTTTACTGCGGGATCGGCGGAACGATCCCGGAATTCCACGAAGCGGCGATCGAAGCCGCTTTGCAGGCGTGCCACAAGTCGACCCTCGGGTCCGAGATGGAGACGGTCGACGAGATGAAGGCGAACGGACGTTGGCAGGTCGAAGCATTCTCGTCGTGCTTGGACCATGAAAACGCCCTGCAGTATCAACAAAACGTCCAAAACAAGAAGGAAGATACCCCGATCAGTGACGTTGTCGGCGACTGCGCCATGTTTTGCTTTCAGTGCGGCCAGACGAACCAAGGCATCGGGTGCACCAAGATCGGTGTGTGCGGGAAAACGCCGACCGTCGCGGCGCTCCAGGATCTCCTCGTCGACCACCTCAAGCACCTGAGCTGGTACGCCCATCACATCCGCGCGGTCGATCCGGACGTGGCGTCGCTGGCAGAGATCGACCGCTTCACGCTCGTGGCGCTCTTCTCGACGCTGACGAACGTCAACTTTGACGCGACTCGGTTCGTGACGTTCATCCAACAGACCAAGGGATACACCGACCAGCTGACCCAAGAGTATGCGGCCGTGTGCCAGGCCAAGGGCGTCGCGCCGAGCCCGGTCCCGTGGAAGCGCACCGAGGCCAACGTGGTCGACATTGAAGAGCTCGTCGCGAGCGGAAAGAAGGTCGGCGTGCTCTCGCGTCTGCGTGCTGGCCGCAACGACGCCCTCGTCGGGCTCCAAGAAATGCTCGTGTACGGTCTCAAGGGCCTCGCCGCCTACACGGACCACTCGCTCCAGTTTGGCAACGAAAAGCCCGAGATTTACCACTTCATCCACGAAGCGTTTGCGTTCCTGTGGTCCCCCGACGCCGGCAAAATCGACAAGGTCGTCGAGATGCTCATGCGTTGTGGCCAAGTCAACTTGACCGCGCTCGCTCTCCTCCACGAAAGCAACTGCACGTACGGCGCCCAGTCGCCTGGCATCGCAACGTCGCTTCCTCGCCCTGGCAAGTGCATCCTGGTGTCTGGCCACGACCTCAAGATGCTCCACGATGTCTTGGAAGCGTGTGCAGCGTACAAGGCCGAGCACGGCGTCCACATCAACGTGTACACGCACGGCGAGCTGCTCCCGGCCCACGGGTACCCCGCCCTCCGCGCGTCGCCCCACCTGGTCGGCCACTTTGGTGCGGCATGGCAGCGGCAGTCGCTCGAGTTTGCCCACTTTCCTGGGTCGATCTTGATGACGACCAACTGCTTGACGCAGCCCAAGACTGAGTACAAGGACCGCCTGTTCACGGCCGGCGCT